TTTGTTCCCGATACCGAAAACAAAGCATGATGTACGCCGCTTTCTGGGACTTTGTGCTTATTACTGCCGCTTCGTGCCGAACTTTTCGAAAATCGCCGACCCTCTACAACAACTCGTCAAGGATGACGTCGCCTTCGTCTGGGGCCCCAAACAATCCGGCGCTTTCCACAACCTTCAACAACGCCTACAAATGCCACCAATCCTAGGTCACTTCGACACCGAAGCAGACACAGAAGTCCGCACTGACGCGAGCAACCTTGGCCTCGGAGCTATTCTCGTGCAATATCAAGATGGCATGGAACGCGTCATCGCCTACGCTAGCCGCACGTTGTCATCTGCGGAGAAGAACTACTCGACGACTGAAAAAGAATGTCTGGTGGTTGTATGGGCCATAACAAAATTCAGGCCCTACTTGTACGGACGCCCCTTCCGAATCGTCAGTGACCACCACTCTCTCTGCTGGCTAGCGAAACTGAAAGATCCTTCGGGCCGTCTCGCAAGATGGAGCCTTCGGTTACAAGAATTCGATATAACGATGGTTTACAAGTCTGGTCAGAAACACACCGACGCTGACTGTCTTTCCCGCGCACCCGTCGAGGTCACTGAAGAAGACAATGATGATGACTTCAGCTGCCTTGCTATTCTCGCATCATTAAACGTGGCTGAGCAGCAACGCGAAGACTTAGAATTACAACCACTGATCGAATACCTTGAGGGACGTCGCCCACAACCCCCACGTCAGTTCATGCATGATTTGTCATCTTTCTGTCTACGCCAAGGCATCCTCTACAAGCGCAACTTTCATTCGACGAAAACTGTTTACCTCCTCGTCGTTCCTGCTGCTCTCCGCGATGATATTTTGCGTGCTTCTCACGACGAGCCATCGTCAGGGCATCTTGGCTTCGCGCGTACTCTGGTGCGGATCAAAGACAAATACTACTGGCGGAAATTTACGAAAACCGTCCGGCAGTACGTCAAGACATGCACATGTAGCCTGTCAGCGCCGCAAAACTCCAACGACAAAACCAGCCGGTCTGCTTCAGCCTTTGCGACCCCCTCACGCACCTTTTGAAAAGGTCGGGATGGATTTACTCGGTCCATTTTCGAAGTCTACGGCTGGTAACCGCTGGATTGTGGTTGCCACCGACTACTTGACCAGATACTGCGAAACACAAGCCGCCCAGCGAGCAACCGCTTCCGAGGTGGCTGACTTTTTCATAAAGAACATCGTTCTCCGCCATGGTGCTCCCGCTGTCGTCATCACAGATCGTGGTACTGCTTTTACGGCACAGTTGCTCCGACAGATCCTGTTGCTGAGCGGCACGACGCACCGAACAGCAACTGCGTACCATCCGCAGACTAACGGGTTAACCGAACGCCTTAACAAAACGATTGCAGATATGCTTTCGATGTATGTCGCCAAGGATCAGAAGAATTGGGATGAAATCCTCCCGTATATAACATTTGCCTACAATACGGTTTTGCAGGAAACCACCGGCTTTGCTCCTTTTCGTCTGGTTTACGGCCGCGACGTCACCACAATGCTTGACACCATGCTGCAACCAACTCTGCCGGACACGATTACCCCGGACGCAAAAGTATTTGTTCAGCGTGCCGAAGACGCCCGGCAGCTGGCGCGCTTTTGCATTTTATCGCGGCAAACTCAAGGTGCTCGCCGATACAACACCTACCACAGAGCAGTAATATACGAACCCGGTGACCTAGTCTGGCTTTGGACTCCTATACGTCAACGGGGACGCTCAGAAAAATTGTTATGTCGGTACTTCGGACCCTACCGAGTTCTTCATCGCCTCGGCGAAGTGAACTATGAAGTTGTCCCAGCAGACACGTCACACCGTTCTCGCAGACCACGTTCCTCGGATGTGGTTCACGTATCCAGGATGAAGCCGTACTATTTGCGTTGACTGCAAGTCAAGAACTTTGTGATGTGGCAATAGCCTTCAAGACAATTGTGTATTACTTTCTTGCTTCTTCATTTTTCATCTCGTTCTTTTTCATTTCAAAGGACACAGGCATTTCTGACTACCTTTCGTTGTTTTTCGGAGCCGTGGTATTCATGCGATGCTTCTTCTTCTTTTTTTCTTTGGGGAGAGGGTAATGCCACGCTGTGTTGGTGGCAGAAGACGAGAGCGAAGAAGTGAATGGCAGCTGTGGTTGAGTAAACAGTCCTCCACTTCGAGTTCCTGTCTATCGTTTCCTCTCGCAAGGACACGCGAGAGGAAACCCCCTCTCTTTGCCCTGCCCTTTGTGACGGGCGTTCAACCGGGAAATGCGTATCTGGCACAATAAGTCTCTAGTTATTGATTTGGTGTATTCGCTGCCGGACCTGTTCTATCCCGCAGATAGTTCGCACACCGCTAGTGTTCTGATTGACGCTTCGTTGCCTCCACTGCTTCCCACTGTAGTTGCTCTGTGACTCCCGGAAACCCAGCGCCATTGCCAGCAATTTCTGCTCTTGTTCCGGTGGCGTAGCGGCCGCAGATGGTGAAGTGGCTGAGACTTGTGGTTTTAATGCTGGGCAGCAGAGCACGATGTGCTCAATGCTTTCCTCCTCCAGGGTGCAAAGGGTGCATGTCGTCTCGAGGTTAGGTGTGTACATCGCCCGCAGAAGTCGGGTTCGCAACATGCCGCACCTGGCTTCGCATAGCAGACCACTTCCCTTTAAGTTTTCGTACAGCGGTACTTTCTCGATCGGTTGTTTTGCTTTACTGCAGAAACTCAAAGCTGGCTTTCCTGCTGCCATCTTCCGCCAGTTGGTACTTTCGGACTCTTGGATGGCTTCTTGTACCTTGGTCCTCCTGTCCCGCTGAGGTTTCTCCGTAAGTCGGTATGGTGCGACCTCGTAACGCTACGCCAGGCGTTTTCTGCGCAGTACCCTGTTTGTATTGATGCACTTTAGGTGGATGTACTCATACACCTCACGCGCCCAACGTCCGTCTGGTAGTTGGCTCTGCCGCCGCTCATAGTTTGGACTGCTTCCCGAGCCTCCAAGGAAGACCAGCCCCCTCGTCCTGCACCGCCTCATTTGGTACGCTGAGTTAGCACGTATGACTGGGTGCCAATTAGCATTTGGATTTCTCGTGCGTACAGGTGACACACATGGGTGGTCGCGCTCGTTTGCTGGAGGAGGATGATGAATGAGGAAAGGAAATGAAGGAAACTTCTGCAACCCCAGTTGGGAACACGGCTCAGCACCTCTATGCAGAAAGTCGTCCCCAAGTATATAGTAAACACAAAAACGTCATGACCACGCCCCCTTTCCGTTGTTACTTTACTTAGGCAACCCCCCCCCACCCCCCAGAATGAGTGCATGGCTAGATTCGACCCTGGCAGAGAGGATATTAAAGATGTGGAGAAGAGAGAATTCAGATGTAGAGAAATGGCGTTTGTGACCAATGACGTGGCGGGCGGCTTCTATAGCCCGTTGTCCAGTCCAGTGTGCGCCAGTAAATGAAGAACCACCTTGAAGACCTGGGTGTCAGTGGGTGGAGGGGATGTCCCTTTGTGTAGCCGCGGGCAGACCCTGGTGACAGAGTGCGACGAGCAGGGCGTTGTGCACAAAGCGCAGGGCGAACACACAACAGGTGCTCGATATGGTTTCAACCAACCCGCGCGCAGTGCAGGGGACGAGGCTCTGACAATTAAGCCGATGACTCCGGAACGCAGGCCAGGAGTAGCCAATGCGTAAACGCCTTAGAAGGGACCTCTTCCCCCTCTTCCTCCTGGTGAGACCTGGAGGTCAGACCAGGAGGAAGAGGTCCCTTTTCGCACGATCGTTAGGGTGGCAGCGTAGCAACAGCCTCCTCAATGTGAGCCTCAAAACGTCTGAGGTGATCCACGGCACGGCACAAAGAGACGGTGGAGTGATGCGTTTAAGTCTTTTGTTAGTGCATCTGCCTGTTCGCTTTCCTGGATTTTCAGTTATCACATGTGATGGGACACAGTGTAGTGAAACAGCTCGCCACTGGCAAGGAGTGCATGCAGCTGTGTTCCGAAGCCAGCACAATGCAGTAACTCGCCAACCGGGCTCACAGCGACTTGCCTGCTTCGAGGTGCCAGGGATCGACTCCTCAGCTATCACGATCTGACGCTATTTTACCGAAATTCCCACCTAATGTACCCCCTCCGCATAAATCTTTTTCCAGAAGCGACCAGGTTTCTTTTTATTTATAACATACTGCAGACCAGAATTCGGTCCTTGCAGGAAGGGCACTCATGGTACACTAAAAAAAAGAAATACAATACCAAAGTATCAATACAGTGAGTACAAGGAATGCGCAAATTTTTACACTCAACTTAGGAAAGGCACTCAGACTGCGTTCTATAAAAAAGAATAAAATGCAGTACTGTAGTTAGAACAGAAGTAAGTAAAATGAAGTAAAACATACAAAATACACAGGGCACGGTGTGCCCTGTGCGCCCTGCGCAGACTTCAAACGGCGGCAGTAACAACTCCTTTTCTTCTCTCCCTTTTCACGCATGGCGAAACCTCTCCTCATTGCAAGTTATGTCCTAGCAACAGAGCCGACTTCCATAACGTATATCTGAATTGTCCGAACAAACCCAAGCCTCCGTGGCAAGGGTCAGACCACCAGGAGCGATGCTGCGATGGGAGGCTGCTCTGCAAAGCTTGCAACCGGGGTTACAGCTCCGGACAGTGAGCTGGCCCGGAAGGGTCGCAGAAGCACAGCAGTGTCCGGCCACCTAGAGCGGCCCGAGGGCCCATCGTCATACTGCTTCCACTTCACCAGCCCCCCCCCCCCCCCTTACATGATTCTATCGTGGATCATAGAGTTTCCTATGTCGTGGATCAATAAAGTTGCTTACCTACCCACCTGGCAGAGGCCTGCTACCCTGATAGTGAATGCTTTGAAACGCACGCACGTAAGATTGTAGTATGCAGTTTAATGTCAAAGGAAATGTAAAAATAAAGCAATAAACTGCAAATAAGAATGTATTTGGCTACAAATATTCGTGATTTTTTGTATTTAGCTACACTTGGGCCATGGTTACGTCTTTTGGCTACGCCACGCTATGCTGCCTCACCCAACCTGGCAACAATGTTCACGCGCAAGTCGCGACGCCGAAACCAACTTTTAATGCTTGTTGTCAACGGCTCCACCAATTTTAGAAATTGTGTTAGTTCAAACCAAAGAAAAGCGAAATGTCGGCGGACGACGGCAGTCAGGCGTGGCCCACGCCGAGCTTCAACAGCCAAGAGACACCGGCAGCGGGCGACGCGGACTTACGGGGATCGAACGAGAACACTACATCGTCGGGAGCCGGTACCTTTCTGCAGCCGCACGCACCCAAATTAAGCCTAACGACGACCTCGTCCGTGGTCTCGGAATCGACGGCCCCGCCGCTACCGGAGCAGCTCTCCGACGCCGGTGCGGTAGACGCGGGACGACCAGGGACAACCGCCGATGGCGTCGCCGTATTCGAAGAGGACACGCGTAGCTCTTGGAACCTGGAGCCGTCGGGGTCTGCGACGCAGGCGGGTTCGACGGCGCCCAAAGAAGACGAAGCTGTCGTAGACGAGCGCGAGCCGTCGGCGTCGTGCGGCGCCGGTGATGGCGCGGAAGAAGCGCCGTCCGCCAAGTCGGCCGCGGCGTCGGACTCGAGCGGCGAGAACCGGGAGCGCACGCCGGTGGTGAGCTTCGCGCCGACCGTGGTGGACTGCGACTCGCAGAACAGCGGCAGCAGCGTCAAGAGCAGCGGCCGCAAGCGCTTCTCGGACGACGAGGTGACGTCCGAGGCACCCACCACCATCACGGCCGACAAGCTGTTCGAGTACCACTGGCCGCAGGACTGCGGCGATGCCTACATGCTTCAGGAGCAGGTGCGACTCGACGCCGTTTCAGGGTGTTTGTGAGATGCTTCTGCGGTCGTGTCGAAAGTGCTTGCTTGGCCGAGATGTGTGGGCATTCTTTCCTCGGCTTCCACCAGTGCTGGTTCGGGAAACCGTGACGGTGGTTACAAATTTTGAAAAATTGCTGACGTGAAATTTAAAAACGCAAGTGCCATGTTGTTTGTCCGCTTTCGGGTTGTTCTCTCGGTTGGTGCGTGCTCAGTCGCGCTTGAGCCTTTCTGTGTGGTGTTGAAAAAGTTTCGTTATGCCAAGCTGCTTTGCCAGTGTTAGCAAATACAGGTACAACAGAAGATTGACGCTGTTTTTACGACTGTGGGTAAAGTGCGTATTTTCCAGGCAAGAACCACAGTGGCGCTGCTGCTACTGCTGAAAGAGAAGGCAAAAGTAAAGGGATGCATTTGGTGTTACTTGATATTTTTTGGACACTATGGGGGTACACATAAGTATTGCATGTAAGGCCATATATTTGTGCGTGGCATCATCTCCGCAATCTTGTGCAATGCACTCGGCAGTTTTTTCTTAAGCATAGCTTAGTTGTGTCTGCATCAGTTCGTGCAGCATTATTAAGACTACCATAAAATCCTGAGCAAGTGCCCCCCTACTGTAAAGGATGATTTGACAAGGTTCAGAGGGGGCGCCCTTGCTAGGTAATAAATCAAAGTTCAAGATGGTGGCAGAAAAGTCACTAAGAATAAAGAATGCACACCTTTGCTTCTGAATAAATGCTTTATTGAATATGCATGCATCAACTGCATTCATTTGGGCAAACAAAAACAGTCAATAGAATAGTAAAAATGATGGGAGGGGAAGATAGGTCGCATATTTAAAATATCTCTAAGAGAGACAGCGCTTGCTAGGAATTTTATGCTAGAAAAAGTTAGCCACTGTTTATATGCAGCATGTCTAGTTGCAGCATTTCGAAATGAAAGCCATACTCTGAGTCTATCACTTTTTGCAGTGGTGTTGGCTTGTTTGCCAGCTCACAGGTTCAGTGATACAAGCAACTGCTTGCCTGCATTTTTTTACCCAGCCAGTCAGAGCACATTGAGAGCAATATTATGGTGATAGCTCTAAAATCGATCATCTTAGAGTGCACACTTCGATCCTGCAGCCGCATACACAGGTTCATAAGTATGCTGGCACATTGTCTTGCTTCTTTTTTTTTTTCAGTGATGTTGACTTTTGTTTTTCTCCTATGCAGGTGTGCGAGTTCTTAAATGTCAAGTCATTCAAGCGAAAACATCCTGACCTCGTCCGAAGGCCTGTCGAATTCGATGAAAAGGAGTTTCTCAAGGAGCACGGTGTGGTGACAATGACTATGTGTGACCTCGGACTGACCGCTCTTCGGGCCGACGATGTGGTTGACCTGTTCATGCGTGACTACCCCGAAAAGTATCAGGAGTACGTGAACTACATTCGTGAGCGTGACAAGCAGAACACTGTGGAGAAGCACCGTGGCTATTCTGCCGTGTCGATTGAAAAGTGCAAGATGGCGGACTTCGTTCGCAAGGCGGTTGCATCCACGGCAGAGTACAACAAGCACCTCAACGAGGAACGCCGTGAGGAGCGGCGTTCCTGCTTTGATCTCCAGACATTCACAATCCAGTACCCTTTGAAAAAGATACCAAAGGTCGAAGTAATGCCTGCCAACCGGCGCCGGTACCCCGTCGCGTTGATACCAGGGCAGTACCAGGACCATTACCGGGTTTACACTCCGCAGGAGCTCAAGTATTTGCCGATAAACACTGTTCTCTACGGGCCACCCCAGGAGATTGGCTCCGTCTACACGCACCCCGGTTCGGACGGAAGCCAATCCGAATCCGAAGACAGCTCGGGTTCGGACTCGGGCTCCTGCAGCAGTTCGAGTGGCGGCAGTTCGCCCGCATCCGACATGGACACGAGCACCGCAACGGGGCCCAACTTCTGCAAGGTCTGCGCCAACGCAGATGTGTCAAAGGAGGGTGAAGAGCTCATATCGTGCTCCGAGTGTGGGAAAGTCGGTCACGTGACGTGCCTCGACATCTTGCCCGAGATGGCGGCTGCCATCAAGTCGTATCGGTGGCAGTGCATGGACTGCAAGATGTGCAACGTCTGCATGGCGACCGACAACGAGGACAAGATGATGTTCTGTGACAGGTGCGATCGGGGTTACCACAGCTTCTGTGTGGGCATGAAGTCCGTGCCCGCGGGCCGGTGGATCTGTCGGCTGTGTGGTCGGTGTGCGACATGCAACACCAACACGCCGGGCCCTGAGGGGCCCCGGGTTCAGTGGCATCACGAGTACGGGAAGGGTCCCAGTCCTGTGGACCACAAGCGGAGTATGACCATCTACTGCCAGAGCTGCTATCGGCAACGGAAAGGCCGGTGACGAAGACTGAAGTGTTGCGAGCCTCTTGTTCGCGCTGTGTTATAGTCAATAAATGAGCCCGGACTCGGTTTTTATTTGTAAGTGAACCGGTGCGTTGAACTGTCCTACTTAGCATCATACTGAAAGTGGCCTCTGGTGGCATATCTGTGGGGCTCCGCTGGCAGAGAGGTTGTAGGTTTTATTGATAGCTTTTGCAGTTGTGTAACGATGAGACCAGAATGGAAAAAAAAAAAGCTTGTGCAGTGTTTTTCTTTTTTCACGTGCCCAGGGAACACTCGGGCGATCAAAGTTATTTTTAAGCCCTCCACTGCATGCAGCTTTAGCACTTAATTTTCGTAATTTAATTAGACTGCCAGAATTAAATCAAGGCTACATAGCAGGGAAGTGTTGATGAATGTTGATGAAACGAACTGTGGGTGACACGGACATTATAGATGCCGAGATGGCTCCAGCCACCATTTTTAGAAAGACCTGTTTTCTGTTCAGTCCCTTCCACAGGTGTTGGTGGTGCAGGTCGTAGATGCAGTGTTTCTTCTCTCACCTTGGCTCTTCCATAATTGTCGTGAGAACACGGATAATGACGACAAAAGAAGCTATGCTGCTTCCGCAACCAATACAGTCGACCCTGCAGAAGGGGTCGTGTGTTCGATCCCAGTCAGGGTGGTGGAGACGAAACGCTGGAGGTCTGTGTACTGTCAGCACACGTTAAAAGTGCACCAGATGATGACTCCTCCGCTACGATGTCTTTCATAATGACATCATGGTTTTGGAACGTAAAACCCCAAATATTATTGCCAACCTTCGTAGCAAAGTACAAAACAGGTCTGGAAACATAGGAGTCAACTAGAAACTGGAGCCATGTCAGCATCTGCAATATCTTTGCCCAGCCAGACTGACCTCTGTCAAAATGTTTAATATTAGGACACGGTGCATCAGAGCCTGTGTTCAGCATTAGTAATACACAGAACCATCCGGGTCAATGCTTTTCTTACAAACTGCTTGTATAAACACAGTAGTAGTAATGGAGTCGAAACAGACCTAGGTGCAAAGTAATTGGTTGATTTTATATGTGGGGTTTAACGTCCCAAAACCAACACATTATTAAGAGAGATGCTGTAGTGTAGGGTTCTGGAAATTTCGACCACCTGGAGTTCTTTAAGGTGCACCAAAATCTAAGCACTGAAGCCTACAGCATTTTCGCCTCTATGAAAATACAGCCGCTGCAGCTGAAATTCGATCCCGCGACCTGTGGGTCAGCCGCCGAGTATTTTAGCCACTAGACCACCGCGACGGGGCATAGGTGCAAAGTACGATTGTGTTACCAGCGTACGCCACTCTGCTCTTTCTCTACCACGTTTTAGGAATGTGGCTGTTCTTGCATTTCGCCTCCCTCAAAATGTGTCTGTGCCAGTCTTCCCCATGCCCCAATGTTTAGCAGCGCAACAGTCTCCGTAACAGTGGGATTCTACAGTGTGCCCATGTGTGTTGTTTAATGATCTCGCAGTCAACACATGGGAATTGTACACTGTTTTTTCACCGGGTGTCTGCTTGTAGTTGCGTCACAAATTTCTCCCACATCATAAATTCATCCTTCAATGTTAGTTTATTGTCCATAGAACTTAGCGCTCCGAAAAGTATCGATGCAGCAGTGCTGTGTGCGGTCTGTTCACAAGACCTCGTCGTCTTGCACTTCGCTTCTCTCGTTGTGCGTCTTGTGCCACTGGCTTGCGAGATAGAAGAACGGCTCCTGGACGCCTTCGCCTTCCTTCTGCAAGTGGGTAGGTTCTCGTGTAAGGACACTGACAGCAATGGTGATTAAGGACGTACGAATAGTGAAGTTTTACGTTCGAAGCAAATAGGTATTTGGTCGAATAATTTTTAATGGAATAGTTCCAGTATACTCGTGGACAGCTCTTCTTGGCAATGAAATGAAACCTACGGAGGGCGGAGCTTCAACGCATGTACTTCTACGCAAAGCAGTCCGCTATGGCACGTGTTTCTCACTGCTGTCGAAAGCAGTGGAAAGTGACGGCTGCACATAATCAGCACTTCACATCGACACAGACACCACTTGGCGTTGCAGATGCACATCACAGAGTGCGGCTTTGTCACGTGTGCAAAAGCACAAAGCGACAATGTATAAATTAAAACAAGTACAATTATCTTACTGGTGTAAGCTGCGTCCTATCTCAAAAAGCTACATGCAAAAATAAAAACAGTACTTTTCGTATTTCACGCAATAAATAGACACAATTGTGAGATTTCATTCATTATTGACAGGATACGGGCTATTTGGCTCTGTTGCCTTCGCTGCATTGCCAAGAAATGTTGTGTGCAAGTATGGTATATATTGAATATCGTAAAAAAAAAGGCCATATTTGTCTTGATCCAGCTAACCTGCAGAGTCTTTTTGAAGCTGGAACAAGGCATGGGCAAATGTCATTTCTTTTGGTTTGAAGTAAAGTGGAAGCAACTATCAAGTGGAACTTGAGTTGCAGTAGGATGAGAATCAAAACTAATAAAGTACGTAACGTTTTAAAGTTTACTATTCTTGGAGCATATAAGTCCATATGGCAAGCATTTAAACTAAAAGAAGTTATAAATCGATGTGAGTGAGAGATGTTTTCTGTAATCTTGAAGTGGTACTTCACGACAATCTAGATTTTTTTAACGAGTAAGTGTTTCATGGCAAAGCATTCCTACACTGCAGTGAAACCATCTTTACAAGAGGGTATGTGTTCTACATTCGGCGACAACTTTTCTTGGCTTTAGAGCAAAGGCTACAGAGCCAAATCACGTGCATCCTACAGCCAGTGAATGTAGTTCCACAAGAGCGCCCATATTTTCGCCGTGAGCTATACAAGTTCTCCCTTTCTATGTGGAGCTATTTGAGACAGGATGCAGCTCTTACCATTAAGATAGTCGTATTTAATTTACTCGTTGTGACATCATATTTTTGAATTCGCGAAAAAGTCCTGCCTTTTTACGTACACCTCAAACGCTAAGCGACATCTGCGTCTACATGAAACGCTGATGGTGCGCCCTCATCACTTTCCGTAGTGTTACGAGACACACGCCAAAACCGACTACTTCTCGTAGTGCAACATGTGCAGAAGCTACGCCTCCGTAGCTTTCGCTTCAATGTTAAGAAAAGTTGTCGCCAAGTATAATACACCTATTCGTTCCTTTTGACAATTTGAAAATGACGAACAGTTCAATACACGAAGATGTAAGTTTGAATATACGAAGTGTTCGAGTATTAGCACCTGCCTACTTTTTAAGTGTGAATGGTACTTGGTTGGATTAATATGGTAGCTCGACGGATTCTATGTGAGTAAATAATCTAGCTCTCAATGTAATGTCATCTACGTGCGCGCAAATGGCATCAATGCGGTGCGTATTTACAGTTTGTGTCAAATTTTTAGCAACAACGAGACCCAAGAAAACGCTGAATAGTCTTGATGCTCCAGACAGCAGCCTTGAATTTAGAAGTCTGGCGATTTCTACAATGTGCCAACGATAAGCTATGCAACTCAACCGAATACAGTCGCAAGTTGCTGTGATATTGAAAGTTTTCTCGAATTCCGGTGTCCCAGAACTTTCGATGCCGCCCGTGCACTGCTTGCAGAATGACGCTTGACAATTTGATTTAGGTATTGCACGCACTTTCATTTTCACAGCCTTCAGTTAATCTCGTATTGGTATAATATCGGCCTGAACACTTGCATCGGAGCGAACGTTACCTCTGATAGCCCAGATTTGCAGTAATGTTACAGTTATCTTGGGCCATTGCACACAGATGTCATACTAGAGGCTTTGATGTTGAGTTTCAATTCATGAGAATCATTCAGTGAATGAACCTAATGATTCATAATAAAACAGTGATCAAGATGGTATGAAAGGGAGACACAGCCCATCTCACCTTAACCACTGTTTTACCCATCTACGATGCAACAACCAGCCCAATCAAGTGCATTGCTATAACATAGCGATGTCTTGATGGTTGAATTTGAGCTGTGCGACTGTAGTCACAGTCCCAATGCTCAAATTTGATTTGTACATAACCAGTCTATGCCTTTTCTGGCAGATTAGAAATCCTGCCTGTCATTAAAACATGTCATCATTTTGGCATGTGTGTTGAGACGCTTGGTGCACTGATGAAATATAATTAATGCGGCAGCATAAAAGTGCCTTCACACAATTTTCACTGACAAAAAGAATCGACACCAGTCAATTTCCGGTGTCAATTCTGTTTTACCGCCGACGACTCCGCGTAGTGGAAACCGATCTTCTCCGCCATCTCCTGACCTTCCTTGGAAGAAACGCGGCGACGTTCCTTGAGGTCTGCCTTGGTTCCCACCAAGACGCCTGCGACAGTGTAGTCAGAATGCAACACTGATGAGAAAAAGCTATGCAAACCTACGAGGTCACATTTATGAAGTATTGTTACAGAACCTTGTCATCGAATGAAAAAAATTTTGTGTTCTTTTACCTAATTTTAGTAATATTTAGTACTGTATGCACAGTGCCCATTTAAGTGCTGCATTAATAAGAGAACTGTATTTTGCTTAGCGTGTATAAGCAGTAGTTCTGCATACACTCTAGGCGAAATGTGGCATTGTTGCATTTACATAAGATTGTTATGGATGCTGTGTATACTTTGGCTGCTGTCTCATGGCAGTTAAGCGAGAGAGCAAATTTTCCATTGCATTCAAAGTACGCATACCAAGACATTGTAATAATGTACAATACTTCCAATTATTGGCACAAGATCTTTGCCGTCTTACCTTTGTAGTGCTAAGTGAGCTGATTAAACTGCCTAGGTTTGAAAGTCTCTGCACTTCAGGCAAGTTAAATTCAACCAGCGATTATTGCCGTCATAACGTCGTACTGTAATCAAGTTAAAGAGTCCCAAGAAGACCAAAGATAGAGCACATGTGCATTGAAATGTCGCCTATATTTAATAGCAGGCACTTTTGCTTGCAGATATGGTAAAATGAAAACATGAAGTACATTCAATGCAACGAAGTTTACCTCGGTCACATGTGTACCAGCTGAAAGGTGCCAGGATGTTGAGTCGCACAGAAACTAAGATGCATTATTTGCGTGTTCGAACTTTGCTTTTTTGTCTACAACCTCAATTTGACTTCTTTGCATGGTTGAACATCATCGAAACAAAGCATACTTGGGAAACTTCCCTACACTGTGAGCCTCTTTTCACTCATGTTATAGTATTTCAGTTGTGCAAATATTGGCACACATGCATATTCTTAAATCCTCAAAGCGTCATTACGACTGGAGGATCATGTCACTTACTGCCGACAAGTGGCAATTATTAAAACTTGGCTGTTGCAGCAGATTTTGTAATTCAAAGTGGAAAGAATATATCAGTGGAACAATTTATGACAACTTATAAAGTCGTTTCTTCCTGTGCGTCTCTCCAGCAGGTTGCAACATTAAGACATAGCTATAGTTTTAAAAGTTGGTGAGCTTGTTGCACAATTATTATTGGTGCCTCAAGATTTGCCCGAATTCGCTTCTGACTTGTCAAAACTTCTTTGTTTCAAAGTTCCGGCACAAGATACCTGCATTTCAATGAAAGCAGGGAATATATGGTCAGATAATAATAAAAAAACATTATAACTTATATGTATCGAGTGTTGGCTGCAACAGATATTTCCCTTGAAGCGAAATATTCACATTTGCCAAGGGATTCACTTACCAATTTTGGGACCGCAAGTGCTGTTCTTCGAGAGCCTTGAAGCCCACGTTGATACATGTTGGAATGAAGGTTCGTTGCAAGTGTCGAACATTATTATGGCCAGGGGTGCGTCTGCCCACTGAAATAAAATTATGCAAACTTAAACCAGTATCGAGGCTTGTTCTAGGCTACTGCTTTGCCTGTGATCGTATATCTACTGTACAATTAATACTCGCCAACTCCTGGACAAAATCAAGATAGACTTCTTTCCCGGAGCAGTCGTACAGGTAGAGCTCCTGTGCAAGCAGATTAAAAAGAAAATTGCAACATGGTCATACAGATTGTTAGCAATGCGTCCCAATCAGAGTGAACTGAAAATTAATTGAAATATTTTAGAACAAGCTCCGGAACCAGCTTGTTAATGTAAAAGATGGGCCAAGTGAGTAATTCCCAGGAGTCGTCTACAAGATAGTGTGTGCTGATTGCCACCAAGTGTACATTGGCGAGGCAGGAAAGTTCTCCAGATATGGGCCTCGAGGAGCACAAACGTGACGTCGCCAATTACAGTCGCACGACAAATGTCATTGCTGAGCAGTCGCATGAACATAATCGCGCCATCGACTGGGACAATGCCGTTGTCATCGCCAAGGAAAAGAACCTATGATCCCGCCGGCTCATAGAATCTCTAATTATACAGTCAGTGCCAGCTACAATGAGTATCACAACAGGGACTATGCCTGCTACATCTACGCACGCTCCGCTACATCACGTAGCTATTGCATGATTGAGAACGGCTTCCAGCTGAGTGAACAAGAAGCCCGTATGCGGTTACGAAACGTCAGATCATCACCAGACTTGGTCAGTTAGCGTGATTCGTCTCATTCAATGCCTAACCATACGAACTTTCGCCGAACGCTCGACTTCGAAATATTTCAGTCTGGTAGATTATGGCTTATTATAATGAACATCTAGTGGCTAAGGTACTTGGCTGCTGACCCGCAGGTCGCGGCATCGAATCCCGGCTGTGGCAACTGCATTTTCGATGGAGGCGAAAATGTTGTAGGCCCGTGTGCTCAGATTTGGGTGCACGTTGAAGAACCACAGGTGGTCGAAATTTTCAGAACCCTCCACTACGGCGCCTCTCATAATCGTATGGTGGTTTTGGGACGTTAAACGTACCCCACATATCAATCAATCTAATGAACAGTGAGGTGCAATAATCAGTTGCAAAATTTTCCATATGGCCTATAAAGTGGCATACTTGTAAGATTCCAACAAATCCACCTTCTAACTTGAGACCTGTCAGAACGGCTCTATATATTCCAATTGATGGAATGCATGGTTCCGATTAATGGTGATAGAAACAAATAACAGAGTTAACAACGCCATGATGACTCATCAATGATAACGCATAGATGAAACCACTACGCAGGATAGCACTACATTACTTACGACAGCATCCTTGGTGTCCGGTATGTTGACTTTGCCGACCGAAAGTGTAACTCCGGTTGTCTGCGGGTTTTCAGGACGATAACATTTTAGGGTTTTAATACTTATGTTTGAGGAGATAGCCTCCAGGTATATCTCCTAGTTTTATGATTATCCTATAGCTCACCATTGAGTAGTTTTTGGGAAAGTAGCTGCGGTCGTGCAGAAACACTTGTATCAGAGCCGTCTTGCCGATTGCGGCGTCTCCTGAAAAAACGAGGCAGTCTCTTCCAAATGAATGCTGTTAGCATCAGAGCGCAGTTAATGCGTGTCGACAGCGTTTAATCACAGTAGTTGTAGTAAATACGAATGAGATAAGTGCACACGATTACCGATAACAGCGCATTTCACGCGCAAAAGGTTTGCCATGTCTGCTGCGGCGTCCCGTCGTCTGCTGTTTTCACGTTGTCATGGTAACAAAATGCGGAGCTTAATAAAAGTAAACTTGTTTATTTAAACTAAAATAATACAGCAAAATTAAGTACGTAATAAAATAAAAATAATACTAAAAACTGAACGGGTTATGTTTTGACAAATCACCATTTTCAAGTGTATTTATTTTTGCTGCCAAATTGTGACTGCTTTCGCGCGTTTTTTCGCAGACTGTCGCGAATTTCGTCTCACTGTGTGTCGTACGTTTCATTGAAAAAAGTTATGTTTTAGTTGGTCGTGGGAGATAGCCGATTGAACTCTGCGGGCGCTCTTTGTGGCTTCTCGTCGAGACGTCGGGAAGAGGTGCACGTCGACCTCTTCTTTCACGAGTGTCCATCGTCGCAACGAGCGTGCGCGCGCGTTCAGGGTCACGGCCGCAGTGACCATGGCTGCTGCTACCTCCGATACCGCCGCCGCCGATCAGCCGCTGCTTACCGACCGCATGGTCGAGGAAGAGCAGAAGCTCCTCGAACAGGGCACAAAGGAAGAAGAGCAGGTAACTCAACTCGCGTACTTTTCATTGCCATTGCCATGCGCGTTGGCGCGGGTTTGCGAATCAATGAATGCCGTCATGGTTGTTCGTGGCGCCTTTTTTCTTGGCATGACTTCCCGAGACGGCGAGAGCTCTCGTTCTATTATTTCGAGAGAGCTTCGATATTTGTGTGGGACACGTGTGTTATGTTTATTTTGCGAGCTTCGTTTGTTCCGTGCGAAACGCGGTTTGTGGACTTCATTCGTCTGCATCTGCTCGCGAATGAAGGCACGTTTACGATGCCTCGAAAACCGTAGTTTGCTGTTTTTTTTCCCACGCGTGGTTGACCTAGAAAATTGTTTTGCCGTGGTGGGAGATTTTTTTTCGTAGGCGTGTTTAAAAAAGGAGTAAAAAGAAGTGTGTAGGTATAAATCGTCTATTCGTATAAGCGCGTCTGCTATTCGGCGCCGTCTGCGTTTGTCAGTTTTTTTTTTCGCGTATTGTTTTTTTTTTCTGCAAGCCGTGTATTACGATAATAGTTCAGACTGATAATTCTGATAACAACCTTTGCTCTACGTCGTGGCCGCCTTTAATCGAACTTCGCTACCATGTTTTGCTGCTGCTTATTGCCGTGTGCGTTGTTGGAGATAGGCAAAGAAAGAAAATAGCAAAAATGCTTTATGAAAATTCATTTATGCAATTTACAACCGCGTCTGGACGGGCGCAGATTGGCGCGCCGCGTCTTCGGAAGAACGAACTAAAAAAAAAAAAAATCAAGGCTTGTTCAAACTTGTTCGCGTTTTTATATCCGTGCGCTCATGGCTGCGTCGCATAACAGGCGTGCCATGCGGCGGAGCGGAGTTATTAATGCTAAAGTCTTGGTGTGTTCTTTTACTACCTGGCTGCGCGTTAAATAAAACATGTGAAGTTCAACGAAAGGAAGAGAACGTCTAGTTCCACCTAGCGTTTTTTTTCAATCATGCCAGTTACAGAACCCACACATGCTACTACTAGCATATTTTGCAGGGGGCGTGCAGATTGTCGCGCCACCTGGGCTCAACAATACAAAACACAAACGCGCCGCTGCCCTCCAATGGTGAAGGATAATTCGTCCGAATTAGCGGAAGGGCGCTTTTTCAGATCTCCCGAAAAAGGGACGGGGCACTTGTTCGGCATTTTATGGTATGTTGACAATTTCGGGCCGAAGTAAGAGAATCTGTGTTATGGGAGTGTTATGTTGGCATAGTAAAGCAGAGCTTATAAAATTGTTTAAAGTACGAACCTATGGAACAAAAATTAACATAGATTACGTTATTTCCTTAAGAAAACGTGTCTACGACATTTCTCGGAGCAGACAGCCTTCTTGTCGAGCTTCCTAGTCTTCTGCTTGACTACCATCTCATTCGGGAAAGTAAGCATTGGGTTGTCTTGACGAATTCAGCGCATTGTCTCTTCTCTGACCAAATCTAACCTTTTATGCTGTAAAAATATTCTATGATGAACATCCCAACTGCCCATCTCGTGATTCTGCTTCGACATTATTTTATTTAGAGATACTATCAACCCTCTAATGAGGGTCATTACAAGAAAGGTACGACACTGTACAAACAAAATTTACGTCTCCCAATGATAAACCAAGTATACATATATACGAATCCGTGAAAGCTCTGCATTCCTAACAAAAAACACACACCCTGAATCGCAATGCAACGAATAACATTGGTAATAATATTTACAATAAATCACACAAATGTAAATCAAGTATATGCACAAATTTATTAACATCACCCGCATTGACTATGTTACTCGGTAACCCATTCCAATCTTCAATGACATCGGGGAATAAAGTATGACGGTACGCCTTCATTCGTGCAAAATAAGGTTGCAGTACTCGTGTATGGTTTGCCCTCTCGCTTCAATTCCCAGGTTGTTCTATGTAGTCATTTCTGTTAATATTAAACTCACCTTCTAATAATTGAAAAAGAATCTTTAATCTATTTTTGCGTCTGCGCTTGTGGAGTGTCTCCAGATCACATAGTTGTAGCAATTCTGTGACTGAGTCATTCTGCTTATATCTCGAGCATATAAAGTGAGCTGCAAGCCGTTGTATGCGTTCAAGTTTATTTACAAGCTTTTTTTGGTGGGGACTCCAGACAATACTGGCATATTCCAGTATCAGCCGTATGAAAGTTTTAAAAGCAAGAAGTTTTACGTCCATACTAGCACTCTGCAGTTTTTTTCTTAATATGTACAATTTTTGTGAGGCCCTAGAGCAAACATTATCAATATGTGTGTGCCACTTTAGGTTATGCGTTATTGTGAGACCTAGGTACTTAAACACATTAACTGTCAGCAACAAGGTGTGATTCCCTATGCAGTATTCAAATGGAATTATCGTTTTTTCCTAGAAATGTGGGTGACGGTAGATTTCGAATGATTTCCGTTCCCGAAGCTTCACACCATAAGTGTAATTCCTTAGACATTCGACAATGTTCAATTGGTCCTTCCTACCAGTCACTCGCGCGTAAATTAAACAATTATCAGCAAACAGTTTGAGCTTAACATGGGGTTTTGCTATATCTGCGATATCTTTGGCTTGGTTGCTGAGCTGGCTCTTCTGACTGCTTTGTCAGAAATAGGAATGTTGTTGTCTATTCAGCGGTATACAGCGGGTATTGGTACACAGCATGTGATACACACTCTCTTTGCACCCTTTATGCTGTCGCTCCTCTAGTAGATGTAGGAAATTTTAAGGAGCTTTTTTAGAACAGGAATGAATGCTTTCTTTTGTAACATACATAATTTTTTACCAGAATGAGCGGTCGTTAAATGTTCTGACGATTGTCAAGGCATACCTAAAAGAAACGCTAAAGAAAATGACTTTTCTCGTTATAGTAAATTGACATTTAATGATACTGAATGCACCATTCTTACTATGAGATTGTGCCGGCTAAGTGGGAAAACATTGAAAAGGAAAATGCAGGGGTCGACTGCCTTGAACTTCCTGTGCCAGCTTATTGTGGTGTCATAGGTCTTGATGGAATTTGCAAGGCTTTACATAATCATTCGTTTCTGAGAAATTGTTTGCATCATGCTCTGCAGACACATGAGGTCTTAACACAAAAAGATGTTGAAAAGTTTCACAGAACCTATGTGGCCAAAAATAAGCTAAAGTACTACAAAATTTCTGATGTCACACTGAATGTTTTCAGTGACGTTGAAACATGAACCTTGAGCCTGCATTTTCTCTTATAATAATTTACCTATGACGGAGAAATCGATAGTTATGGAGTCTCAAAAGGATCGTTTATTTGTCTAAGCCGAGGCGTTTCATAGAAACCATCGTGAGAGGGCAACAAAACATGACGCACAGAAAGCGAGAGAAGAGGACAGACACCTGTCTGTCTCTCTGCACCTGTCCTTGTCTGTCTCTTTCTGTGTGTCGTGCTTTGTTGAACTGTTAACGATGGTTTCTATGTCAAAGCGTCAACTCGCCTAACAGTCAAGTTTTTTGAATCGTTTCACATTAGTGATCCTTTAATCCCGTTGTGTTCTTGTGCAGCGCACGCTGAATCGGCAGGAGCAGCAGGCGGCCGATCGCGAGGCATGCCTCGAGCGGCTCAAGAAGCTGCTTCGTGCCACCAACATTTACTCACAGTTTCTCGTCAGTCGCATCGAGAAGCAGAACGCCCAGAGGGCTGCTCAACAGCAGCAGCGGCCTAGCAAGAAGGTGCCAGAGGGACCCAAGGAACAGCAGGTATGTGTCTTTCTCTTTTAATAAAGGAGGAATTTCAAATACTTTTGGTTTGCCGCTCAAAATGAAATTGTTGTCGAGAACCCTATAAAAAGTACCGTAGGGTTTTGGAACGTATTGAACATATATTTAGTACCGCTAACATAAAACCGCAATCTTGGTTTCAGTATGAAGTGTCTTCGCAATGACATGTCAGCAAAAGTCTGACATCGCAAGAACACTGCAACTTTTGACATACCAGCAACAGCTGCTAGTTGCGTGTGGTTCAAGTAAAGAACGAGTGTAATGATCTCCCAAGACTCCGACAGCAATTTCTGCTATTTATACTGCATGCATTTTGCAAACCCTGTAAACCATGTTAATATAGTATCTATTGCAGTAGGGCTGGCTTGCAGAAGCCAGGCGATGAAAAGTTTGAAATATCTGGCTTCGGTGTGTGGCAAGGGCCAGTTGTGCTCGCCTTGAAACAAAAAAAAGTCACTTTTGGAATGCCTGAATATCATGTCAGTGCCTACTTACACTATCTTGAGGCACCCAAAAAGGGACGTGGGTAATTTCTTTATTGAATTTTTTTGCTTTTTACTGCTTTCTAGGGTGACTTTTGCACGGATACAGTCGTTATATTAGTGTATGTGGTAATTCAGACCACAGAGCCTTTGACCAATGAGGATAGATCATTGGAAGATACTTTCTCATTTGGTCTTCCAAAAGTTTGAGCAACTTGATGCGAGATGCCTTGGCGGATGCTACGACAGTATTTCTTGCGTTGTGTCAAGTTCTCTGTGTTCGTGTGGTAGGCTGAGAGCACTGTTGACCATGTACCTTTGATCTGTTTGCTGTCAACCTTTGTCAAATCTCGTGAAAGGGTAACCGTTCGCAATGGCGACAATCTTGGGATACCATCCCAGTTTGTGCAATGCTTATTTTTTGTTTGGTCGCCTTGTGCGATGTTGTGGAGGCTGGTGAGACTTTTTAGTAGCTGTAGACATATGGACAAGCGGGTTGTTTTTAGTCATATTGGTAGGAAACTCTGTGGCCTCAAACATGGTTTTTGGCAATGCCACTGGTGGCAGCTATGGTTTTTTTGTGCCGTGTTCTGTTGTGGATGAGACGACGAATTTGTCTTTTTTTTTTTCAAGAGGCCCGTTTTTTTGTTATACACAGCCAAATAAATTCCAACCACGGAGTAAACAAGAAATAATTTAGGTGTGGACATTCTTTGGACGCTGCGATGGAGAGAATGTCCAGATAATGTTGTGCTTAAGTACGTGCACCGTGAATGCTAGCAACTAAAGCGTGAAACACATGCCACCTTTCTTGTGACCGGAAAACTCCACGTGCGGCGAATGTCACTGTTGCCTCCCCAGTGCTCTCTCGTGTGCAACGCTGGTACATATGCTGCATGTGCAGATCGTCATCTATGGTACATGCGCGGGCCGCTGTTGCATGGGGGGTGCTGCGACGTTGGGGCTTAGAGGGACTGAAAGCCTGGAACATCATCTGGACATGCCGCAGGGGGGAGTGTCCACGCTTAAACTATTTTTCTCACACCGTAACACGAACGGACACTTGAGCTAGAAGAGGTGTAGAGGCTGTTAATCGTTCTAATGCTGTGTTAATGTGTCTTAAGGCTTCGTTGTGGTATTCATTTGCACCGTTCTTTCTGACCTTTCAGCCAAGCCGGGCCTCCTCCAGTAGGTCCTCGCGGAAGGCAGCGGCGGAGAGTAGTGCCGAGCCCTCCAAGGCGCCAAGTGGCAAGAGGAAGGCCTCGCCCAACTCTCAGGGTAGGACAGTGGTGTGATGGTGCCAGACTTAAGTACACTGTAACAAAGTCTAACGAGTTCACTGCTAACAAAGCAAGGTGACCATACATCAGAGCGCTAGCTTCTTCCATCAAAAGATTATTCAGTGCCGCCACTGTTTGTGCTCCTCTGCATTGTCACAAGTGCGCAAGTGTCATTATTCCGCTTTACAAAAAAAAAGACTGCTCTTGTCCTCTCAATGAATCAGCTGACAGGCGCAGTAAATTCAGCTGAGTAACCAAGATAGCAGAACGACTAATTCCTGGGCTAGCTGGTGCTTGCTCGTAATTGTGGTGTAGCGCTGAGACATAAAACAGAGGCACAAATGGTGTGTGATTCAGCGTCTCTGTTTTGTGTCTTTGCTCAAAGACATGATAACAATTTGGATTATTCAAGGTTCTTTTTTGCGCAATGGTTATTTTTAAAACTTCTGTACATGTTCTATCCTTGCTCGGTAAAAGCTGCCACTCGATGTCGAGCACTCGTTTTGCTTTTACTGCTTGCACGTGGCACTAGTTCGTCACGTTCAACGATGGAATTGTGAGCAACAAACTTGTGTTTGTCGTTATTGTTTATTTTTTAGTATCATTATTATTAGACCGGACACTGGCAAGCTTTCAGAGGAAACGAAGAATCTCATTAGGAAGCGTCAAATCATGAAAGTCTCAAGTACAACAGACAAAATAGAACTGTCAGAGCTTTTGAAGTTGATTAATAAGCGTAAGGTATCCGATGTAAGAAGGTATAACATGGAGAAAATTGAACACAGTCTGAAAAACGGAGGAAGCGTCAAAGCAGTGAAGAGGAAACTTGGGATAGGGAAAAATTGGACGTATGCACTAAGGGACAAAGAAGGCAGAATAACTACCAACATGGATAGGATAGTTAAAATAGCGGAGTGGCACTCAGCTGCTGATCCGCAGGTTGCGGGTTCGAATCCCGGCTGCGGCGGCTGCATTTCCGATGGAGGCGGAAATGTTGTAGGCCCGTGTACTCAGATTTGGGTGCACGTTAAAGAACCCCAGGTGGTCGAAATTTCCGGAGCCCTCCAGTACGGCGTCTGTCATAATCATATGGTGGTTTTGGGACGTTAAGGGAAGACGCTCCTCGAAAAAGTTTTTTTTTTTTTATTTCTAGTAATAGAGACTTGAAAAGTTTGTTATTTGTATAGTTTTTCATGCAGATTTCAATTATGCAATCATTTTTGTGTAGCTGCTATAATTATTGAGTTATGCCATAAACAATAGCAAAAAGTTACATTTTTTGCGGGCACTCTTTTATGTATTAAACTTTCAGTAAAAGCACTGTGTCTGATCTTATTTGACTCTTGGTAGATTGAAAAGTGCAAATATCTATATAGATATGTCACAGAAATATTGGAACCAAGAAAAAAAAATTGTATTGAATGACTTATTATTTTCAATCTCCCTTGAAACAATAAGCTAATATTTTCACAACTAATGCTGGTAGGCATTGCAATTTAGAGTAGATATTTGCATTCTGCATGTGTTGAAGAATATGTGTGCCAAGTTTCGTTACTATACAATGAATATAAGTTTCTAAAAGGCTGCCCGGAAAACGTGAAACTGTCAGAAAAAATGAAAATGAGAAAAACAAGTTTGAAAGTTTGCAAAGTTGGCATTTATTAGGAAATCATTCTTTTTGCATCAAATTGGGGCACAATGAAAAGTACCTTGCCTTGAATGCACTGCAAGTGTCTAGAAGTCCCCTGCACCATAGCTTGGTCCTTCACGGCTCTTGCGGTCAGTGTCCTCAACACGAGCTCTCTTCGCTGTGTTGCGACGGTGTGCCCTCGCTTCTGCAGTTTGCTTCAGGTTCATCTTCCTGATGCGCATGACGTCACAGTGGTCACCATGTGTGGCCAGATCTTGTGAGGGGAGAATTCCAATGCCTTCGAGCACTTCTTCAAAGCCCCTGTGGCCTTTGTTGTACCAGAGTACAGCAAGAGCGGTGGCTGTCTCCACAGTTGTTCTGGAGGCGAACTTTGTTTTTGGACATAGCAGCCATATCTTGCTGTTCAGCGATTCGGCTGCATTCTGTGTCTTGCCATGAAGGCACCAAATAAGGAGTTTCTCCTCTGTAAGGCGCTTGTAGATAGGCATAATTGCCAATCCTTGAGCCTTCGTCAACAGTGGGGTGTGGCGTGGTGCAGGCTCCCCCAGTGCTTTCGCACGCTTGTGCTTGCACCACGAATTTGGTCCCGCGGGGCAAAAGTTGTGGCTACTGGCACCATCACTGGAGCAGCAATGAAAATACGATGCCCATATGGCAGTGTACATATTTCGGACACTGTCCTTGTTGCTCGTGATGGCGATCTTGTAATATGTTTGTAGTTTTATTATTGTCGCATCTTTCAGTTTTTCGCCTCGTGGCAGTGGCGTTGCCAATTTCCGTAGGGCAGTTCCCAAGCGCTTTGCAATGTGGTTCGTGCACTCTTCTTTGTCAATGGGGGTGTCACAGTATACATTTGTCTCGCAGACTGCAGTGTAGGCCTTGCTGTCACCATCACTTAGGAAGCTGGTGAATCGCAGTGGAGTTTCATAAGACGAGGTCCTCTGCCATATATTGACAGCTGCCGCAGGTTCCATTGCATGGGATGAGCAGTCAGTGTTTTTTTGGCAAACTGGAAGATGAAAAGCTTGCCATATCTCTTCATCCTCCCCAAGGTCCCTGTGTATACTGCAAGCATGGCAGTAGTTCGAAAGAACTTCAAAATCGAGGCAGAGCCCCGTGTCCAGGGACACGACTGTGCCCACTCCATTGTGGCTTTTATGACCTCTTTTCTGCCAGGTGCCATCAAGCATGACTGGCACATCTCTTCCGCCGACTGCGTCCTTCGTGATGTTTCGTGCCTGGTGCAAGTTTTTGCTCACTGCCGTCATCGCCGCACCATAGAGCTTCTTGCAAATGCCGTTGAATGTCCTGTGATGCAACGGGCTCGGAAGACCGAGAATCGCACAAAATCGTGAAAGTTGGTCATGGCCTGCGCCTATAGCGCGTGCTGCCAGAACTGCCTTCACGTTTACAGCAAAGCTGTCACGCGAGCTGCCGCTGTCAAAACGAGCGCTCGTTCCTTGGTCCCCGGCCGAAGCAGTACATCTCGACGTGTGCGTGAACGAAAGAGCAGATTCAGGGCAATCAGAATTTTGACAGCACAGTTCGAGAAATGCCGAAAGTCCTTTGCGCTTTCCAGCTACCTCTCGCATGCCGAGCTTCCGTTCGCGGCAGGTTGGGCATTGCGCACCCGCCACAAGTGCCGTCAGCGCATCGATTTCGCAAAGCAGCATGTTCGCAGTAGCAGCATCTACCGGTCTACGTTCACTCTCGAAGAATCCAATCTTCCTTTGGGATGCACTGACGAATTCCACGGCAGCGGCTATTTCACAACCACTGTCGCAGGGTTCGGTGACGGTGTTAGGCCTATCCGAAGTCGGAGCGTCGGGGCGTTGGTCGGGGGCGACATCGTCGTTCGCTGTCGCTTTGCGAAGCGTCCGACGCCGTTTCCCTCGATACTTGTGGCGAGTTCTGAACTTTCGATTATCTGAACTGCATTTCTTCGGGCTTGCCATGACGCAAAAATGCAGAGAAACGCAGAAAAACTCGATCGCGATGTCCGAGGCTTCGCTCTTTTGCCGGAGAGATAGGAGGGGGAGGAGCGTGGAGCGCACCGCCGTCCAATGGCGGCCTCGCGCTGTGTGCCGCGATATTCAAAACGTGTGACGTATGCATTGTTTTTCTCGTTTTTTGTTTATTCTGCGTGAAGGCACGAGACTGGCTACTAGTGGATTATGAAAGATACGGCCTTCGCAGCATGCGTGCACGATTGCAAATGGCAGCCAATGCGTCGTTTTCGCGATAGGACGACACGAACTTCGCCGTTTTTCGCGCATTTCTCGCTTCACCGCTGCCCACTTGGAAGCATTTTTTGATAATTTCTCGTAGCTTGATATTTTCAGAAGTAATAGATTATAGTTCAAGGATGCCAATACAGCCGGAAAAAAAAAAGCGAAAATTTTCCGGAAAACCGCGACTTTTCGACCCGCGTCTCCCCTTAAACCCCACATATCTATCTAAAATAGCGGAGGAGTTCTATAGGGATCTGTACAGTAGCCAGGACAACCACGGCCTTAATACTATAAAAACTAGCAGTAACCCAGATGACACCCCACCAGTAATGATAGAAGTCAGACAAGCTTTGGAGAGCATGCAAAGAGGCAAAGCTGCTGGTGAGGATCAGGTAACATCAGATCTGCTGAAAGATGGAGGACAGATTGTGCTAGAAAAACTAGCCACCCTGTTTACAAGGTGTCTCCTGACAGGAAGAATACCGGAGTCTTGGAAGAATGTTAACATCATCTTAATTTATAAGAAAGGAGATGACAAGGACTTGAATTACAGGCTGATCAGCTTGCTCTCTGTAGTATACAAGCTGTTTACAAAGGTAATTGCTTGCAGAGTAATGAAAGTATCAGAATTCAATCAACCAGAGGAACAAGCAGGATTTCAAACAGGCTACTCAACAATCGACCACATTTATACTATAAATCAGCTTATAGAGAAATGCTCAGAATATAGCCAACCACTATACATAGCCTTCATTGATCACGAGAAGGCGTTTGATTCAGTAGAAATATCAGCAGCCATGCAGACGCTGCGGAATCAGGGCGTCGATGAAGCATATATAAACATCCTGGAATAAATATACAGGGGACCAACTGCTACCATAGTGCTTCATAAAGAAAGCAACAAAATACCAGTCAAGAAGTGTGTAAGGCAGGGGGATACAATCTCCCCACTGCTATTTACCACGTGCTTACAGGAGGTTTTCAGAGGCCTAGAATGAGAACAGTTAGGGATAAGAGTTAATGGAGAGTATCTTAGTAACCTGCGCTTCGCTGATGACATTGCATTGCTGAGTAACTCAGGGGATGAATTGCAACTCATGATTAAAAAGTTAGACAAGGAGAGCAGAAAGGTGAATCTTTAAATTAGTCTGCAGAAAAGGAAAGTAATGTACAACAACCTCGGAAGAGAGCAGCGCTTCGAGATAGGTAATAGTGCGCTTCAAGTTGTAAAACACTATGTCTACTTAGGGCAAGTAATAACCGCGGAGCCAAACCACAAGATTAATGTAACTAGGAGAATAAGAATGGGGTGGAGCACATTTGGCAAGCACTCTCAAATTATGACAGGTAGATTGCCACTATCTCTCAAGAGCAAGGTTTGTAACAGCTGTATCTTGGCGGTACTTAGCTACGGAGCAGAAACCTGGAAACTTACAAAGAGGGTTCAGCTTAAGTTAAGGACGACGCAGCGAGCGATGGAAAGAAAAATGGTAGGTGTAACCTTAAGAGACAAGAAGAGAGCAGAGTGGATTAGGGAACAAACGGGGGTTAAGGATATCATAGTTCAAACCAAGAAGAGGAAATGGACACGGGCCGGGCATGTAGCGCATAGACAGGATAACCGCTGGTCATTAAGGGTAGTTGACTGGATTCCCGGAGAAGGCAAGTGGGTTAGGGGGAGACAGAAGGTTAGGTGGACAGCTGAGATTAAGTTTGCGGGTGTAAATTGGCAGCAGCAAGCACAGGACCGGGTTAACTGGCAGAACATGGGAGAAGCTTTTGTCCTGCAGTGGACGTAGGGAAGCTGATGATGATGATCATTATCATTTCCATTGTGGTGAGCAGACGCAGTTCCTGTGCATAAATAAACACGTATGTGTGTGCTGTGATGAAAACAAAGTTCGCAGTGCTGCATCTGAGCATGCTGCAGTTCACGCTTTTCTATATATATATATATATATATATATATATATATATATATATATATATATATATATAATATAAAGATGCTAGAGCCATCCGTGACACATTCAGGGACGGTAAGATGGTGTTCAAGGAGTGCTTGCGGAAAAATAACGTGAACTGCGGAGCACGAACGTGCTGCGCTTTTTGCATTTTTTCTCATCACCTCTGCCCGTGAAAAATTGAGAAGGACCATGAAAACATGGAATTTAGCGTGAGGTACATAAGCCGCTTTTAGGGACCTGTTTTTGTTAGGTTTGGCTGCCTTCAGTGTGAAAAAGATTCGTTACTGGTAATAATCGTTATTAATGCTTCTTTTGTTTTTGCGCAGAAACTAAGGCCAAGTTGACTCGGCTGGACCCTGCAACTGCCTCGCCACCGTCCTCTCAGGTTAGTTCGTGTTGGCTTTCAGTTAGCACTTGCCTACAGGGGCTCCCTTGAGTCAGGGAGATGATATGGTCCTGAACCACATTACTCAGCACAGCTCATCGGAGTCCGATCGCTTGCTATTAACTCAAACCTTGGTTATAATGAACCCAGATATAACGAAATATTGGTTATAACAAAGTAAACGAAGAATACTCTTGTAATAGGTATAGTGTTTGGAATGTACTTTTATAACGAATATTCAAATATAACAAACCTATTTTAGTTTAATATGCAACTTCGTTATAATGAGTTCTGAGTGCAAGAACTTTAACATGGTTTGTGCCTTCTTTACTATGAGCGCAAAAGGACTTGTAACGCACTGTGTGTGTGTTCTTGAGTGAATCTGAATGGCTTGCTTTGTTTAAACGTTTCTAATATTAAAATGCATGTCCCCTTTTTGTTGCCTGCTTTTAAAATGAACTGTTCTAATACAGCATGGCCTGTAAGAGTAGCGGTTGCAGCTATAATGACTCGTTTTTGCACGCAAGTTCACTGTCTATTTTTGACTGTTGTAATGGTGCAGCACGCAGGGTGGACACAACAGTATTCTAATGTTTACAGTCAAACCTCAATATATCGAACACGGATATATAGAATTATTGCCTATATCGAACGGTTCTTATATCACACCGGAAATCGCATGCATTATTGATTTTTTATTTCGAACAAAGTTTGACATATAATGGATATATCGAACTCACCCACCCCAAACCGCCCGCGCTCCATTGACAGGCGGCGACCTTTCCCGCAACTCTCGAAAGTAGCAGTAGAGCGGCTGGCAATTACGAATGCTGCACACATCGATGGCGCCGAGAGCGCCACTTTAACGTAGCTGTGTACGCGCGTCGCAGCCTTGCAGCTTGCAGTCGTTGCAGTCTCTATGGTGTCAACGGCACACTGCGCACTTGTTGCAAGCTCCTCCCCCGTAGCATCGGCAGGCATCGGTCGTTGTGCTCGCAGTGTTCGTGCGTTCGGAGTTAGGCCTGTCACACTGTGGTGCGCGACAGGCCTAACTCCGAACGACGGAGCTCACGGCGGAGCTCACGGATGTGGAGATTGTCGCTGAAACTACTGCTGAGCAGCCAAATGAAGACTGCCGAGGTGCATCCCGCAAGCGCTGATGGTGCCCCACTCTCGACATCAGCTGAGGTCGTAGCTGTCTTGGCCCTTGTGCGCCGCCACTGCGGCGCGATTGAAAGCACCGGCCTATCACTTATGGATCGCCTGGACTATATTGAGGACGCAGTCGTCAAACACGCCATGGCCAACAAAAGCAGGCTACTCTTTTTCAATATTTTAAACCAACACAATAAATACTATGTTTGAATCTTCAAGTGAGTATTTACTGCACCACGCTTGAACGGTTTGTTGGTTGTTTTCAGCAAGCTGTTGACGAATTTTTTTCGTGATTTTTTTTATATCGAATTCTGAATATATCGAACTATTTCACGATCGCCGCGCTGTTCGATATATCGGGGTTTGACTGTATATCTCTGTTGTTCCGCACAGTTTGATGTAACATTGCCATCATTTTCGTTGCTGTCGTTTCGTTGTTGGCGGTTTCGCCGAAGTCGTTGTCGTAACTTATGTGTTGTACTTTTGCGTATCACCACTGCAGAAATGCCTGCCTGCACCTTTGCTCGTTCGCGGTAAAATTTGGTGGAAGTAAATAAGTTAGCTACAATATAAAAGCCCTTAGACACTTGCTCCACTTCTTGCTGTTATAAGCTGACTGTAGTAAGAGTTGTGCGATGCTAGTCTTTTTTGCTTGGCGCTCAGAGTCTGTTTCAAGTGTTGTGTGTGATTACTTTTGTTGCCGAGTGCCTTGGGGCTGCAGTTTAGGTCGGTCGCATTTTGGGATGTGCTTTTTATTAAACATCTCTTCTTTGGCCCAGCTTGGTGCCTGGCTGTGGCAAAACTGTATTGTGCCGGCTGGGTTAGTCCATCAGTGGTCAGAAAAATTGGCATAGCTCAGACCTAAATATAACGAAAAGTTTTAAGAAGTAAATCAAAAATAGCCTTGCAATAGATATAGGGTTGGGAAGAAACCTTTGTATTGAATTTTCAGATATAAGAAACCTATTTTCCTGTAAGATGTAGTAACTTTGTTATATTGAGGTGTGAGCGTATGCTCTTTACCGTTGAGGCACTTGCACACACTTGTGTACACGATTTGGTTTTGCTATTGGTGTTGACTACTGGCAAAGAAAGGGCAAGATTTTTGGAGCTGGTTGAAGTGAATTTCCTCTGTTATAATAGTATTCATTTAACTTCATTTTTTTTGGGCATACGGTTGCATATGCTCACTTTGCTAATGTACGAGTGCATGATAAACGTGCCGCTTTCCGTGAGCCTCACAGGATGCATACTTTTCTTTTGCTCGAAATGAAGTTAACCAAAAACGAAACTTCTGTGTGTTCCTGGCCGGAAACTTGATTCTGTTTACACAAAAACAGACTATAAGGAGTTGTATAATTAAAGTAATTACTATAAAACACAAATCTGCATATTGTGGCATCATTTGTGTCGCAGTAGAATACTAAAAGCCTTGAAATACACTCAGACCTCATATAATGAATCTGGATATAACGAAATATTGGTTATAATGAAGTAAACGAGGAATATTCTTGCAATAGATAGTGTTAGCAATATACCTTTTTAACGAATTTTTGGATAAAGCGAACTTAATTTAATGTAGTTGCATCGTAATGATGTATGAGTGTACGGAATAAATCTGACACATTTGCGGACACTTCTTTGTAGGTCATGCCTGAAGAGCACCCATCGTGCTAGAATCACATTTCATGAAAAGGAGTTGTTTTGTGTGGCAAAAGTCTTCTGTAAGTTTGCTTTGTTTGTTCCTCCTCGAGATAAAGAAATCCTTGCTGGTTTATAGATGGATCGGTGTCATAAATGTTCTCTGGCATTGCCCCTTCCCATCCGAGAGTTCCCCGTTTGTTCAGTGCGATGCCGATGCGCTGCACTGTCTCTACAATGCCTTCTCTCATGCTGTCCTGCCCGACAGGAAGGGTCTCCTGCCCGCCCGTCAAGCGGCCCCCACAACTCAGACTGCACTTCGGGCCAGCCATCTCTGTTCACAGGGGGCGTAATGAGGTCGTACCAGATTGAAGGCTACCAGTGGCTCAAGGTGAGTGTGCTGTAAAATTATTTCACCATGCTCTCGTCTCGAGAATATAAAAGAAAGCTGTTGGTTAAGGGGAGACACTGCTCTTCAGAAAAAGTTATTGGAGACGAAGCTCCTTTAGGCGTAAGCTTGTCCGCAGTCTTAGCTGCCCCTGGTACTCAGAGTGCTCACGAAATGGCAATGGCGCTGCGGCACTCGCTCTACTCTGATGCGTAGGAGACGGACAGACAGATGGCCGTCTTTGATGATGTACTAGGTAAGATTCACGGAATATTAAGTTTAACCGATGAACCTCCGCAGCTTTGCCCACTCATAATCATTCACTCTCTAGATGTGCTGTGATTTTTTTATTACGTAGTTGATTTTGACGAAACTTGGTGAGTATATGTATAACTGAGTGCCAATTTCAAAAATTTTAAGCTGGGATTTCATAGGCAAATGTTCAACATTCATTTTTGGTGCACTGAAATCGACTATGATTCCAGATGATTGTATTAGTATGCTAACTTAACCGTCTTTATTTAGAAAAAATACGTGCTCCCCATAAGGTACATAGAATATTTCGTATTTTATTAATGCGCCTCATATAAGAAAAATAATTGCATACAGTCGAGCCCACATATAACGGCCCCACTTAAAACGAACTTTCGCTTAAAACGAACAATATCCGCGTGACCATCAAAATATACATTGGTTCAATGGCACAAAATCGCACTTACAACAAACGTCTCCGAGCGCCGCTGATCGGTTACAGCGAACGTAGTCAGCGGTCTGCCGACTTCCTGGGAAACCAATTTCGACCACCGATCAGGCATCGGCGAGGTGCCCATACATTCTTATTGTTAAACGCCAATTCTGTCTCTGCGCCCCTCTGGTAGCTGCTCTCCCCGACCGCTTTTTGTTACGCACCCCTCCGTCCTTTGTCTCCCCCCCCCCCCCCCCCCCCCCCCCCCCCCCCCCCCCCCCCCCCCCCCCATTTTGAGCACCCCGCATTGCCAGACGAGGCCAGTGTTTTCACACTGCCACCAATCTTTCGAAGACGTGTCCGCCACGCTCCCTGTTTTTGATCGCTGGTACTGTCGTTGGCGTCACCGGCCTGGAGTGACCAGACCATTTTGCCAACATCGTCGGCCACCGACTGTGTCCGATAGTCTGCGTCTAGTGCACTCGCTTACGCTACCCCACCGACTGATAATTTGCGATTCGTTTTGTGTTTAGGACTTGTTCTCGCTCACTTCGCACTCGGCTCAGCATGCCTTTCGCGCGTGTGTGGAAGCGCGAACACGGCTGTTAATTTGCGCGGAATGAATCGCGCAATATCGAAGTTCGTGAGGCCACGCAAACCCGCCGGCGCAGCAAAACGATTTTTTTATCATGGCCGCGGATTCTTCGTACACCGCCGCGCGCACCGAACGAGGCGGCCATGCTTTGACTTCTGCGCGCGCTGGCAATCTTTTCAAGTTTTTCTACGTGCGAGTTTCACGGACCTTTCAAGCAAACTACCCAACCTGCCTCCTTTCCGTGTGTTTTGGTTTTCAATATCGCCCTCCCGCTGCATCCTCCCCTCTCTTTATCGCACGAAGGAAGGAATCTTTCATTCCTCCGTGCTTTATCGCAACTCCTTGCCCTTTTCTCGCAAGTCTGCTCTCCTCTCTTGATCACAACCCCTGCGCCAGTCACCACCGCTTCGCGACGCCCGCCACGCTGGCTCGAATTAGTTCCGTTTTCCGACTGGAAACGTGCTCAGAGCTGTTCCACGCGTGTGCGCGCCTTGCTCGCTCTTGGTGTGCATGCGTGTTCATGATGGCCGACGGGAGGACTAGCACGCTTTTTCCTGCCGCTCAACAAAACGTCGAAACTGTGACCGCTTCGCTTGAGCGTAATCTGTGTGTTAGGTGCCGCGTTGCAGAGCGCTTGCTCATAGCTGTTGACCACCTGGCAGCCAACTTGCCGCTTCGGGTGTCTCGGTATTCAGCTGTGGAGATGGTGAATATTTCGTGGGTGGCGGTGACGGCTACATGTGCGCGAAACTATTTTCGCGAGGCCGACTTCGTCGATCGTCGACCCCGATGCCGAGCCTGAAGCTTTCAAACAGGACCACTGCGGCAGCGATTTGTGGCAGCGCGTCGTAGACTCCGACCTGGGAGAGCGGGTGGGACATCTGTTGCGAGGATTTAATTACGGCCGTGCACGGTTCTGACACTGCGGAACCGTGCACGAATTGGGGCATTGTGAGTGAAGTACGGGGCGAGAACGACCAAGCTTTGGAGCCAGCGCCTCATGCAGCTTATGCCACGGGCCTCAGCGAAGGGGCAACCTGCCGTTTTAAATGAACTCGAGACCGCCCTTATCGTTTCTGCTATTCGAAACACGTGCATCACGAACTTTTTGGAGCAAAAGTGTTTGTGTTTTCACTCGCAAATTTTTTAAAAGCTGTGTTTCATTTGCTACGAACTTTGGGATACAGCGAACGGATGCCGCGTCACGCTCAGGTTCATTATAAGTGGGCACGACTGTAATTGAAATCGGCACACAAATACGCTTGAGCTCGGCAAGTTTCATCAAAACTCGTAAAAAATTTTTTTTTAAATATATCAAGTGCAATGTGCCCCCTTAAACTATTTGAATGGGGCATTTGACATCCTTTTAAATGTAACACCCAATTCATGTGGACCTGAATCGAAATGTTTTTGAGTGTCTCATTGTCGTCAGCTTTTGTGAAAACTGACATCATTTTGGTTTACACTCTCGCATTGATCTAAGCTGTGAAAAGGGCCCATTCTAGTTTCGTAAGTCAGCAGGAAAATTCAGCGAGGAGTTCAACATAGGCAGTATGTCATGTCATTTTATTCCTTCACCTTGGCGTTGTTATGTTAGTCCAATGAGAAGTTCTGAAGACGAGAAATTCGATGTGACTGCTACATTCTTCATCTGGATTTGGAAGTGCCATCTTTCAGAATTTAACTGCAGTACTTGAGCCATAAGCTTAAAAAGTTAGTTTTTCGCATCACAGCATGAGAACTTGAGCAGGATGTCTTACTGCATGTTTCTAAAAAGGTACAGTAGTACCTCATTAACTCAAAGTCTAGGAAACCAGGGAAAATTTCAAGATAACGGGTTTTCGAGATAAGCAAAGTTGTGCGAATCACCAGGAAAAATGAAAGATAAGCAAAGTTGTGCTAATCACCGGGAAAAATGAAAGGTTTTCAGAAAAACTCTACTACTTGCCATCTCTTCACTGGCAGTTTCCAATCTCGTGAAGAGAGAAAAGTAACATACAAAAGACTTTAGCTTTTGGGTTTTGTTGCACTGCCATATTTAGTAGAGAAAAACAGTCTAATCCTTGTATGCTTTGCAGTCGTACTGGGTCTAGCAAGGAGTCGTCCAGCTACTTGACAAAAGTTTGCTTGACAAAGTTGATATGTTGCTGGGCTGAGACATCACGCACTGCACGTTCGCGGAAAGTATCAACGTAGTGACAGGCCTGACTAAATAAGTAAGAGAAATTGACAGACTTCAGGCGTGGCGGTATCGTGCGAATCTTGTGAAATTGCCCGGCAGAGGATTTTTCGTTCGAATGCCAGCCTAGATTTCAAATTATTTGCAGTCCGACCCCAAAAATCTTTCAAGATAAAGCGAAAAATATACATGGAACGTATAGGAAAATGTTCGGTGCCGCGGAAAATTTCAACTTAGCCGATTTTTCGAGATATGCGAGTTTGAGTTAATGAGGTAGTACTTTAGCTTGTGTGAATTGTGAAATTCAATCATTAGTTATGTGCATTTGTTTTTTACACATAACCAGGTCCTGTACGAGAACGGCGTCAATGGCATCTTGGCGGACGAAATGGGTCTAGGCAAGACGGTTCAGGTGATCGCCCTGATCGCCTCGCTCGTTGAGAGCGGGCTGCCAGGCCCTTACCTCGTGGTGGCGCCACTGTCCACCCTGCCCAACTGGCTGAACGAGCTGCAGCGCTTCACTCCATCGCTCTCGGTGGTCCTCTACCACGGACCGCGAGAGGAGAGACACGCACTCGTAAGTTGAGATTCGTACCTGCACCATGTGTTGGGAGATCTTGCCAATTTCAGTTCTGCTCTACCGCAATTCTTGCATCAACCTCGCAATCAATTGTTAGGTCAGTTGTTGCCTAGGGTAAAACAGCTGTGCCATTCTGTGCCAAACTTGTTTACCTGTGCCATCTTGCGCAAAGCTCGTTTGTGTGTGCCGCAGCACCCGAATTTAGCCGCAAGGTGTGACAGCAATCAAGCCTCATGCCCGAAAAGATGACTGAAACATCTGCTTCTCTGTTTCATCGAAACGGTTATCATTCTGATTTCATCAAGGCCATGATCACTAAAGTGGCAACCTTGATTCTAAGGGCGCGGTGTGTGTGTGTGTGTGTGCTATTTTGGCAGGCGTCAGCGCGAATGGCTCGAGAAGCCTTTTACATGCTGCACTCTTCAGGCGAAGATACTGCAGGAAAAACATCTTTCACTGGCCCGGCTGCTCTCTTACACCAGCGTTCTCTACAGCTGTGCGGTATCAGATCCAGAAGAGTTATCTGCCAGCCTCTTCATATAACATTACAATTTGTTGCTATTGCATTCATTGCTTCAACCTTGTGGTAGTATTTTTTATTATTTATTTATTTTTAGAGCTACACGACAACGTTCAAAACAAAGACTGTTACCGTAACCATGGTGTTTCCTAAAATTAATTTTAGGGGACTCTGCTGCTGCGATTGTTCAGCGACCTTGAGAATGATGGGTATTGCACGGATATGCCTAGTCTGTGCTTGCAGGCCTGGAAGGCACTTGTGGTTTAGTTTATTTCTGTGTCTTGGGTTTGTTTCGAATCGTGAGTTGATTTGAATTGGTGTGCCTAAAAGGTTAAAGTAGGGAAGTGTAACCGCTGAACGTTTGCGGATTGTCATTTCGTGACAGAGCAACTTCAAGCCACGCGAAGTTAACTAGAGCTGAAAGTACAAAAATTAGACAAATCTGTGTACAACCCATCATTCCCATGCTCGCTGAAGCGCCGCGGTTTGTAGCTTCCATAGACACTAGCATCAGCGTTCTCTCTAATGTATTTATTGGAAGCTCTATGACTAAGGCTCCTCGCTTTCTGCGATTCTGCAATAAATCACGGAATTTACGTTTTTCTGTGGAAATATAAAAAACAGGCCGGTTCAGCGAAATGTCATGGAATTTAGTTTTTTTTTTCTTTGCGGGAATGCAAAAAGTTGTTAGTTTGTGTGCAACGCCAGCTAACAGGTTTTCGGGCGTGCAATAAAGAATCAACACTGCTGTTGTGTGTAAAATAACTTGCTTTTGGTATGAGCTTTGATTATAAGATGGGCGAGTCAGCATTTGCACTTCTTTGGGAACAGATAAGACGCAGACTAGTCTACCGCGAAATAGGGCTGTGTGACGAACTCGCAACCACGCTCGCAACGCGCTGTTGCGAAGGCGGTTCCAGTTTCGTACTCGATGAAAACGCGGAGGCAATTTCTTTGTACTCTCTTTTTTTTTTTCAAAAAAAAAAAAAGGTCTGCATTAGATGTCGGTGATCCAATGTTCTTGTATACTTTTTGAGTTAATAGAAAAATGGTTCATGTTGCTTTATCGTTTTTTAGTAGTAGGAAAAATTGAAGCCCCCACTGATAACAAGGCTGAACGGTAGCCATAGGTTGCCGTAGCTGTAGCCTCCTATCCATCCAACGTACTGGCTTTTTTTTACGACTGCACGTGCAACCGCGTATAGATGTTTACTGGTGTGCCTTGTTCTCGTTCGCTTTGGTCGTTCTAGCCACCCTAGCTTTAGTTCAAGATCGATGCACCAGTAGACATGGCGCCTTCAAGGTCGCATTTAAGTAAAAAGACTGCCAGGGAACGCGCTTGAGAATACAAGCACGCAGAGTTTTACGAAGACGAAGGTGTCCTTTTTGCCGGGCTTGCGCAAAAGCAGTTGACCATCGCCGCAAGTCAACTATTGACGAGCACATCGAGAGCAACCGTTATCGCAAGAATGTCGGAACAAGGGACTCCTCTAAGCGAAAAAGCGGCGAAGAACCATTGGAAGATGGAGCGGAGGGTTCAGGAACGCCGAGAAAGCAAATTGCATATGCTAGTATCTACAATCACGGCTGGTGAAGCGAGGAACGGCGTTGTGCTTAAGTTCTTGGATGCACTGATATCCACAAATATTTCCCTTGAGGAGGTGGACAATCCGAAACTGAGAACGTTTCTGCAGACATGTGTTCAGAACGGTGGATCCGATGCGCTCCGCCGTTGACTTCCAGAGTTGTTCGAGAAGCACGAGGCAAATTTGAAAGCTATGTTTCAAGGCACCACAGTTTCTGTAATTACAGATGAAACCACCGACGACTGATCAAAATCTGTAGTGAACGTGTTGTTCGTTCAGTTGGCTAGAACGGCGAGTGCTGCGCTACGACCTGTACTTGTGGAAGTGAAATTCGTGGATGAAGTGTACTCATCCGTCATTGGTCACATCCTGAAAAGAACACTGACAAGGTATGGAGTTGAATTTGAGGATGTATCAGGCTTTGTTAGCGATAACGCAAATTACATGGTGAAGTCCTTCAAGGAACGCATAAAGCCACTTTGTGAGGGTGCTGTCACATTACGTGTCTAGCCCATACAGTTGAACATTGTTGGCAGCACACTGTAAGCATCTTTTCCTTTCGTGGACAAGTTTGTCGCTTGTATGAAGAAGGCCTTCCATCTGTCGAGTAGAAAGAGAGCCTTCTACAAATCACATCTGGAAAAGTGCGGAGTTCAGTGTACCAAAGCACCGTCAGCACCTGTCCAAATCAGGTGGAATTCATGGATCGAGGCTGTGGAACAACATTCTGCCTACTTTGAGCACTATGGTTCATTGCTTTAGCAAGTCCACCAGAAGTATGGTGAAGCAGCATGTGTTGATTCTCTTCTGAAACTGCTTAGTGAAGACTCGACTGAGCTCAAGTACAGCATGCGCTGCATTGTGGTATTTGGGAAAAAAGTTTCCAGATTGCTGAAAGCAGCAGAGGGTCAGCGCGTAGCCTGCGACAAAGCGTACAATGCATTGTTTACGCTTTGGGGGTACCCTGAAGCAGCTTCAAAGCAGGATTTTGCAGCACAGCTGAAGAGCGGAGATGTTGCACATAATGAGGCCAATCAAATTGCAAGCAAGATGAAGGCTGCAACGACCACTAACAAAGTGCAGGTATACTTGGAGAAGTAATACCTGGCACTACTTCAAGGATGTTAGCTGCTTAAATCCTTTGCAAGTTAGGTGCCTTCCACAGAAGAGGACAGAGTTGACAGGCGTGCCTCAGCTTGCAGAAGAATCACTAGTTCTAACTGCCGAATGGCAGATTTACCTGAAGACTGCACAAAGAACTGAAGACCAGTGACAGGGACTTGGCTCCATTTGTGTTCAAGCAACAAAATCTATGAGCAGACTTTGATATCCTGGCTTTCTGGGCAGGGATGGAGCAGCTTACTCCAAGCCTTTCGTCAATTGCCTTGAAATACTTGGCGATACCAATCAACTCTGTTGATGCAGAGAAATCATTTAGTCGCTATGGTGACATTGTGTCCCACAAGTGTCACTTTTTAAGTGAAAAGAACACTAAGCACCATCTAATGCTGTGCCACTACAGCTTTCTTCAATTATAATTATTGGAGGCATGTTGCAAGCCTGAAACTGTGATACAGTCCACGTCCGATTTCCCGGACGCCTGAAATTCTGGACATGACCGATTTCCCGGACTCATCTGTGGCACTGTCAAGTTCTGCATAGAGCCGGTGTATCAAAAAGTTCGAAATTCCGGACGCCTATAGCCGTTGGCATCCGTTTTCCCGGACTTTTTACTGTTAACCGCCGACCCAAAGTCACCACCCCCACCGCCATTTTGATTGTTTTCATATACTAGAATCCGCCATACTTGCATCGCAGGTATGGCCAGCAGCACCGCCGCTAACTGCTGCGCCGCACTGTGGCTGCTGTAACTTCGAAACAGCACGTGTCAATCCATTGCCAGCTGTAGCTTAGTGGCTTAGCCAAGCCAAACCTCACTTTGTTCGTTTACGTGTTGTTTTGTCAGCTCTGTGGTCGTGTCTGCAATAGATAGTTTGCTGCTGCGCATTATCTTCAGTGATCACGTTTCCCAACCTTTAGCATCCACCGAGTTCCTAGCTGTTTCGTGCTGCGCTTTTCGTGGAGCGGATTCGCCGTTTACAGCGGTGGCACCGACTGCTCCTTCGTCTTCAGCCGCGCCATTGAAGCGCACGAAGCCCCCTCGTAGGCTAACGATGGAGAAGAAAGCCGCCATCATTGAACAGGTCCTCTGCGGTCGGTTGCAGGCAGAGGTGGAGAGGGAGTTTGGACTTTCGAAGCAAACTGTTTCGGACTTCATCAAAAACAAGGCTCACAAGGGTGAAGTGATTAATGCAGTGGCAAGAAATTGCAATGTTATCGAAGTGAGGCTGTTAGCTAATTCATTTGGCCTTAACTCTACAAAAAGATTGTGCAAAATAATATTGTAGGCATTCATTAAGCTCATCTACTTTCTTTACACATATTCATCATCATGAGTGTTCATCTTCATCTGCTGTGGGGACTTGGCTTGTCAGAGTTCTGTGCCTTGGGCGTGGTCGCTTCATCGTGTCTTCTGGGTCTAATAAAGGTTGCCTTCACCGTTACATCACAATATGTTCGCTACCCTTTCAGCCCAATCTTGCGTGCCAGTGATCGCGAACACGCCCTTACAAACAAACCTCACAGTTTCTTTCGATTTCATCTCTCCCCCCCCCCCTCTCATCACCCTCGCGATTTTTTGCTCATTACAGACTGGTGGGGTGCTTCAACGGCAGGCCCCCCGAATGGGTGGTATCGCGTGTGCCCTCCGAGCAACGGAGTTGGGCCGGCTCGTTTTATTTCTCATTCCTCTGTGTTTGTCGCCCCCGCTCGTGCACTTTTACCACCAATAGAACATACAATGTATGGTTGAAATGTTATAAATTTGGACTTCATACAAGACATGAAGCCAACGATGACGGAAAAAGTTCTTTTACAGGTGTTGAGAGAATTGCTTTCGTTCATAACAAGGTAAGGTGAAAACGATATTAAAGTTGAAAAATGCAGCATTGTACAAATGTTACTTCACAAGTGCTGTGGAATGAGGCTCCTTCTGATGGGAACACAGTGACTGCTCAAAACTTGCTCGAAAAGGCCTCTCTAGCTGCTTCGAGCGGGCTCCAAAATGTCTTTCTGGATGCTCCAAGCCTGCTAGTAAAGGCACTTTTGCTGCTCCCAAACCTCTGTACCCTGTCCCACCCCTGTTTTATTTTTGCACTGAGGTCCCTAGTAAATTACAGGCGCAGAAACTTGAAGCCCTGGGTTTTATTTTTGCATGTCTGCAATCGGTTACAAATCAATTGATTTCGTAACTTGCCGAATGAATGGCACACGTCACTGTTTTCACACTGCTATGTCCGACAACACGCACGCGGCAGCAGAGTTGATATGCGCGAGTTTTACACAGCCACCGTGGTAAACAGCTACTGAATACTCAGGAGAAGCGTTATGGCTATTTTCCGCAGCCGGTTTGCGCAAGTGAAATCGTACAGCGTCACCGGCACCGCGGGCCTTCTGTTATAGACTAGCTGGCACAGTCTCACTTGGGCAAAACGGCCACTTCGTCGCTTGCAACGTCGATCTACGAGCACATGTACGGAGTTTCAAGGTGCACGTAACTACAGCGAAGCACATAAAAAACGAATGATATTGGCCGTACTGATGTCTTCGGCGAAGTTGATCACATCACAAGCGAAAGCTCCCAGAAGCAGCGGGAAAGTCGAGATTGCCGAGCTACATTTGGTGGTGCGCACCATCATCAATGGTTCTCTTCATCATGACTGCCTCATTCAAGACTGCTTTAAAGGCTCTTTTAGAGTGGCCTCTGCTCACTCTCCATGGTGCTACTAAAGGATGCAGATGCTAATAAAGGACATAAAGGGTGGCAAGTTTCAAAGACGATAGTCTTTCTTGGGGTACTTCGACACAAAAATTTTGGTCTGTCTTTATTTCTGTATGTCTGTACATTTGTCTGTCTGCCGTAACGATACCCTAAACGGCAACAGGCGATACTCCAAACGGCCAACCCCATCTGCAGTGCCCATCACTATTGCTCAAGTTTCAGCGTTCATACTTGTGCGATTGTCAATTAAAAAGCAATCATTGCACGTATCTGACGCATCGTAACAACACATCAATATTTTGTATGTGTGTCATTATACTAGAGAAGGCACACATTAGTTCTAAGAACCCTAGTGTTAATCACGCTGCACTGATAGTGCAACGCGATGTTCAAAAAGGCGACTGTTTCTAGCGCTTTGCATTCTACGCCTTATTGCCTCCGAGACAGGCGCGCATCTTTCTCTGTGGACGAGCATGCCAGTAATATACCGAGAGGACAATATAATACCGGACCTTCTCGAGGAGCGTTGGCTAAGTGCGCTGAGTAGCTCAGATCTGCACGACCAACTGTCGGCAATCCAGCGGGCTCGGGTAGCGGTGGAAAGGCTACGCCTCACCGCACAAAACGTCGGGGTGGCCTGAGCCCGGGCGGGTAACCCTGCAGGGTTTATTTTTTTAATGAAGTGTTTCCATCCATTCCTTCGCTTTCGAAGATAACTGCCAGATAGCACTCGTGTCTAACGTGCCTCGATGAGCTTGTTCATCTTAACGCAGCGCCTCCGGAATGCAATTAACCGTTTTTTTTTTTTGCGTAGAACATAAAATAAACATTTTGATCACTCTCTCCACAGGCAAGACTATCGTCTTTCGTCGACATTTGCAGTGAAACATGCAGATATGGGGCCAATTTTTTTTTTCATTACACTCAATTGCCATTTTAACCTAGTCACACCTGTCACAAAAATATGTAAACATACATTTGCAGCACTGTATCTTTGACGGAGCCATTCTTCATTCACTTCATTATAACTGATAATTCATTATATCCAGATTCGTTAAATTGAGGTGACTGTATGTGCAGTTCTTGTGCGACTTTTTTGTCTCTTCCATCTGATATGCTGTACATGTGTGTAAATGAAAATTAGCGAAAGCAAATCAAATTTTAGATGAAAGTATGGATATGTCCACCGTAAAAAAACTTGCTGTTGTCATAAGGAGCTACACGCCCAAAAAGGTACCCCTGTTAGAGTTCTTTTTTTTTTTTAAATTTGGTTTCAGTTTTCGACTGCTCGGCTAGTGGGCTTTTTATTCGTTTGAAGGAGTCTCTCTGCAAGTGTCATTTCATTTTTTCATTGCAATTGTGTGAGTATCAGAATAAACGGGCCCAGCATGATGTGCAGTCAGTGCAATAGTCTGTGTTCTAGAATGACACGAGTTGACCCTAGCCTGGTGTTGGGTAAATGTGCTCTCTAGTCAGCTAGCCATATACCATGAGACAGGGTTGACGGCAACATTTTTTTTCCAGAGGGGTTTAGTCGATTTACAAAGCATTTATATTCTTTAATAAAGCCATTCAGTCATTAGGTATTTACTTGCATTATCCTCACGCTTCTTTTTTTTTTTTTGCTGAAAACTGATGAAAAGTTGGGGGTGCGAGAATTATACGGGGAAAACTTCCCGTGAAAATAAACATACAGAGCGAAATTCCTTTTACCAAATGTTTAACAGTGTGAAATCTGCAAAACCAACAGAACATAATGTATTTCCATCTGATATGATGTAAACCAGGTGGTCTGTTCTTGCACTGACTGTCCCTCCCTACGCAGACGCCGCATAAGCTTCGCCAGACGGCGGTAGTGGTGACCTCATACGAGGTGGCCATGCGCGATCGTGCCCGACTGGCCCCCGTTGACTGGCTCCTGCTGGTGGTGGACGAGGCGCACCGGCTCAAGAACTTCCGGTGCCGGCTAGTGCGCGAGCTGAGCCAGTACCGGGCCTCCAACCGGCTCCTGTTGACGGGCACCCCCTTGCAGAACAGCCTCACCGAGCTGTGGGCCCTGCTGCACTTCCTCATCCCCGAGATCTTCCATGACCTGCAGGCGTCAGTGTCATTTTTTTTTTCTTGTGCCTTTGTCGTCATGGTAACATCACGGACAACATTAATTCGTCAAAGGTCATTAATCGCCAATCGATCCCCGAGATCTTCCGTGGCCTGCAGGCATTCTGCCATAACGATGTTGCCATGTGCATGTGGTTTTTTGGCGATGACACGTGGCAAGTTTGAAGGCCCGCTCATAGTTGCGACTACACTCAAACCTCATAATAATAGTCGCACCTGCTACGAAAGTACTTCATTATGTCCAAAAGTTTGTTACAAACATGTATTTTGTAGCACTATATCTATGACAGCTATTCGTGAGGTCATTATTACAGATAATTTGTTTCATCTGTGTTCCTTATATCGAGGTGTGAATGTAGTGAAAGTCACATGAAAATTCACAGCTGGCAACTAAAAAGCGACTCGAGGCTCATTCTAAAAGAGCGAGCGTGTGTTAACACAAAAGGATAAAGTCACTTTTTGTGCCTTCTTTTTTTTTTTTTTTCCCCTGCTGTTCTGCTCTTTTGCAGTTGTCAGTCAGCATATGTGGTGTGTTGATTTTTTTCTTGCATTCATGTTTGCACACCTAGTGTCTTAGAATGAATACTTACAAAACTAACTCAGCTCTGTTATTCTGTGAATGACTCAAGGCGATTGATGTTCATGCCCGAATGCGGCCTGTATTAGTTGCCACTCAGAATTCGCGTCCGTTCGCATTGCTGTAGGCCCGTAAAACAAGTGGACGTGCCGGTCATCTGCATTTGATTGGTTCAGAGCTTTGCAATTGGGTTCGCGCAGCTGACGAATTGAGCAGCTGGGCCAAAGCGATTGCTGGTAGCAATGCGACCATTCGCCTCTTGACCAACTTGGTCAAGCGGCTGGCAGTGGTCGCAAATGTGATTTAGCCTTCGCTGTTGTGCAGGGTAGAGTCCACTCATACAAGTTGTGAAATGCCCCATAAGCTCTGTGTATCAGAATTCTGACACATCACTAACCAAAATCACTGAGATCTGCTAATTGTAGGGTCACCTGTATAAAAAAAAAAAAAACATTTAATCAGGCAGTACTATAGTAATTTTAGCAGTGCATGTACGTCTGTATGACTTGGGCCATAGTATTGTGATCATCTAACTGCATTCTGTTGTTACCACTGCCTCTGTCGAATGTAAATCAGGCAAAAGTGCTAGTAGTGACTTAGTCAAGCTCTTGATTGACCTTTTTTTTTTTTCATCTTCTTTATCATCATTGTGCTGTGTTGGCGCAGATAAATTATTGTTGTTATCATTGTTGAACTGATGGTCCGCCCTCATACCCTCCCGCGCAGGTTTGAGTCTTGGTTTGACCTCGGCGAGTTGTCGGGTGCTAATGACGAGGCGGCGCGGTTTGTCCAGCGTGAGGAGTCGGACCACATTGTGTCGACCATGCAGGAGATCCTGAGGCCTTTCCTGCTGCGACGTACCAAGGTACGTGAACCCCGCGTCGCACACACCGTAGTAAAATCTCTGTGGCACGAGCGTTATGGAGCCACGTGGCACATTCATCTCATCCAAATTTGGGCAAAATGGAAATGTCAGCCCACTTGCAGCCTGGTCCCCTTACGCCAGTCGTTCTCAAATGGGGCTCCACAGACCCCAAAAGTTTCGTGACGCCATTGTCCACGAAAAAAAAATAGAAAAAAAAAGAGCAGCAAAAAAAAAAATGTTTGACCTATTCTCAGTTCCAGGCCCTGCTCCAGGAACTGCAGCAACATTCTGCGTAAGATCACTTCGTCTTCTCCAATTCCTCTAATAAAATCTAAGCCTACTACATTGCGTACCGGCCACAGCAGCCACATTTTTGGTGGAGGCGGAAAATGTTCATGGCAGGTGTAGTTGGCACATTAAAGAACCCTGGGAGGTCTAAATGTCCGGAGCGTTTCACTACAGCGCCCTTCATATTCATATTGTGGTTTTTGGACATTAAATTAAGTTAAATTAAAAGACGTTAAATCTGTTTTGAACCTGTGCTATCAGTTACAATTATTGACAAACTGTTGGCTGAATTGGGGAACATAGCTTAGGCACCGCGTTTTGCACACCTTGCTTTTGAAGCAGTGGGGTCTCGGTCTTATGTCAGTGTTGCGCATTTCAACTGACAGTTTGTCATAGATACAGCCTTCGGTCTCCCCCTCCCTTTGAGCATACGACAGATTATTCCGAGTTTTGGGACGTTGAACCCCACATATCATCATCAGACTATTCTGAAAATTTCGTCTCTGGCGTCTTCTTTCAGGACGACGTCATCCTCGAGCTGCCGCGCAAGACCGAGCTGCTGGTGTATGCGCAGCTGAGCCCTGTTCAGGACAAGCTCTACAAGATCTGCATGGACCGTGCGTTTGAGACCGCCGCCGAAAACAAGGTTTGGCGCCTTTCTGTCGGTGTTTCTTAGCCTGTGAACATGCACTCGACGATTTGCCTCTGCATCCAGCAGTGACGCTTGACTTGAACAAAAATGGCAACGTCGTTAATGGCTCTTGAGAATGTTGCCAAGGAAGTGCGACGAGCATCGTATTTTGTTTGTTTGCGATGGGCTTAAAATTATCCCGTCTTGTGCCAATGCAATTGCGGCCTCAACACACGGCACACTTGTTGTAGTAGGTTGTCGATGATTCAAGCTTGAAGAGAGCCCAGGATATTTGGTTCAGGTTATCGGATGTTTCACTCGATTGGAAGTTCTCGTATATATGGCTTGGGGTAACATACATACTGGTGTTGCAATCTTTATTGATTGTTTTTCAGGGCTGCGTCAACATTATAGAGTCGAATTTCATTAATGCGAACACGTTTAATTCAAACTTCCAGTTAATTCCAACTTTTGATGAGGTTCCGTCGAAGCTATGTGTATTCCAATTGGCAAAAACGCCTGGTAATTCGAACGCGCAAGCACTTGCGGCGGTTAATTCGAACATACAGCGCTCCGAAAATGCTTTCAGCACCCCGCCAATCCCGCGGCGGCACCTGCGACACCTCAACGCTATGCGCGAAGGAAATGAAAAGGAAAGAAAAAGCTGCGGCAGAATGTTCGCTCTCTCTCAAATGCCGATCTGCGATGGGCCAGTGTCACGCGTCTCCCTTTTCCGTCCCTGCCACATAAAGACCCTTCTCCTTTCAATGACGCGTGCAAAGAGAGCAAAAGAAAGAAAAAAGAAAAAGCTGCCGTGAAGTGTTGGTTTTTTCTCAAATGTCGATCTGCTTCTCTCCGCGTGGAGACGCTCCTCCTTTCTCGTCACGTCCTGGCCATGCTGCGGCTGCATAGCAGAGAGGCTCCGCTTGGCAGTCGTCATTGTCATCTTTAGAAAGTGTCAGTGCTGGACATTTTCGCGCGCAACTTCCCTTGCCAGGAGAATGCTGAAGCTGTAGTAGAAATGCTTCGCAGGCTGCGTGCGAAATTGATAGACTCGCTGCAAGGCTAACGCGTGCAGATGCGCATCACCGATTACTTTAATTTATAACTGATGTCCTATGATTTGTGAATAAATGTAAGTCTTCTAAAACTTCCCCCTCGTGTGTTAGCTCAATGCACATGCGCCACTGCATAAAGAGCCCTCCGTTTATTCAGCCTTCATTAATTAGAACTTCTTTTAATTCTAACAAATTTTTGGGCCCCTTCGAGTTCGAATTATCGAGATTCGACTGTAGGCTGCAGTGGATGACTACCAGTATAGTTTTAAATGTAATCATTTGTACCAGTACTTGTAATAGTACGGCGCATGCACGTGCGTATATTTAAAGGACAAAATGTGCTGTGTCCCATGATTGCTGGTAGCCCTTTCCAAAGCTTAGTTCGCTTTTCCAAATGGTGTACTGTGAAGAGAGCGACTGAAGTTTTCGGCTTGCGATTGACCAACACCAGACTGCTTTTGTTTTCGCCAGTCCCGCACGCACATTTCGGGAACTCCGAACGACCGCGATGCGGCCCGACTTCTGTCCATTTCGGCTGACGCGATGACTTTTCTTTTAAAAGCGGCATCGTGGTGCACTCGTCGAGTTTTTGGAGTCGGCCCTTCCATGCCGTCGATGCTAATGCACTACCAGATGACGAACTCCTCAGCACACGTACGAAGTGCCGCACATGGGAAACTCATAGGCAGAAATGGCCGACGCCATTTGGGGAAAAAAAATAGGGAAGTACAAATACTCAATAGTTTCGAATATTCGTTGACGATCGCAATTGCACTATTCGTACTCGATCCCAAAAAAGACATTTGATAGTTTCAAGCATTCGAAGTAACTCGAACATCCGGTCACATATATGCTACTGTAAATAACGTCCGATTTTGCTACTTTACGATAAGTGCAACAGTAGACCACATGGTGATTACTGCGACTTCGGCGGGATTGTTACGATGCCTGCACAAAATACGACTAAATTGTTCTTGGTAGTGGCAGCTAACGGCAGCATTACATAATTTGGGGAGGTGGGAGCGAATCTTTATTCTTAACTAAATAAAGAGTCTAATCCAACGCGCATTTTTCTACTGATAAACAGTCAGAAAATTGTCTGCACATAAAAACAAAACCGAAACCGCATTGGGGACAGACGACGAGTGCGCAAAGAATGCCGTCATTCACGACTAAGCTATGCGCGTTGTATTTTGTTGGCTTGTGCAGTGCAACTAATGATGTTTCGCTGTTATTATGCACGTTTACGTCCAGTGAAAGTAATTTTGCACGGTGAGAACAGCTGTGTCGCTCCCTGGTGCGCGCACAAGCTGACCAATGCAGCAGATCAGCTGTACGTGGACCAGGAAAAGTTTCCACAAACTGAAAACGTGAAAATATCAGCTTTTTGGTCGGATGAAGCTACTCTGTGCGGATAGAGCTTGACTAAGTAATGACCCAGGATATCTGCACACGCGATCGAAGCGTGTGTAGAAGCACATGAACTTACAGGAGAATAAACTTTACATTCTAAGAAGACATCCTGTTGTACTAGGGGAACGCAAGTTCATGTTTCGCACTCGTGAATATTTGGTTGACGTTTGACTCTAGTCAATTTGCTTTTTTCTTTCGGACGAAAATCAAAGTCGTCGTAATGCAGGGCCGGCGTAAAACTTCATTGTTAACCAAGGTTTTTAATACATCATTTCTATGGACATATTGCCAGGACCAAACCGATTCATCGTAAAATGCGGGTTGTCGCAATACCGTGGAACGTATAATTGAGGTTCCACTGCACAGGGGAGCATGATGACAGCTACCAGCGATAAAAATTTTAAAGAATTTAAATCATGAACTGTCTCCTCAGTAATACGTGGCTGAGCGGTTTAGAGATGTAACCGCTTGCGTAAGCGTACTATCAGTGTACGAAACACGCTGTTTGCTGCCCCGCACCCTTGTGCGTGGAACTGCTTCAATAAAGCGTGAATCGCTTGTGGAAATAGAGGCAACCTGCTGCTGCCGCATCAGCCCGACAAAATACTGTCGCACCTTTGCACGGTCCGTAACTGATTGAGCTTTAAGAAAAGATGTTCCTGAGCAAGGGCAAATACATGCATACGTTACAGCGGGCGGCGCTGATGGAAAGGGCTTGACTTTTAATCGATGCACTTAATTTTTTTTATGCTACTCCAAATTTTTTTATGTTATCATCCTCTGTGCAGGATGACTCTGGCATAGAAGTGGAGAACCTGGGTAGGGGCCGACGCAGCTCTTCCAAGAAACCAGTCAAGTACACCATTCCTGGTGAGAACGACATCTTCGCCCCCGACAGTGACGACGACGAGAACTCTCGCGACAGCGGCATCAGGTGAGTGCGTAAGAAGACCTGCAAAACGACAGTCTTCTCTTTCGCCATGCTTGTCCTTCATTAGCGGCGGTGAATATGCCATGAGATGCATTCCAACACTCTAGAATCTGTAAAATGAAATTGGTTCAGTAAATTGATTAAATGCAGGCCAGGCTTTACGAAATTGGTGGTGTGGGGTACATTGTGGTGCGTTATAGGCTAACTCAAACCTCAACATAGCGAACCCAGATATAATGAAATACAGTAAAACCTCGTTAATTCGAGCTTGGTTACTTTGAAATCCCGCTTAATTCGAAATATTTCCGCGGTCCCGTGTTTTGCATTGCAAGTTTGAGTGGATAACTTGAAGCGGCGGCCAGCACCAGTCAGGTTAATTTGAAAACTTTGGGTGTCATAAGCCAGTTCTAGATCCCCATTTTGCCACGAATCTGCGGAACGACGGCTCTTAATAGCCACCAGGCAACGCAACATAACGATACTTACGAGTGGCAGCTGAAGTACCCCAGCCTTGCTACTTCCAGCGCAAAAAAAATAAAAAAATAGAGAAGCAAAAACTGTCGCGTGCTCAACCGAAACGTCTGCCTAAGGAAAACGAGCCACGCGTCACTGCAACACAGTGGTGACACACGGGCAGCTTATTGCATGTTTCTCGCAAGGTCAGCGCGTCATGGTTTACCCATTCTGTCTGGGATTGTAAAGAAATTAATAAAGAACAGTTTAGCGGCAATCGCGATGTATGCAAACCTCCGATTGCCGGTTGCTCCAGCAAGTCGCGTCTTTGCACCACTGGCGGAGTTTTTGCCGAAAACACCTACTTCGAAAACTAAGTTCGAAAGCTTCAAAGATAATTTTTTCCAGCCAACACACATCCTGAGCTTTGTCATACTGGCCATTATTACATTCATAATTAGTATAATAGAAAGAATGTGCAAATGGTCGTATCGTGACATGCTGACAGAGCAAGGAGCAGGCAATATGCTGCCCGCATGTCATTACTGTGTTGCGGTGAAGATGTCTTGTTTTCTGCAGGCACACATTTCAGTTGATCACAACCGCGTTTTTTTTTTTTTTTTTTTTCGGTGGTAGCAGCGAGGCTTTCTGTTTGTCCATGTTCGCGGCAAAATAAAGACCAGGTATTGCTGGAAAACAGGACCTTTGGAGCCGCAAGCTAGTCGGCACAGCAAACGACGAGCACTGATTACTTTGAATAGTTCTAAGTTTCGTGCATCCCACTTCTTGTATGTTCTGTTAATTCGAAAACCCGCCTGATTCGAAAGCTTTCTCACAGCCCCAGTGACTTCGAATTATTGAGGTTTTACTGTACAGTCGGACACAGATATATCGAACTCGATGGGGATCATGAATTAGTTCAATAAGTGAAAAATTCGACATAAAGAAATACAGGTCCTGGGAGTTTACCTGTAGCGGACAGTCACCTTCAATAGGCGTATTCAAGAATGATAACGAATTCCGCACACACGCCGCAACCGAATGATTTATTTGCAAAGAAAGAATCGCTCATCTTAGACTGCTTCTTCGTTATTAAAATAAAGTTGAAAATGCTAGTCTTGATCTTATCAAGGCTGTTTAGATGCGACAGTCGGTTCCCTCCATGTGGCCGATACTACGGCCATTGACACTGAACGCTCCCGCCACTTCAGTGGCGGAGTACCGTATTTACTCGCACAATCCTCGCACTTTTTTTTTTTTTTTTTTTTTTGGCGGAAAACCAATGTTAAGTTGGGGGTGCGAGAATTACACGGGGAAAACTTTCCAGGAAAACATACAGTGCGAAAAAGAAAACGAAGTGGCCGCAAATCGGGATTCTCACACCAGCAGCTAACAGCAAGCTTTGGGAAGTACTAATTAAAACTTACCTCAGCAATAAAAGCACAAGTTCAACACAAAGCAAGATTTATTTGAGACACAAAAAGTGCAAGCAAATAGTCAAGAATTAGAATACCATACGCTAAGCTTGTGGGCGTTGCGGGCGTAGGGGCAGTGTTTGTCGCTCAACAGGAGCCCTCAAAAGGTAAGCGTAAGACGTCAGTATTGGGCTAATGGCTATTTAACAAAATCATCTGCAGTTTCCTTCTGAAGAAATAAAGTTTACCACCAATCCCAGTTTTAGACACATGGAAGGCCCAACACGTCTTGGTGGCTTTTAGCTGCTGTCATCAGTAGCGAACACAAAACTCGTAGACTCTGAAGGGCCTACCGGCGGCCCTATTACCATTGTTTAGTGCATGATCTATCACTTTCAGCTTGAAAGCAGCCGTGTAGTTTCGGTATCGCCCCATAACGTGACAAGGTTACCGACACAACAAACAAAACACGCCGCAACGTGCACTTGCCACTTTGGCTTGACTTGGATTGGATTGAATCTCCATGCAATAATAGTACGCTTGCTTATGAGGTGGCACGTGCTATCATCATCAGTGGTTTGAATGAGCAGACGACATTATTACGGCAGTTTTTTGGGGTGCGATAATTACTCAAGGAAAAAAGAAATCATATTTTTGTTGGGCGATGTGGGAGGTGTGAGAATTATGCGAGTGCGAGGATTACGCGACTAATTACGGTACACGCATGTAGCCAGTGCCTCGTCTTGGCGATTCTCCCCGTCACGTGGGCTGTCGGCCCGGGTATCCTGGGTCCCTGCGACCGCAGCTACCATGTCCTCGTCAGCGAGTGCTCGCAACAGCCTGGACATTGAAGTCCGCTTCCACGAAACGGTTCGCCGACAATTTATGTGGGACTACTGCCGGGAAGGACGACAACTCGCGAAACGCGTCATCGCCGTCTTCACCTGTTTTCGCAAGTTCCACAGTCTCGAAGCCTTCCTTGCGGAAGCAGTTGACCACTCTGTCAGTCTTCACGTGCAGGCGTTGAAGATCTCTGCGGTATAAAACTTTGCGGATATTTCCGGCCACTCCTTTGTCATTCACTGCTGGATGTCCTGGCTGTTGACAGCTTCGCTTTCACCAGAAATGGTTTTGTCAACGATGTTGTAGCGCTGCTTGAGTTGGTAAAGCCACCCAACGTTGTCGGCAAAGTTGTTTCACCGAGTGCAGTGGCAAACTATTTAGCCTTGACCATCAGCATCGGGCCATCCGCCGGAATGTTCTTGCGCGCGCGCGCACTTCCAAAAACCAGGCATAGAGTGCCTTTTCTACATCCCCGTGGGCAGGAGCGCACACGACAGGCTCCCGATGTTCACTGCTCCTCTGCCTTTGTCTTAATATCTGCTTTGTTTTTCAACAAAGTACTCGGAATGCTCCGTGGTATCCTTGAAGTTGTCTGCAACCGTCGCACATTTATCACCCACCTCACACGCTGAAGAGCCTTTAACTTCGTCGCAAAGTCTTGACGCTGGCTATCGCTGCACGAGAAGTCGACAATTCAAGCAGTCCGCAGCGGCTTTGCTCACTACACACGCAAAAGAGGAATGCTGCACGTGCGGTGGTACGTAGGCGAATTGACAACAGAAGCAGCAAAGCGCTTGCGGCTCGCGAGGCAATGGCCACCTGCAGGGGTAAAAGGCACGAGCTCTGGTTGGCTGATCAAAACTCGCAAAACAGCAACAAAAAGTTGAAGAAAAGGCGAAAGAAGGAGGACGTCTGCTCCTTCGTTCCTGCTCTCTGAGCCGACGGGTATGCGGAGAAAGCATGAGAGAAAGAAAGAGAAAAAAAGAAGACCCATTGCGCAAGTTAGAGATTGTGCAGTTCGACCGTTTCGGGCTTTTGCAAAGGCGTGGTGCCACGCGGAGGTCGCCAGGCACTACGAGTGCCAAAACGCACCTTCCAATTTGCGCGCGGAGCTGCGGTGATCGCAGAATTCGGCCAGTGCCGAAGCGCACCTTCCAGCTCGCGCGGCATTCGATATATCCGAAAATGGGTAAAAATACCATTCGATATAAGCGTGCAAATTTCTATACTTCTACAAAAAAATTTCAAGGGAATAACTTACGAATTCAATATACCCGAAAATCCTATACACACGTATGTGGGTTCAATGTATCCGTGTTTGACTGTATCAGTTATAAGGAAGTAAATGAAAATAGTCTTGCTATAAACTATTTTGTGGATAGGTTTTAGTGCTTCCATGTTCGGCTCCTAAACCCTGTGTTTTGCATCTTTAACAGTAAAACAAACAGTGTAACGAAAGACAGTTACCCGTGGAAACGGTAGGGTTAGTACATGCGTTGTTTATTGGCCTTCTTAATCCACGTCAGTATATACAAAACCAAGAAAACATTGGCTTAGCAGTCAAACGTGGCAGCGCCCAGACATCTATAGTGTTTAGGCATACACCTTTATAACGAGTTTTCAGGTATAACGAACATATTTTCGTGCAAGATGCAGTGTTATAATGAGGTTTGAGTGTATTTGATAGTGATGGGCTCTAGTTGTAATTGCATTTATTTGCTGCAACAGTGAAGCTCATCATTGACGTCATTATTTTATTGCGAGAGTTCAAAGCTGCCTCTTTTCTTAATTTAGATACAGTGTGCACTATCAGTTCCCCAAGTCATAGGCATTATGTATTCACCCTGTCCTCTCGTCGTTTTGGGGGTAAAACAGTTCAGCGTCGTCGAAAGACGAGGTCCGCGACCCGTACGAGCAGCTCCGTCGGAGCAAGAACCCGCTGATGGACCTGCGTAAAGTGTGCAACCACCCGTACCTCTTCCGTGGGCTGTGTGACGAGGATGACGGCACCAACGGCGAGCACCTGGTGCAGGCCTGCGGCAAGCTGCGACTTCTCGACTGCATGCTCAAGGAGCTTAAACACCGAGGCCACAAGGTATTCCAATATTCATACCAGACACATTCATGTAGAACCAGTTTTGGGTATTTTGTGTGGAAAGAAATACCGTAAAATTTCAATGCCGGAGGGTAGGGGTCATGAAAAATATCTGTATTAGCCAAGATGCGAATCGCCGAAACACATGTAAAACAAGCTAAATCAATGAAGTGTCGGGGCAAACTTATTTTTAAAGCACCCGTCCAGTAATTGTCGTTTATGTCGACATTGCGAGGCCTTGCTCCTAAGCCAACTCGGCGTGTGTAGGCTTGTGCGAATATTCGAATGCTTCAAATATTCGCACAAGCAGCCTCTTGTGTATTTGCACCGGCCTCTTGCGTAATCGCCTTGAAGGTGGAGTACAGTCTTGCCGCTCGTTCCATATCATCTATGACTACTTGTTTTCGCGGCAAAAGGTGCTGTGGTTGCTCCCGCTCCCACTTGAGCGTGCTGTCAGCAGCCGCAGGAGCATGCAGGCCACCCGCTCCAGTGTTCTCTTTCATAAAAATTTACACTCTACATATTTGAAGAGAAACTTCTTCATGCAACTTTTTTTACATTATGTAAAAGCTTGCTTGCTGTACAGATCCCAGTGCAGTGCACTATGCTTCACGTCGTACATTTGTATTCTATCATGTATATTTACTCTGTTTGCAGCTGCCCAATGGTGCGGTGTCCCTGCTTTCGCTTTATCTAATTCCCTATGTGAAAACTGTATGAAAATTAAATGAAATAAGTGATAGAAGTACTGTCATTGCAATATGTGCAGTAGTTTGCCCTTATGTCACCTCTACCTTGTAAAGGTGTGCTGCATTTTCAAGCTGTCTCAGGACTTTCCGTCGTGTGGGGCGCACCCTGATGGTGGCTCTTATCTTTTCATGCTCGCTCAGGTGCTGATTTTTTCTCAAATGTGCCGGGTGCTGGACATTCTGGAGGACTACTGCTTGATGCGGAAGTTCAAGTACTGCCGCCTCGACGGTTCTACAAGCGTGGAGAACAGGCAGCAGCGGATGAACCTGTTCAACCATGACCCCGAGTGAGTCGCTTGATGTGGATTTGGTGAAGTCAATGGTAACAAGAGGCGTTTCACTGCATTAGCCGACGGCAGCCGTGGTAATGTCCACTACAGCCACGAAGTTCGCACGTCTGCAACCAGTGGAGCTTACCTGAAATGTAAACGACAGTCGCCGACCGTTATTCGGACACCTTCTCGGCAATGTCACCTGTCTCGTTAAAGTACAATGTAAACTCGCGACTGAAAAATTTAGACGCCCCACGGTGCATCGTTTGGTTGGCATTGACATGGTGACGTCTTGGAAGTAAGGTCACCATAGATGATGTCAATGTCATGAGGTACAGCATAGAGCGTTGGGCCGTGCATGCGAGCTTCAAAATTCATATAAATTAACTTCCAAGCTATATTCACAGTTGAGATTCGTTCAATGATATACTAGTTGATAGTAATCGATCATGCAGGCCCACTCGACTGTGGAATTTGGTGCTGTTACCGTTCTATGAACCTACTTTATTTAAGTACAACTTTAGTGTTGTGGCACTTAAATATGTTACGAGTGTTTGTCAAAAAACAGTTAGCTAGTCTTCTAAAAACACTCAATAACCATGACCTCACAATGGCTTCAGAACCTGCCACAGTGGCTATTTGAACTGGCAATTGCACATTATGCTAAAGGAGAAAAGGCCGAGCAGATTGACACATTCTTTACTGTAATGCACCATACCAGTTCAAGTACGACAAACCACCTCGCCCAATCCCCAACACCCGAACGGTGCTTCGTGGTGGTATCGAATCCCGTCTGCGGCAACCACATTCTCGATGGAGGCAAAAGTGCTTGTAGCCCGTGTACTAGATTTCACATCTTCCAGGGCTTTCTACTACAGCATTCCTGGTGATCATATCATGAATCTCCGACATTAAATCTCAGCATTTATTATTGTGGTTTCGGACCTCTACGTTGGTTTCACTGCGAAGCCTTGCATTTTTGCTCAATTTGTTTTAAGTAGCTCTGGTCGCCGATGGATGCTCTTATATGTGGTATCTCAGGTCTATTACCAGCCAGAGCAGGCTCTTATTTTGGTGGTTTTGTCTTGTGCAGTTACTTTGTATTCCTGCTGTCTACGCGGGCGGGTGGTCTAGGCATCAACCTGACCGGTGCAGACACGGTGGTGCTGTACGACTCGGACTGGAATCCCCAGTGCGACCTGCAGGCCATGGACCGCTGCCACCGGATCGGCCAGACCCGGCCGGTCATAGTCTACCGTCTAGTCACGCGCGGCACGGTCGAGCAGCGCATACTCGAGATGGCTGGGGCCAAGCGGCGTCTCGAGAAGCTCATCATGCAGAAAGGTTGGCATGCTGTTGGCAGCTCTAGAACTGCAACTGACTTTTGGACTTAACGTATTAAAGGGGCGGTTTGCAGGGTTTAGCATAGTTGTTGGGCAGAGCTTTATCTTTTATGAAGCCCTGTTTCAATTTCATGTTCATTCGTAGAATCAGTTTGTTGTGCTATGCAAGACTAAGTAGTTCTCAATTCGATTTGTATAATCTGTTCGTACACATGATCTGCAGTTAAGGGTCCCATAATCAGAGGCTCCAATGCGGCCCTTGTTGTATGAAAGGTATACAATAGTGTAAAGGAATTGTGTAGACAAATGGGACCACGAAAGCTAGATAGATAGATACACGGCTTATGTCAGCAAAATAATGCTCTTACAAAGTTAGTCAAAAGGCAAATACAGTCAAACCTCAATATATCAAACACGGATATATCGAATTATCGCCTATATCAAACGGTTTCTATATCACGCGGGAAATCGCATGCATTATTGATTTTTTATTTCGAACAAAGTTTGACATATAATGGATATATCGAACTCAGCCACCCCAAACCGCCTGCGCTCTATTGACAGGCGGCGAGCTTTCCCGCAACTCTCGAAAGTAGCGGTAGAGCGGCGGGCGTTTACGAATGCTGCACACATCGATGGCGCCGAGAACGCCACTTTAACGCAGCGGCGTACGCGCGCCGCAGCTTTGAAGCTTGCAGTCGTTGCAGTCCCTATGGTGTCAACGGCACACTGCGCACTTGTTGCAAGCTCCTTCCCCGTAGCATCGGCAGGCATTGGTCATTCTGCTCGCAGTGTTCGTGCGTTCGGAGTTAGGCCTGTCGTGCGTGACAGGCCTAATTCCGAACGGCGGAGCTCACGGATGTGGAGATTGTCGCCGAAGCTACTGCTGAGCAGAGATGGTGCCCCACTTTCCGATGTGGAGATGGTGCCCCACTTCGATGGTGCCCCACTTTTCGGATGTGGAGATGGTGCCCCACTTCCGACATCAGCTGAGATCGTAGCTGCCTTAGCCCTTGTGTGCCGCCACTGCGGCGCGATTGAAGGCACCGGCCTATCACTTGATCGCCTCTATATTGAGGACGCAGTCGTCAAACTAGCCATGGCCAACAAAAAGCTTGCTACTCTTTTTCAATATTTTAAACCAACACTATAAATACTATGTTTGAATCTTCAAGTGAGTATTTACTGCACAACGCTTGAACGGTTCGTTGGTTGTTTTCAGCAAGCTGTTGACGCATTTTTTCGTGATTTTTTATATAGAATTCTGGATATATCGAACTATTTCGCGATCGCCGCGCCGTTCGATATATCGAGGTTCGACTGTAATTCTTGAGTTGATACTGAACTTACCCCTTTCTCCGTCTCGATGAAATTAAATCTTTCGCATGTATCCTTCCAGGCAAGTTTTCAAAGGTGGGCAAGGACGCCTCGAAATGTGGCACCCTCTCCCCTCAAGAGCTTCTGGACCTGCTCCACTCCACGGACCACTCGGCAGTCATTGATGCCGGCTCCAGCGTGCTCTCGAAGGCAGAGCTAGACGCCTTGCTCGACCGAACTCGTCTCGCCGCAAACCAAGGCGGCGAGCCAAATCGGTTGTTCGAGGTAGGTTGTACGGTCATTTGCATCGCTTGTCCTCTCTGCCTCTGGAATTTGATTCCACCCACGGGGCACTACATTGAAGCCGTTGCTGCATTCCTCAATATACCTTTAGCATTGTTAACGTGAATGCAATAACTGGTGCTTGCATCACATAAGCTTTCCAACACATCTCATTCATGTAAGTAGGTGTAATGCGCTGCGAATGCATGTTGCTAGGCTCGTACGAATAGTCAATTTTAGTTTACTGATAGGGCAATCGATAACCTGTAAAATATGTTACATTGTAACATTTACTATACTGTGAGCATATAAGTCAGTATAAGTTTTCAAACTAAAAAAAAATGAATTGATGCGAGGGTAATATGTTTATTTAGCCTTGGCTTTTTTCAATTCGAATTGAAGCAAACTTGAGTACTGTAATATTTGTTCAAATATTCGAAGCATTTGAATATCACACGAGCCTAGTTTTTTTTTTTTTTTTTCGTTTCCTTTCTTCACTTTTCTTGTCAACTTACATTGTTGTTACTTGTCCACTTGGTGTCGTTGCCTGGATCAACCACTTTGTCACTGCACGTGGCTTGGGTATAAAATGAAAAGAAGACGTCTCTGTTGCTCAACAGGGCTCTTCCTCTTGCACTTAGACTTAACGTTTTCCGTTTGCTCGCCATAACGAGCGACACAAAATATTGCAAGCGGACAAAGTACAGCTGCCTTAGTTCGTGGAGTGCCCTACTCGTATTGTGGTCATATGCACCTAAACAGACGCTTTTGTAGTGTTGTGGAGTGAGTTTGCAGCATTTATTTATGTGGAAGTTCTAATGTGAGGAAGTTAAGATTGTGCACGTTAATGGCATTTGACCAGATAAGCAAATGGAATAGAAAATTCTTTGCGCACGTGTTCTCCTGTGTGCATTCTTCACCCCCCCCCCCCTCTTTTTTTCCAGGTGGTTGTGAAAGCCACTGAGGCCATCGACAACCTCGGCTAAGCATCCAACGAAGAGACCAAATTCATCAAACGTTCATTTCATTGCAGCTAAAGCACTCATTCAGCAGTATTATTTATATTCATGTAAATACGTGCTTGAGGTCACACTGTTTACATTTTACTACCAAATTTAGCCTGTTGTCCTAGTTTTTATCTTGGGCAAGCCTGCTCATACTGTGATAAGATAATAAAGCTTATTCTTCTTACAGTGCTTGCAAGAGTGCTCCTTTTTATGCTGCTTTTATCTCGCTTGAAATATTTCATCGCATTTCATAACAAAACTGTTTACAGAATGTATATGCATTCTGATCGTACCCTAAACCCGCCACGGTGGTATAGTGGTTACGACGCGCGTCTTCTGACCCCAAGGTCATGGGATTGAATTTCTATCGCAGGGGCCCCATTTTTGGTGGAGGCGAAAGGGCTAGAGGCCTGTGCACTTGGATTAGGTGCACATTAAGGACCCCCGTGTAGTTGATATTTTCGTAGTCCTCCTCTACAGTATCTGTCATAATCATATTGTGGTATTGTGATCGCAAAGCCCAACAATTGATCATACATACCCTGGAACTTATCAAGCACCTCTTTGACATTTTTTCGTTCCTCAAAATTTCTGTACTGCGAGACTCACTTTGGCACAGTTGGCCCATGAATTTTCGCTTTCTGTGTAATGTAGATAGAAGCAGGTGACCCAGGCTATTCCAACCACAAGAGACACGGGCCAGCGCTCAGAACCGGTTACTTGCGACAAACACCACGGGAATGTCCAAACCGGATTCATTCACATGGTCATCAATCATCATCTTTGAAACGAAAGAAAGGCACCATTAAAGAGCTTCAGCGGCATTCTCTGACAATGCTGAACACTGCTGTACGGCTGCGTCAAAAATTTATTAACACTAGTGACCGCTGTGTGGATCATCAAAATCTTCTCGTGCTGCACTTTGGTTCCCTGGCGTCGGAGGCGCAGTAGCGAGGGTGGTTCGTGTTGTAGTCTGGTTGGCTGGCATAGAGCAGCCTGTCCTGAGCTCAAATTTCAAATTCCTGGAGGGAAAAGTGTCGCAACCTGCTTGGCATGATGGGGAGGTTCTATGCTAGGAGTACTGCCATTCATATAGTACATTGTATCTTTGACTAAACTGCTGACTCGCTTTCTAAAGGTGTTACAATGTTTAGAACACTTTAACCTTGATATAATGATCCCGGTTATAACGAAGTAAATGACAAATGGTCTTGCAATAGATATGTTAGGAATAAACTTTTTTAACACATTTTTGGATATAACAAACCTATTTTCGTGCACAATTCAACTTTGTTATAATGAGGATTGAGCATATTAAGATATTTACTACATATATATCGATGCATTACATGCTGCTCATTTGGTGCAGTGTAAACTTGGAAGTATGCAGTGGTGCTAATCCGTCACTGCAGTGGCAAAGTACAATGCACGTATTGTTGTGAATGCGATTGCATTTAAAGGGCCCCTAAACATTTACACCTAGAGTCAAAGTTCAGTTGTTGTGCTGTACACCGTTCATATCCTAAAACTATTAGGCATTCTTTTTTCACATTTATGTACCGCGACACTGCTTCGGTGCTGTCTTCCTCACTTTGATACTATAGTTAGCAGAAAAATGTCCTGCCAATTTTTTTGTTCCATGTAAAATAGACAGAGGCTGGCGACCAAGATGATTACAAGTGCAAAAGGCATGGGACAGTGTCCAGCACTACATTAACCACTGTGGGAATGTCAAAACCCCATTTATTCACAAGATCGTCAACAAAAAATAATCGCACAATGAAAGAAAAACAATGCAGCAGCAGCGTACCTGGCTTTTTTGACAGTTCTCAGCGCTGCTTGTACAGTTGTATCAGAAAAAGACAAGCTTATGTGATTGCCGAGTGGAGCCATGAAATCGCAACAGGTATTGCACTCTTGTTTCCGGGCATGCCAATCCAACGTTTTGAAATGTGGGTGGCCAGAAGAAAGCAGCCTGCTCTTAGTAAAGTCCACATTTTTAATGCTAGTTGCGGCTCATCTCTTCCAGTCACGGAAGCCTTTTTCTGTTGCACCTGTACATTCTTGCATCATGCTTCCCATTTATCTCGTGCCGTCCGAAAAACGTAAATGTAATTACAAGAAATGCAATTGCTTGAGCTCGAGAGACTCGGCAGACAAAACGTTAAGTGTTCCTCACTTAACACTGCTGTATTTTCCATAAATAGATATTGCATACTTTCGAGGGCAAAACAACATTGTCTGTTTTGAAATGTTGTAAAGAATAATTCATTACATTTTGATGCCAAATCTGGAATGCAATGGCAGAGCAATGCATACACTGGTGGTTAAATTTGTCTAGGTTTCACTTCTACCACCTAGTCACAAAAAAACTTTTGCAATAAAGTTTGCGTACAAAGAAATAAAGCAAATTTCAATTAGAATTAGACGTAACTTCATATCACTTTGTTTTACACTCGGCACACAAGCGTCACGAATCTCAAGAGCGTAATCCATCTCGAATCTCGAAAACGGAAGTACAGCCTGTACTTCCCATCATTCCCATGCAGTACAAGCGCTGCTGAAGGAGCCTGCATAGACACTAGCGACAGATTCCCCTTTAGGTATTATTGTATGAAACTCTATGGTCACAATGTCTTCCATTGCTCACTAGAGTGTTGAAGCATAACTTTTTTGAGCCATCTAATACAGTTAAGCCCCTTTATAGAGGCATGCTCTGGGCAGCAGCAATTCTTGTTTTTCATACAAGATGTCTCTTATAAGCAGGGGACCCAGTATGCATTTTCATACATGTATTTCCAGCATTTTACTGTAGGCATACTGGTATCTCAGAACCATTTGTCTTTTATATAAGTGTCCCTTATAAAGGGGTTTGACTGTAACACAACCTCAGAGGCTTCCCAAAAAGGCATTATCTGAATAGCAAGTGTACAGTAAAAATAAAAACTGCCAACAGGGTAGCTAAGAGAAAAGTGAACACAGCATACATGGCTTTAAAGGCAGATGAATCCCCTAGAAGTTAGCAAATATAAAATACTAAATGCAAGGTGCACAAAATGTGACCAACAATGACACGATAATCATCCTTGTAAAAAGGAGAGGGAACGAAAAAATATATTGCTTGGTATTGCCACAGACATGTACAATCGTGGCCTTTATAAAAGGGAACAATGAAACTACCCAAGAGGTCATCTGCCACAGTCGCAAAACATAAATGTGCCCGGAAAACTGAATGCTCAAGCACAAAGTTATATCTCTCAAATTGGTATGTCGGAGTCGTAACTGCTCACAAGTAGCCAAAACAAACCCTAGTGTTCACCTTCACATTGTTCACGACTGTACTTATGACGCAAACATCCATGCGCACTTATGCAGAATTACTGCATAAGTTTTCAAGAAAAAATGCAAGTAATGCCCTCAGCCAAGGTATATTTAACTGCTTTGTCACCTTGCAGTCCCACCATGTTTTTTCAGAAACCCATGCGTAAATGAGCTAGTAGTCTAGACACAATGGCCATGTTTACTTATAATTAATTATGTACCGTTCACCAAAGCTGCTGGCCTCATTGCACTGATTTCTTGGGCCATGATGAGAGTACAAAGCTGTGCACAATCGCAGTATTCAGAAGTAGCCTTTCAGCACAGAATTTGTAATGGGAGATGACAAATCTTTATAAATGGCCTGATGTTACCAAGTTCTTGATTCCAGGCTCTAATTTTGCACACATTCGATGCTGCTCGCAATAGATGGCAGTGCCAGTGCATCATTATGAAAGAGCAACGTAATGACTAAAGATACATTTATGTGCCATCTCGACCCCTGTACTTCAATATACAGTCAAGCCTCATCATAACAAAGTTACATCTTGCAAGAAAATAAGTTTTGTTTTACGAAAATTCGTTATAAAGATTATCCCTAACAACGTTATCTATTCCAAGATAATTTTTCATTCACTTCGTCATAACCGATACTTCGTTATATCAAAATTTGAGTGTATAACGGAAACACAGATGTACAGTTTTGTGCTGATAGTGCTAGGCTACTAAGGTACAAAAAGAACTGTTAGACAAATATTGAATTGGTATCACAGAATGCCAATCAGTAGGTGTCGATCCAAAGATGCACCTTTCAATCATCCCCCCCTAGTGGTTGATCTACTGTTGCTCCATTTATACTCTAGTGTTAGTATGAAAATATATCATTTTATCATATGGCTATGTGACTTCATTAAACTGAGATGCAGCATTGAAATTGCACCTTCATCATTGTGACTCGCTAAATAAAAATTGGTTTCCCGCCTGCATTTGAGTAAAAAATAAAAAAAAATAACACCAGGCCTGCACAGAATGTCCAGCAACCCAAAGCAAAATGTGGAAGAGTGACCTTCAAGAGCCTTTTCTGAACACTTTGGGTAACTGCTACAAGCACATTTGCTGGGTACCCACTATGCCATAAATAATCATTTCTGCGTAGTAGGCCAGCATTCACTATGGTATCCTTCATCGTTCTTCGGAGAAGCGTGGTATCTGCTACGCACTTGCTAGAAATTTTGAGCCAATTTTTCATGCAGTGGCTGATGACAATGTAGAATTAGACCTGAAGTGCGTATGCGCCACAGTTAATAGGTAATCAAGAACAAGGTTTCGTAATGCGTTGGAGCAGTGGACAACTCGCTCATTATGTAATTCACATTGTGTGGTGCCTGGTTGTTCCTTTGCTGTTGTATAACACTTTATTACTCACATTAACCCGATTCCTTTCCCGACACCAAGCCTGCCTAAGCCAAGTTTGTGAACTAGTCTCAAGCACCAGCGTGGCTCAGTGGTAGAAGGCTGGCAGGCAGCGGACCCAGCTTCGAGCCCCACTGTGTTCTTGATGTTTTTCGCTTACAAAGCTTTTTTTTTTTCCAATTTTGTGTGATGGTGGCTACGGACACCAGCGGCAGTGACGGCGGTGCACAACTGTTGCACCACACGTGACCAGAGTTCTGATACAACAGCTTTTGCTATAAAAGAAAATTGCCGTAGCAGATGCTTCCTTAATTCCTTGCCAGCCCCACCGCAGTGGTCTAGTGGCTAAGGTACTCGGCTGCTGACCCACAGGTCGCGGGATCGAATCCCGGCTGCGGCGGTTGCATTTCCGATGAAGGCGGAAATGTTGTAGGCCCGTGTGCTCAGATTTGGGCGCACGTTAAAGAACCTCAGGTGGTCAAAATTTACGGAGCCCTCCACTACGGTGCCTCTCAAATTCATATGGTGGTTTTAGGACGTTAAACCCCACATATAAATCAATCAACAATGCCTTGCCAGCTGAAGCGAAGCCAGCTTTTGCCCTCCAAAGATTTCGGAAACATGCTCTCTTCAGGCGGTGCCCACTTGGAGATCAGGTGGCTTTGATCTGTTAGTCTAAAGGCTACATTAATTATAAATTAAAAGGCAGTTGCTTCCAATAAAATAACACATAGAGACGAGTAACGGTGACTTGATCTACAAGAAAATTTAGCTGGAATCCTAGGCTTACTTAGAAAAACTAGCAACACAAAAACGCACTTAGAGCATTATCTGACCTGAAAAAGTTCCCAAATTAGACTTGTTAAGTGTGCGAGCCAAATTCTCAATTTTAATCGCCAAATGCCCACATTTTATCAAGCCTCCTAGTAAGATGGTGACCACAGCCGCCATCGTTTGTAGGATACCACTTCACTCCTGAGCAATAATTTCCACTTCAGCTATTTTTTTATAAGCCGCCTTGGCCACCACAAGCCATGACCACCTGGAAACTCTTTAGTTCCTACGTATTGTCAAATCTGCCATCTGGTAAGTTTCGATGCGCTTGAATGGCTGCTCCACCCACTGTAGAAGGCTTTAGATTAGTCAAAGTGATGAAGACCTACAACATGGTGCCATTTTCAAAATTTGAGACTGCATTCAAGTAGCACGTCACATTATAACATACCTTGGCATAAATGCTGGTTTGCGAGCATCCAACAGGCTCATAAACTGGCCCCTATAGAGCATTTATCTAACCAGGATTCTAATAAACCGGCATCGCTTTTTTTTTCAACACTACTATTAAAGATTCGACTGAAGAAAAAAAGTTTTACCACTCTTCTAGCATGACCGACTGTGCATGTAAGCACAAACTGGGAAAGAAAACATGAGCTGCAGGACCAAAACATTATCAACTAAATTTAATATTTAGTTTGTGCCAAAACACACACACACACTGGCATGCTTTGCAGTACACTCGGAGATGCAGGAGATGAAAGAAAACAACGAGCAGCACGGTGGCCAAGCATTGTTATTCGCTCAACCATGAAACGATGTTCAAGTGTCAATAGTAAGTTGAAGTAAACATAACTCAGCCAGTAGTGTGTGCTTCCCCTGTCCATGTTTCCTTGAGTGGTTCACAGTCAACCACGTTGCGTGGTTGACTCACAACGTGGTTGACTCACAGGCAACCACGTCGCAAGATTTTTTTCTTCTTCAACTTAGCGTTAATGTACTACATGCTGGTTGTGGTGACACTGCACCAGTGTGATGGCTGTACAAGACTGCTGTGGCAATGCAATTCATGTGACTGGAGATACAGCTGAACCCGAATATATCGAACCCACATGTAATGAATTACAGTATTGCGCATATCGTGGAGCTGTAATATGACCTTGAATATATTTTTAATATATAAAATTTGTGATATATGGAATAACTATATGTATATGAAACTTGTGATCCCCTTAAGATTCGATATATCCAGATTCGACTCTAACCGACGTACTTGGGCACTGGGCATGTGGATAATTGCACCCTGGTGAGTTTCACGCAATGTGCGCACTCTGAACGTTACTAGACTGAAGAGGGTACAAAAAGAAGCAATCGCAATGTAAGCAAGTACACCCCAGTAGTTAACAAGTGTACCATAGTCGCACGTCAAAGAGGCATCCTTCCAAAGTAGCTGGAGTCAGCCCGAAGTGTGGTCAACCTTACCCAACTACACCACAGTCACAACTACAGGCGGGTGCCCCCATGTGCACCAGGAACGGCGTGGCACAGTGGCAAACAGACTTGCACAAAGACGCATCAGTGGAATCTATTCCACCACTCGTCCTTCTCAGCTTGCCTCGTTCCATTCCCTTGTGACACAAGTCAACTGACAGTTAACCCTAATGCCCTTTATAAAAAAAGCCACGAGAAGCTGGCTTTTTATAAAAGCCTGGCGGCTGTGTCAGCAACCCTGCTAGTGTGAGCCTTCCACGAAAATGCCTCCTGGAAGAAGCAGCATAGTCCGTTTTGTTCGTTGAATTCACATCGCCAGGTTGCCGTTGGCGAAGATGTTCTGTGGGTCGACGCTTTGCTTCACGGCGCGGAGCATCTGCAAGCCCGTGCTTGATATCGTCTGCTCGAGCCAGCGCTTTCGTATCTTGCCAACTGGAAGGAATAAGAGGAAAAAGGGGAGGAGTGAAACAGCAAATAAAAACAATTGTAGACGGCTCCACACAGTGACAAATCAATGGCCAGTGAAACTTTTGTTCCTTTCATCAAGCATTACATTTTGCTCCCAGGTCTCGGAAAAGCTTTAGCTAAGGACTCGTTCTTTCTTTGTTCTTCAAGTTAAGCCGTGTGAATACCATGCGACGATATGTTCATTGGCAGTTGCGTTGGAATGCTGCAGTAGCGTTCCAGTGTGATTGCGGCCGATTCCATCCACCCACTCACCCAATATATTTTGCTATCACAGCTGCATAGGAGTCATTTTAATTCTGGATTCACTTCTCCCCCTGGTCACATAGCCTACTACCACTATATTAGCATTACTACTAAACAACTACTACTATACAACTAGCATAGCAGCACTAATACCAGGGCTGGGCAGACATACCCTGAAAAGTATTCCGGATTGTTGGGGAAAATTGTGTACATTAAAGGCTCGGGGACCTAACCAAGCATGTAAGAACTGCAGAAGATGCAACAAAATAGCCATGTAGCTCATTCCATTTACCATATTTGTACAAGCTTGATAGGAAAGTAGCGTAAAGGCAATCATTACTGCCTACTTCTTCCTCAATTACTTTGTTCAGGCAGTAATTAGTAATTGTAATCAATTATGTTTTCAAAGCAAGTAAGTTAAACAGTAGCCAGTGACTCTTTTTTGTGTACTGAGTGCAAACCTGCCTTAAAACAGAAGCTAACTACACTAGGATGAGTACTCGATCTATCCCAGATTCTAAGCTCTGCGACTTTTGAACGCTTTGGTTACGCTGCAAATGAACTGGCAGGTGCAAGTTCCGCCGTATGCAGTTAATTCATTTTACACGCGAGCCCAGATCCGTTTCGTTTTACAGTAGAACTGTTGTGCTCGAGGCTTGCTGTGTGTTACAGGTAGAAAATTATCAATACCATGAAAAGGCATGCACTCTATCGCCACCCAAACACTGTATGGGCGACTGACAAGAGAGGATAAAATGTGCAGCCCTTACTCAATGTTTGCCACCCGCGTGTTCCATGTTAATTTTTCGAGGACCAGTGCGGTGAGTGCAATTGGGCCAATTTCCGTGGTACATACGCACTACAGGAGTTTTCACAACAGAGCTGTTATGATTGAGGTGTGAAAAAGACAGAAGGGCGGAGAACAGCTACAGAGAGAAAGAAAGCAAGACCAAGAAAAAAAGAAAGCATAAAGATAAAAAAAGATAGAAGTACAAAGAGACAAATGAACCTAGATAGAAAGAGACGGAAAGACACACACTAAAAAAAGTAAAGATAAAAATGAAAAAGAGAGAGCAAGCACAGCCATGTAACTCAGAACTTCATTATAACGAACCGGGATGTTACAAAATATCAATTTTAATAAAGTAAATGAAAAAAAGTCTTGCACCAGATATAGTGTTACCTTTATAACGAATACTAAAATATAAAAAACTTAATTTTGAGTAAGACATAACTTCATTATAATGAGGTTCGAGTATATCGCATAGTACAGTAATAGTTGTGAAAAAGACAGGTGAGAGGGTAAAAAACTAGCCAAGCCAAGACCAGCTAGGGACTACAAACTGCTATGTGCTATGATCCAGCCCTGCGCAACTTAGTGTTAATTATAAGCTGGGCTAATTATTTTCACGCTCAACGCAAACGCAGTACTAAAGGTGGGCATCAAGTTACCTCCGTGATGATGAGAAATGCTGCCTCCGCATGCCAGGATCTCGTCTCTCGCCGCGGCCTGAAAAGAAGCAGCGGCACTCGGTCACAACGCAGCATGATGCCGCACCATCAACACTGAGTTTGGCACACAGTCGAGTTGGAGAGTCAGACTATAGAAACATAGGCACACGAGTGTGGTGCCTATAGTAGAAAGCGCAATCTATATAAACTCAAACCTCATGGTAACAAAGTCACAAAAGGCACGGAAATAACTTGCTTTTCAAAACTCACAATATAATGCATATTCATAACACCATATATCCCCTTCAGGCACGAATTATGACGCATTGTCGCACGGTATGATATCAAGGCACTCAGTATTACAATCCAAGACAGAAAATGAAGGAATGCGTTGTTTCCTGCGATCTTTAGTAATTGATGCAGAGACGTATCCAGATAAGACGGCGCCCATGGAACATATATTTCCGCACTCCTCAGGATGATAATGGCAGTGACTTTTCATTTTTTAAATAACATTATTGTTTTGTGCGCAAAAAAAAAAAAAGCCACTTGGCTGTTTTGGGCAAGTGAAAGAGCAATGTCTTGACTGTTTGATTGTTTCATTTCCAATCATCAAGGAATGTTCTATGTGGTCATTGATACATCGACTGGCTTGGCCGATATCAATTTAAGCTTGCATCAACAGTATCCCGTAGACCACAACCATCACACATTTAACGAAGGGCTTCTGTCGCACAGAGCGAAAGACGTCAACGTGAATACGTTAACGTCTTTGGGTATATCCAGATGTCGTCTTGCACTTCGGGCACGTGCAAAACGACATCTAGATATACAGCACTGGGGCAGATGACATTGAATATATAGCTCAGGCTAAAGTATGCTTGCATCCATCACAACAGGCTCTAAGCTCGTGAAATGCCCAAATGTAGGCATTTTGTATTTGTGCTTCATCTTAGGGGCTTAAGATGGCCTTCTCGGCTGATCTTTCCCTGGTGCAGAGTGTCGAACCACTAGGCTATGGGGGAATGTCCAAACTTCAATGCCGGAACTAACGCGCAACGCTGGCTACGATACCTCACTAGAAGTACAGGCCTCTCATTGCTCGCACTCTGTTCTCGTGGCGGGCAAACTGAGCACGGCGACTGTGGAAATCGTCCTCGTCGGCGGGCACGGCTGATAAGCATCAGTGCGTGATAGGAAATGATGCGGAGGGTTTTTTTCAGAACACTCGACATTCCACCCATTAAGAGCTTCGCCCAAATCAAGTCGCTCAGTTTCCCTCATTCTTTGAGCTTAGGTTTAACATCTGAGCAAAAGCAGTTCGCCACACTGGTTACGGCAGAATAGACACGAAATTCTCACCTCAATCTCCTCGTACGCATGGACGGGATCGGCGACGCCCGAGTAGTTGAAGGCAAAGTAGAAGTAGACGCAGGCTCCCGCGTCGTACGTCTGTGTCACGCGACACGAAACCAGCGGGGGCAAAGACACGCCGTGATTCCGTGTCTCTCGCATGATGACGTCCTTGACGTTGCGGCACAGGTCCACCACCCTGCGAGCAGGAGATGAAGACACATGGAAAGCGCTTTTACACGATTTAACGGGTGATCAATAAATGGTCTAAGTTGGAGTCAGTACAGCCAATGTCTCAAAGGAGACATTGGCTGCACTAAATGGGAAGAGATAAATGGGAAGCAGCTGCACTTTCATTTGGTTCAGTGCTCTGTCTCGTCTCTTCTCGTGTCCCCTCCTGCCCTGTCGTTTGCACTGGTAAGCACCCTTTATGACGTTATACCAACACGCCCAATCCCACTGTCTCTTGAGTTTCATTTCTAATACCATGGGCCCTTTCCCGACTTCTTCGCTCCAGCCTCATGTTGTCGTCAACATGATCACAGTTACCACTTGCCGAGAGCGCGCTATTTCATTTGGTTCAGCGCTCTGTCTCGTCTCTTCTCGTGTCCCCTCCTGCCCTGTCGTTTGCGCTGGTAAGCACCCTTTATGATGTTATACCAACACGCCCAATCCCACTGTCCCTTGAGTTTCATTTCTAATATAACGGGCCCTTTCCTGACTTCTTCGCTCCAGCCTCATGTTGTCGTCAACATGATCGCAGTTACCACTTGCCGAGAGCGCGCTATTTCATTTGGTTCAGCGCTCTGTCTCATCTCTTCTCGTGTCCCCTCTTGCCCTGTCGTTTGCGTTGGTAAGCACCCTTTATGATGTTATACCAACACGCCCAATCCCACTGTCTCTTGAGTTTCATTTCTAATACAACGGGCCCATTCCCGACTTCTTCGCTACAGCCCCATGTTGTCGTCAACATAATCGCAGTTACTACTTGCCGGGAGCGCACTATTTCATTTGGTTCAGCGCTCTGTCTCGTCTCTTCTCGTGTCCCCTCCTGCCCTGTCGTTTGCGCTGGTAAGCACCCTTTATGATGTTATAACTGACATTTTGTTAATCCACATTCGTTATATTGAGGTTTGAGTGTAGCAAAAAAGATTTGTATGGACACCCATGCATCATCGACAAAAAGTTATGAGCTAATGGTGCCTATAACCTGTTTGAAATAAATTGTAAAGTGTGTGTCATGCAAAGTGCATGTTGATGTCATTTTAAAAACTGGAATATCAAGCAAAAAAACAAATTATTAAACAAAATCATGTAGCAGCAAGCGCAGACATTAGATTCCACTCCAAGAGCACCCACATCTTGCGCTAGTTGGAGAGTTGTACACTGCAGTTTCGCACAGGACACTAAAACATTATAGCTGCAAAATTAAAAGTTTTATCACAAGATCCTGTAGCCCACAAGGCTGCGATTTCAAGTCAGGAACCAGTTACTTAAAGGGGCCCCACCACACTGTTTCTAGTAACTATTGAAAGGTTTCACTAAAGAAGTTTATCGCCTTATAAATCGACCACCAAAAAAATTTTGGAATTAATAAAGTGCAAGCAGAGTTACAGAAACTTGTCACACATTTTAACTGCTTTCTTTCTTCTCCTGTCCTGACGAGCGTGCTGGAAGATGAGCAAGCAGAGATAGCACAAGAAAAAAAAAAGGTTTCATGACATTGAGAGCTTTCTTTGTTTTTTTTTCTTGATTTTCTTTTTTTGAAAGTGAAGTTGAAGTTCACTTTTAGCGTGACTGCAAACGCCCACACGGGCGTATGGTGGTATCCTGCAGCGGTTGACATAACTATGTCTTTTACCTCGCTCAAAACAACCAACCGCCTGAAAATCGGGTATATGATGCCATCATTTGGGTATACGGCATCATTTGAAGAAAGAAGATGAAATGATTTCTAGCTGGCTTTGAGAATTTGTAGTAAATTCCAGGCCGCGTGCTGATATATAATGTTTAGCTTGCATTTTCTCAGGAGCCTTGACTTCCCACCAGCATTGTTTTCTGACCACGCTGAAAAGGTCTTGCGGGGGCCCCTTCGAACTGGCTATGGTGAGGAAAACAATGAGCGAGTTCTATGCAATACAGCGATCAGTTCCAAGCAATGTGATAAAGACTGGCAATTTAGAGTTCCATTTGGAATGTTGACCAAACTGCACATGTTGATGGATGTTTTAGCTACACAAGTTGGCTTCCATCATGTGTCCCTCCACTTACTTGTTTCCTTGAACTCTTGTTCACTAGAAATTCTCATAATACACTTAACTACAGAAGCAATATCTTGCACAGAAGAGAACTCGCCCTCTTTACAGCAACGCACCTGTCCCATGGTACAGATGTTTCGAACGATTCGGCAACGACGCTGAAGTCCAGACCTAGGTCCTGAAAACAATTGCACAGAGATGAGAAACAATATATCAAAGAACACACTAAGAATCTATCAGAGCAACCCTACCTTCAATTGAACATGCACCAAAGTGAATGAGAATGGTTTCTTAATAAAGCAGCTCTGTAACACTTTTACAAGTAAATGTCAAATGGCTGCCAAGTCTCCCGGTCAATCCGGGAGACTTGGCAAGTATGGGTTAAAAAGACACTAAAGTCAAATAACAATTTACGTCACAGTGAAAGCTCAACGTATGACAACATCTATAACGACAATACTATCAACAACAGTGCCCTACTTACTGAGAAATTAAAGTAAATGCACAAGAACACAAGCGCCGTAGTAGGGCATTTTCAAAATGATCCCAATGACATCAGAAGGACCGCCCACAATCAGTCACTAGTACTGCACTAAATAAAGAACATTCTAAACATCAAGAGACACAACAAAATGCTGCTCGTTCCTTCCTGTTTGATTCATGAAAAAAAGAACTACCGGACGTTATTATAGGGAATGGCGCGAGTAGTACAATATTCAATTTTCGCGTGGTTACATGAGACAGGTGGTGCCTTTTAGCGAGGCGCAGCTGAAACAAATGTCTGCAATCTCGAAGCCCACGGCGGGAAATCGATCAATGGCCCTTGTTGCTGCTATGACTCCCGCTGCTATCGGTTTGCTGCTACAAGCGCAGTAAAGCCGGGCAATGTTGTGCACGGCAACAGTGACGTGAATTGGTCCGGTCAGTCCGCTTCTTCAGGCGGGTAATTTGAAGTGTGCTAACCCAATGCTGAACACTAAAACGTGATTTTATTTCAAAATAGGCCCTTCCTTGGCACAAAGGTAGCGCTACGAGGTTTCTGGACCACTATTTCAACAATAAACATCGACTTAATAGCTGCCTTTAGTGTCCCTTTAAGGACCCATCCCACATGGACAAAAAAAAGAAGGGGACAGGATAGAGCTCTAACCTGTCCCCTTCTCTTTCGGCCCATGGAAGTTGGGTCCTCAACCTTTCTTCGGCAGACTGAACAAAGCTCAAATTTGCTTATCGAGAGACAACATTCACATATGCACTGAGGGACATCATTTTCAACAGCCAACGAGAACACCCGAGGCGAGAATAAAAAGAAGGACAACACTTACCCTGATGTATGCGATGACAAAGGTCAGCATGTATCCCCGCATGCCATTCTCTTCACCAGCAGCCAAGCCACTGGCCAGGAAAAAATGAAAAAAAAAATACTACATTACTTGCTAAGAATAACACATATATCTTGCTTCCATATGGGCATTTGGTTTTGCCACGTCACATGGTTTTCATAACGGTCTTTAATCGTGATACCTGTCATGCATTAAGGTCTTACTAAAACATCAGTCAATACTATCAATACAGTCGCCGACCACTTATTCGGGCTCTACGGGAACCGCCAAAACATCCGAATAATCGGGAGTTCAAAAAAAATAAAAAATAAAATAAAGATTGACCCCCCAAAAAAGACACCGTTATTGGCCCAATGGCCGGAAAAACTTATCTATGCACGTCTGCACACACTCATGCTTACATGCGACCAAGTTGGCCTGTATCCATGAGAATGTCTGGCTGTCGCTGAAGCCAGACAACAGTAACGATACGGCCTGCGCGAAGTCCGCATTTGATGGCTGTGGTGCGGGCGGCGCGTCATCGTCGGAGTCGCTGTACGCCTGCAGCGGATCTCAGACCTGACGAATTATTTTGTCATCGTCCAACTCAATGAAAGAAAAGATGGCACTGTCAAAGTTGGCGAACTCTTCAAACGTTGACGCCCCCACATCGACACCACTAGCGCGAAGGTCATTCAAAATGTCAAGCGCTTCAGCAGATGGACTCTCAACCATGGGGTCCTGGCTTGCAGCACTGTCCTCAATGTTGGTGTTGAAACCTGCATGACGAAAGCAGTTGCGGATAGTTTCCTCAGTAACTGCCTTCCAGGCATCGGCCAAGATGCTGATGGGCAACAGCACATCTACCACATAGTTCTTGTTACTGTCGACAAATAAAAGCACACGATTCAGGAGGCGCGATAGATAATGAACTTTCAAGTTCTTGATCATGCCCTGGTCCATGGGCTACAACACGCTTGTCTAATTGGCGGCAAGAACTCGATTATGATGGCTTTAAGGTTTTATACGTCCGTAGGCACCGCAGATGTCGACGAACCGCGGCACCTTGCAATTTCGCCACTCGCATCACCGGTCCAGCTTGCGCACGTACTGTTTGAAGAGGTCTTGGGTAATCCATGCCTTGGAGTTCGCTTCATACCACACAGAAAGTGATCTGATGCCTTTAAAACACCTTGGGTGCTTTGTTTTCACTATGATGAGGACCGGAAGTTTTTCCGTACCTGTCATGTTGCCTCCCACAACTACAGTCAGCCGTTCCTACTGAGCTTTTCCCCATGACAAGGTTCATTGGACTAGGCTAGCGTCTTGTCAGGCAGCATCTTCTAGAAAGGGCCATTCTCGACACAATTGAAAATATTTTCTGGCGGGTAGTGGCGCAGAAGAGAGCAAAGTTTGTCAGCATGATAGTTGGTCACAAGCGCTTGGTAGACCGAACCACTCTTGCCGCACATTCGCATGAAGCCCAGGTCGTACCTCTTCTTGAAGATGTGCAACCAGCCATTGCTGAACTTTAAGCCAGTAATACCCATGTGCAGGGTGAGCATCTCTGCCTTCTGTCTCAGCAGATCCCCAGACATGGGTATTTTTGCAGCCACCGTGGCACTCAACGCTTCCTCTAACTTTGGGTGGCTGCTGTCCCGGAAGTTTTTCTGCGTTCTCTCAGACGCTTTTTCAGCTGCCTCCAGAATCTTGTCTTTCTGCTTGAAGTATTCCGACGACAGTTTGCTTGGAAATGAAAAATTCCCGAGCAGCTGCAGACTGAGGTCGGCTGCCTTCGACCAGGAGAGTAATGTCCGCTTTCTTCGCCCTCGTGTCTAGTAGCTACCGCGTTGGTCGCATTTCTTCTGTAGTCCTGATGACGCAGAAACGGGTGGCATCAGAGCCATTTCAGCAGTTCGCACGCTGAAGAAACACACAAGAGAGCGAGACACTGAGCACGAGAGGCTTATCAGGCCCAGCCGCAGAAGCAACTGACAATGCCTGTGCCAACAGGCTAGCAATAAAGCCATGCTTAGTCAAGTCGACTCCCTACCTGTCTTGGCTTTGCTGCAGTAGACATTCAATGACCACATGACTGGATAAAGTCAAAAGAACTTGTCGCCAAACATAGCCTTCGAGATTGGCAATTCTGCGTGTAATTTGGCACTGGCTTGACGTCCATCCATAGCTACCCTAGGTCAACATTTCAGTGCTGACAACCTAGCAGATGTATTGTACACATCACTGATAGCATGTCATGGCGTACACGCCGCAACTAATCAGCCAGTCCGAGTCCGAAAAATTAAACGGCAGAATGTGGGTCGTTCAAATTTCGTGTCATGAGATTACGTTAGGTTGAATAGAGCGAGTGGCGGGGCCGCGATGGTGTCTGAATAAGCGAGCATGTTCGAATTTTCAGCATACGAATAAACGGTCGGCAACCAACGCACTTGTAATGCCAGAACAGCCTATGTTATGTGCATTGCTGCTTTTATCATAGCTCTAATTACACATGTGCCACACTTATTGTTATTAGATGTGCAGTGTTGTATGAGTAAGGTGGAGTGCCAGGTGTATGAATTCTGGGTGTGGCTGCGTAGGAGTGAAACACAAGAGCGCATACAGCAGTGTATACGCTAAACTTGTACCACAACTTTGGATGTAGCAGACAGCTAAACCTAATTTGCGTTCCTTTGGTCTGTGTTCCTGAATGAATATGAGCAACACAATCCCTTCCCCCCCCCCTTTTTTTTTTCAAAAAGAACTCATCTTCAGGCAACATCAGGCCTCTGATAATAGCAAACTTTTTTTTTTCGTTCTTTTTTTTTTTTTTACAAAAGTGCTCAAGAAATTTCACTTTGATCATGTCAGGAGAATTGATAACGCCTCAGATTAAGTACCTAGGTTGAACAGATCTGCTCACCCGTATTTGGCTGCAACCTCATACACCCGCCTCTCTTGTATGTCGACGTCCTAAAAAAAAAGATAAAATGATTGCGACATCACGTTCTGTTCAGCGCACATCGAGTTCTTTCACAATAGACACGTGCAGACTGTTACTTGTGCACTCAAAAGCAAAAATTGCCATCACAACACCCTTTCCCGTGCATTAGAAGCAAAGAACTGAAAAGTACATACATCTATTCTTGCTACAGCGTCCACAAAAACTAAAAAAAAAATCAGGAAATGTTTCTCAATAAATGAAACTATAAAAACGAAGCCAAGTGCCTTCGTACAGACCAAGGCTGAGCAGTATCGCGATATGTACAAGAGTATTGCAATAGCATTTCAGAAATACTTTAGATATCCGTATTTTTGTATCAGAAAACATTCGAAAAGTGTATTTGTAACTGAGTAGCAAAACACCTTTATGATGTATCGATTGCATCACCATACTATGTCTGACGTGGGCTTTAGAGGGCCTAGTTGGTGCATAGTGACGAGAATGACTTAGCGCAAGGAAAAATGCAGCACACAAATGTGTCCTTCCCGGGCGTGCCAAGTAATTCTTACCAGGATTCGTGGTGGTGTTGGCATTCATGATTGTTTTTGAAATGTATATGCGATTTGAAGACACCTACCACGTTTCCCCGAGTGATAATACCCCATCATTAGCCCTGTGATTAACCAGCGAGAACGTCACGTTTCATTCCATGCACGATACAGTAAAGTTTCCGAGTCAGTCTTCACCTCTTTGTTGCCTTCAAACAGCAGAGTAGTGACGCAGATCTGCTCAGGATTGAAGCCCTTGATGCGCGTCACATAGAACTTCTTGAAGCCGTCCCACAGTGGTGCCAGGAGGGAGGATGCTTCGGGTTTGAGTGCTTGCCCTGACAGGAGAGATAAGTTCCATCAGCATCAATTAGGCAAAGCCAACAGACAACAAAGCCAATGAAAACAAAGATAAACGTATCTTTTAATTAGCCTTGTGTAAATATTTAGCCACTCTGAATATTCAAATGAATGTTACAGTATTTGAATTCACTTGGACACGAATTATATATACTCAAATTTTTGAGGTACAAGAAATGAACGAATAGACATATATACACCATATGTAACCCACCGTAAAGATGGCTTTGTGGCAATAAAGGGGTGCTATACCATAAAAACACCTAAATAAAAAAAATATGCACTGCCATGAGGCCCTACTTCAAGGTTAAATGAACATACATATTCCCTACAGATTAATTCATCATTTTTTAAATTGATAAGTTTGTTATACCGGCTTATATGTTCTATGTATAGCAAATTTTATAATGTAGCATATTTTATGGGTTACCACTAGCATTCTACCGAAGGTCCAATCCTGCTGCTATTCTAAGCTGCTTCAACTTTTTTCGGAGGAAAAAGAACGAGATTTTCGAATGTCTTGCTTCAATTTTCAGAGAATACTGTTCAGGTTAGTTGGGTGATGACATCATATGCTCATTTTCCTTTATAATATACCATATACCACATCATTTCAATTCGATTTAAAATTATTTCACCAAGTCACTAATCACTTTGAACTTAAAATTCACCATTCACACAAGAAAAGACCTTCAAACTCAACTTACACAATGCCAACAGCAGTACAATGTTATGCAGATCTTGGACAGTTCCTGTTTAGAGAGGTACGACAATGTGTAGATATATTTTCTGGCAGCCTTTGTTGTAGCACAATGTAATGTGTGTATAATGTGAAGGGTGTGGGTTCGACTCCTTGTCTTATTATCATATCTCATAATTAGCACATTTCGATGAAAAGCACTGCCAATTACCACTGCATACCAATACAGATACACTCAAACCTCGATATAACGAACTGAGATATAATGAAATAAGGGTTTTAACGAAGTAATTGAAAAATAGTCTTGGAAAAGATGCACTGTTAGAAACATATCTTTATAACAAATTTTCGGATATAACAAACATATTTTGCTTTAAGATGCGATTTTGTTATAATGAGGTTTGAATGTAGTTGAATTATAGATAGTGTGCACGGAATCAATATGCATCATGCTCAATGGTGCCACCAGCATACATAGTCGTGACAGTGTAAAACCGCTCACCGAAGACGAACTGCTGGTTGTCCATGAGACGTATGGAGGCTGGCCGAATGTTCTGCATGCACAAAGAGATGTGAGAGGCAGAATCAAGATTTGAGACTTCTCGAACATTTAGAGCAACTTGTACAAAGTCGGCACAAAAGGATGGAACAAAAGAACAAATGACACGGACGAGCACTGTCTTTTACAAAATTTTGTGTCATTAGCAATCACTGAACTAGACGAAACCTAAAGAACAGCATAGCTAGTGGGCTTGTTGGTATTGCATAATAAATTTTTTCGTTTAATACAGTGAGTGCTATGAGCAACTGGTCGTGATAACTAAGTCATGTCGCTGAAAATCTAGCTGCTAAAGGTAATGTTGGCTGTGATGTCAGGGCACGTGTCAAAATTATGCCAAAAACAAAAGTACAAGTACTACTTTGCTGTCAATTTTAGTATTTTAATCCAAGAGTACTGCACATCACCTCATCTATGACAACTACTGAACTAGTACATCTTTCCAGCAGTTATTTGTCCACAAAAAACTGCAAATGATTAAAAGATTGTGTTTGCATTTCAATGCAGCTGTATCAGCCAAACATCGTTGTTAATAGCTTGATTTAATCGCTTTCATTATTTTATCTATTCCACTTATCTCTGTAGAGCTTTGTACAATTGAGGATAAAATAAATGAAAAGAAGTACATTCAAACCTGAATATAACGAACCCAGATATAACGAAATATCGGTTATAACAAAGTAAATAATGAATACTCTTGCAATAGATAAAGTGTTAAATATATAATTTTATAAAAAATTTTCAAATATAATGAACTTATTTTCACGTAAGATGCAACTTCACTGTAATGAGGTTGGAGTGTAACTGCAACAGAGAAGATACACAAGAGTGTCCTGGTCGGCCACTGCCGTCAGAAACTGTTTTTATCTGTAATAAAATGCAAAGTTGGGCGAGTTGGTTTGAAGACATTCCTGGTAACGTTTTAGCGTGCACACAGTGAACGGGAAGACGGAAGGCTAGGATACAAACAAGCACAATTGTTTGTCTCCTGGCCTTCCGTTTTCCTGTCCACTGTGTGCGGGCTGAAATGTCACCAAAAATGTTTCTATCTGTGCCAGAATATTATCTCCATAACAAGCGCACTTTCTCAGTGCCTGGGAAGGTGGACCAAGCCCGCACATTTGGAATGACGAGTGGCGTGCTCACCTGTCGGGTGACCTCCTGCAAGAAGGCGACACCCGGCTCGAAAGTGGGGAAGACGATGGAGCCGTAGCGTTGGCACTGCGGCAGCGGCCGCACCTTGAGCACCACCTGTGTAACCACACCCAGGGTACCTGCACAAACCACGCAACAGGCACTGCGTAAACCTTCTTGTCGTTTGAGGACTTCCTGAAATCCATTTACGCTCAAGCCTCGATAAAACGAACTCTGGCATGACGAAGTAAATGAAGCATAGGGTAGCAATAGCTGTAGTGTTAAAGGGCCACTCACCAGTGACAATTTTGAGCTGACAAGCGCAATGGGTAGATGAGGCGTTCATGATCACGTCTGCCAGAATTTGCAGCGCTACGCGCTGCGGAAATGGGTAAAATTTCAAGATGAACACTGCTCCTCCTTCCTTTTGCGGGCGCGCGCCCAGAGAATGAGGGCATGACTTGCGCGTATGAATGGCCCAACGTACACGAAAATGCGGTGACAATGGTCCTGTACGTCAGCGACTGTGATCCGACGTTGCCAACAGTGGCGCATGACATGGCGAAAATTATTTAGCACGACATGCATAGTTTATGTATTTTTTTTGCTTGAAAAGATTAATAAATAGTTAGATAAATAATGAAACGCAATGAGTGAAAGTGAGGGTTCTTTTTTTTTTTCCCCCGTGAGTTTCAACGACATGCGGGGCTAATGTGTCGGCGTTTCTCATGCGTTCGTGTCCCCGCAGTCAGCGTATCGAGAAGACGACAGTTATGAAACGCTGCTACGGTTTCGCGCACTCATTGTGCTCATCTGTTCTGCCGCGTCTAAGCCAAAATGTTCAAACCGTCCCGCAGAAACAGGCAGTAGACCTCAAAACAACGCTGGTCAAAAAAAAAAGCCTCTCGCGTTCACAGAGGTTGGGCTTGTTTGGGCACGTCATGCGCACGTGACCTCTTAGTCGGATGCCGGAGAGGGTAAGGAAGAGATTTAGCTTACGAAGCCTACGCGGAGGAGCGGCAAGGGTTTCTAGCTCGCCTCCTCTCATCCTCATTTCGCCCCGCTACAAAAAAAGAGCAGTTTTCTGAGCTCGTAATGAACCGATTCAAAAAAGTTTTGTGGCAAATTGATCCTTATCGGACACCCAACAACTTCCACAGTCTAACTAAAATTTGGTATGGGGCCTGGTGAGTGGCCCTTCAAAGATATACCTTCATGATGAATTTTGGAATCTGACGAAATTATTTCCATGGAAGGAGCTACTTTGTTATAATGAGGCTTGAGTGTATTTCTCCTATTCAATCTCATGTGCTTGATGCCAATCGAATTCTTTTTTTTTTCTATTGTAACGGTCTTAATCCAGCCAAGTCCACTATATTGTTATTGGCATACTATTTTATTGCTCCTAGCTTTTGATAATATAGCTTTTAATGTAAATCAACACATTTTTATGCCATTAATAGGTTAATCGCCAAGTTTATTTGCTTTTTTTAGTGAATTTGGAACACATGCTCTGATGCAACCACACCAGCTCTTCTGGCCCACGGGCACTTGAATTTCGAGTGACCTGCAACTGCTCTTTAGCAGTGGGATGCCCAACATTTGTAGTTGTAAACAAGGACTTGAACTGACTGTTACTTAGTTTTTTTTTTTCTACTTAGTTAACCAAAGAAAAATATTTTACAGCTGTTTGTGTGTTGCTATAACAGTAAACGAGCCCTTGTGACAGACAGAATGGTACTCGCCAGGTGTTCCTCCAAAGAATCCTAGCTCGCCGAGTACAATATCACTCTAAAGCCACCATCTCCCAGAGCAGTGCACTACCAATTTTTTCCTGTAATAATATTGCAAGAAACTCCATGCCTGACAGACTCTATGCTTGGCATCACAGTACATGCAATGCATATTTATTTATTACATATATGAAAGCATTTGGTGCCAAGTAACTAGAAAGCTCACGAATGCAATTGCAGTCTTGATGATAGCAACAGCTTCAGCACAGTGAGACTGCCAAAAGTGTGAAGCTACGTCCCAGTAAGGTAGTCAAAATTAAACCTTTCACTGTCACTGATGTGTCAAAACGTTCTCGCATTTCCCCTCCCACAAAGTCACCGACGTACTCTCTCCGTTACGCATCCCATAAAATTCGTTCTGAAGTGCAAAACCGGCATATTTGGACTGATTTTACTCATCGCGTCATCTCTTATATCTATCTAGCATCACAAATTTTCTCTTCTAACTGTGTTGGTACGAACCACATTTAGGGGCGCCCACAGCTGCCTTTCTGACAACGCGAAACACGGCTCTGTCATTGCCTCAGCTAACTCCCTGCCGCTTCCCTTGCTACTATCAGCAGCAGCAAAAGAGGTTTTGGTATCCCTTTTCCAACCTTATCTGTCATCACATCATGCCATTTCTCCTCATTACAAGGCTCGCTGATATTCTTGAAACAAGCCTGACACAGCCAGAACCACCTGAGAGTGAAAAGGTTACGCAACATGGCCAAGCATGGCTCAACGGTTCACTAACTTCCATTGTGCAGTTGACTAGCCAGCAGTAAGTTAACTGCGCAAGTGAGCAGACACTTGCATGAACTCTGAAACTAGAATCGCAACAAAAAATGTTTATCTCTGTGCTCTAGGTGGGCACAAGGTATACCATCATTAGCTGTAGCAAGTTGAGAAGCTAGAGTACGGTTGATTGTTCACGTGACTGCACAATGCTGACACTGGCAATGCGATTGTTACAAAGGGCAAAAAATTATCGTAATATTAGACAGCGACGTCAAGAGCCCGTTATTGTGATAGGTGAACACTGCAACAGCACTGGTGAAAATGCAGTTACACCTGCACTTAGAAATCCCATTGTCAGTTATCGCAAGAGCAGTGATGCTTTTTTAAGTGTCCTAATAAATGTTATGAAAGTCAAGGGCTTTCATTTTGGAATATGTTAATGCCGTTTATATCTTGCATGATGAGGCGCCATATGTTGCAAGGAGAGAGCAAACTTTCCTTTTATGAGCATCGTAACTACACTTGGCCCTAAGCATTTCTTGTGTTATCTATACGAATGTTATCTATACAACTGTATCCAACCAAATTGTTCTAAAGACTAGTAAGTGTGTCTGTTGCCCTCATGTGTGTGTACGAGCCTACAGATGAACAAACAAACCAAAATAACAATTTGATCGGCGAAGATGGCTTGGAAAATGCACCTTCCGAACCAAGCACGAAGTGGTGCACGTCGGGCCCACTTGAGATGCGGGGCACTTGGCAGCTGCGCTCGACCGTGCCACTGGGCGTCACCAGCCGCACGTGCACCACCAGGTCCTCAATGTTTCCGTACACGTTCTTCTTCATCCCGGACGCCCGAGTCGCCACCCAGCCACCGAGTGAGCTGAACTCGTACGAGTCTGGTTCGTGCCCCGTGCAAAGGCCATGCTCTGCCAGCTGCATCCCACATTAAAAAAGTTAGTTTTGAGAAACTGACAACCTGTGCCACTTAAAAGAACACTAAAAATAAGCAATGACTTGGTTTTGATTGACAAAGTGCACTCTGATGGCTATAATGCCACATCTTTCTCTAGCATAATTATTAGCAGAGAAAATCAAGGTTCAAATTTAATTTTTAACTTTCGCACCAAGAACTCCGCCCGTGACATGAAAAATTTCAAAATGTATTATTTGTATTTTCGTGACACTTCCATTTGCTAGGTCTGTGGCACCAACAGATGACAATAAACATCAATTCTATCACTTGTAAGCTACGTATGACCCACTAGACGCCTTCAAAATTTATGACGCCACACTGTTTGGTGCGGCAATCTCAAGGTGGCGTCTCCACCACGATTTTTTTTCCTGCATTTTTTTGCTTACCAAGTGCCGTATCACGTTGAAAGTTGTGGTTTGAGAATTGTGAAATTGCGCTTCACTAATACCGGAAAATTTGTTTTGCTCTTTTGTGACAGTTTAACATTTACAGGATACTGTGCCAAATTTGCTATGCTGCTGTGGTCGAGAGCAGGTTTTACCCACTATTTAATTAATACAGAAAAGATATCCGAGGGAATCAAGAGTAAAGCTTTTTCAGACAAAGGCTGTCGGCCCTCAAGGCAAACTGGCTAAGTAAAGATGAAAAATATAAGTTCCCCACACTGCAGCCCAAGGCAGCCGTGTGGGGAACTCAAACGTCTTGGGCACCAATGACTACACAAAAGCCTTTGTTCGCAGAGCCCTCCACAAGAGTAAAAACGCGGAACCTGCCTCGCCGCAATGACAACCCACGGCATTCTTATACGTCGGTGGCGCCAGCGAAGCAATAGCGTGTATACTGAAAAAGGCAGGGGTCAACATCGCACAAAAGCCATCCACCACTATTAGCAACTTCATCGCTCGCTCCAAAGATCCAGCGCCTGCGGAGATATCTCAAGGCATTGTATACCGGATCCAGTGCACCGAATTCCCTGCTTCCTATATTGGGGAAACAAAGAACTTCCATGCAAGGAGGCGACAGCACAAGAACGATCTCCGTACTGAACAGCCAACCGAGTGCAGTAGCAGAACACTGTGAGCGGTTCGACCACCACATCCATCTGCACAAGGCAGCGATTCTGGAAAAAGAAAGGAACACCTGCCGCCGACTCCTCCTCGAATCCTGGGACATTCAGCAGACAGCAGAAAACATCAACCACTCCAATGGGACATTGCCCTCCCTCTACTGCACGGTTTGCGACGGATCGCATCAAACCTCTCATGCTAGGCGAGCAAGTGTATATAAGCGCCACACATCTCCGGCTTTCTCACCCCTGAAGAAGAAGGCTGTCCGGCTTCGTAACGTCAGGTTTCTGAATACAATTTTTGGTTGATGTTTTCTGATTGCGTCATACTTGTCATACATGCATGTAATGCCCCGCAGATTTTGATATGTCCAATAAGTGAAGCAAGAAGTGAAGCCTCTCATGGACATGCATACTCATCTCACCTGTCTCTCCAGGTCTTGGCCAATGATGCCAGCCTCAATGTTGGCAGTCATGTTCACCTTGTCAACCCACAGGATACGATTCTGCGGTATAACAAATGATGTAGCGTAAAATAGGATGCAGTAACGTGAATGACTTGACTCCACAAGTCAATGTCGGCAAGTATGTGAGCAAGGTAAACCATGTCTGGCATACCATTTGAGATGTGTCCAGTGAAACAATCATCCTGGTCTCTGTAACCGGACATTCGAGGGCACCCGACACGCTCGTACCACCTTTGGGAAAACAGAGAAGACGAGCATTGAATTTGGTAAGAGTGGGTGGAAATACCGGCAGTCACCAACATCTAAAAACCACATAAGCCAACAGAAAGACTGTCCTTGTTTGTCTTCCTGCATTTGCGCGGCTCAGGTACTACGATTACAACACTCAGACCTGGTCATTTTGACTGCACAGTCTGCATTTTCATTTTCCTGAGTAGCCGTCTGCCATTTTCGGGAGTAGCGGTATTGCCAGAACGAAAGCCTCAGTTAAGTGCCCAACTCTAATAAGAGACTCCGACATTCTAGTTTACACCTCTCAAACAAGCTCTCTAATTTGTGCAGAAGGCCGCAGCGATCACATTTTGCATATCACAGCGCAGTGCGTCAGGCAGCCGCTTCATTGCTAAAAGCAAAGCTTACGTTCCTCTCCAGCGACCGTCCGATTCTCCTCGTACACAAAATGCCGTAATCTTGCTTACGTGCCCTCTACAAGCTAACGTAATCTGAGGCAATCTTGCCCATGGGCAATCACTTTGTGTACAAATACCCACAGGAACTCTTATCTTGCCTATGGGCTATCTACAACCTAACATAATCTGATGGATTCTTGTCCAGGGGCAGCAATGACTTCATAGGTTGGTCTTTTGCACTACAAAACTCTGCTTTCAACCTGCGGTGATCCAGGGAAGCTTTATACATTGTGGAAGCCGCAAGTACCTGCCTATAATGAACTTCCATACAACAAATTTTTCAATATTACAAAGTTTTTCAATTACTCACTGTTACTCCACTGAATTTGTAACCTTTTTGTAACAAACTGGCAGAAATTATTCTAACGAATTTTCCCCATCGTCAAACTAGAAATTTTACCCCAAATTTTGTCACGAGTTCATTTTCAACGGTGGCACTGCCGACAGAGCACAAAGCAGCGGCATCGCGCGTGGTGCGCTCGAAGCTCTGGCAACCATGGAGGAATGAGCAAGCACTTATTAGTGCGAGTGTGAGTGTGCTCGAGGGGACAAGCAGCCCAGTGAGCTCGAAGCCGGCGTGGCCACCGTTCTTGCCACCGCATTCACAGATGTGCCATGACCCTCCCTTCAATCCAAAAAAAGAAAGACACTTCTAGTTCACACAGCATATGAAGATCGCTTTCTTGTCGTTCACTCTTCATTTTCAATGATGTGTACGCGTGCTGGTTTCACTGCCCATGCATGGAGTGGGCCCCGGCAGTGTTCAAATTCTCTTTTTGGTGTGGACAACTATGTTGTCACTACTGAGGAGATGTCACATTAGATGCTGGTGAAAACTGACCAAGACCACGATGGCCCCAGATCTTCAGAGATCAACTTGTCATGCACTTTGTCATGTTGCTCTACACCGTTGGTTCGCTAAACTATGACCGCGATTACCTCCCGCGGGGCTCTTCACCCCCACTCGCGTTTTGTAACCTACACGTAAAACTTGTGATGCACGGGCGCATGCTGTCAATTTGGACTTCATACGGAATACGACGGCAATAGCAAAAACTTGTCGAGAGTATTTTTAAAATTGTTATCACTATATTAACACAGTTTCTTACAGCTAAATAAATGTTTTAGGCGAGCTCTGCTTTCAGTTCCCCTTTTGTATAATTTGTGCATTTATTTTTTCAATTTTAACGCTTAAACTGCATTTAACGAAAACCAGTTTATAGCAAATTTTTTTAGAATAAGTCCATTCCATCTCATACAGGTTGAAAGGGGCATTAAAGTCAAATAGCAATTTATGTAAGAGCAAAAGCTCAACGTATGACGTCTAAAACAACAATATTATACACAGCAGTGACCAACTTACCAAAACACATGCGCAACGAGTAGGAAATTCGTAAATCAATACTGATGACATCAGAGTTACTGCCTACAATTAATCTCTAGTAATCAAACTAGCTGCACTAAATAAAAAACCTTTCGTGCACCATGAGACTTAACGAAATGATGCTTGTTCCCTTCTATTTAATTAATGGAAAAATAATCGCCGGAATGAACTGCTAGTGGTTCATTCAAAAGTTCGATTTTCGCCTGGTTAAACTGGACAGGTCGTGCCATCTAGCGAGCCCAGTTGAACCAAGCACGTCTGCCATCTCGGAAACCATGGCAGGAGATTGTTCAATGGCCGTTGTTGCTGCGGTGGCTCCTGGTACTTTCACTCTGCTTCTGCTAGTGTTGGTGGCCGTGCAGTTAAGCCGGGTTGTGCACAGCAACAGTGACGTGACAGTTTCTGCTTTGACATGGGTAATTTCAAGTGTGCTAACGTGATATGGACCAATAAAATGTGGTTTTATTTCAATTTCCTTGGCCAAAAGTAGCACTAACAGGTTTCTGGACGACTATTTCAGAAATAAACCAACTTAATATTTGCCTTCAGAGTCCCTTTAAGTGTAATAGCAATAACCAACAAGCACGAATGGTTAAACGCCACAACCCTTCTATTCCTTGTTCATCAATCAGGAGGGCAGTACGTTGCATTTCAAATTAAAAAAAAAATGAAAATGGTGCCAAGTAGAAAAAGACAGGGTGATAATGTGACGAGACGAGACATGCCCTCCTGTTTATTGTTGCCTTCATATCAATAATGCACAAGCCAAACCAGTTCAACAGACTACTTCACCACGAGCTAATTCTTTTCATTCTGCAGCAACACGTGAAGCAACGTGCCACAAGAACATAGGTCGGCAAATTCACTGACGGGTTGACTCACTCCGACTCCCTCAGACTTGGATCGTGTGAGTCTGGCCGAGTCCAGGAGAGTGATATTCTGGCGAGTTTGAGTTCGAGCGCGTTCGGTTGAACAAACTTTTTATGAGAGCTAGTCTGAGTGGCTTAAGGAAATTTTTGTGATTAAGAGTCCGAGTGAGTCCGAAGCGCAAAATATATTTTGCGAGTGAGTGAGCTCCACAATTTTCATCAACCTATGCACGAGAACGCAAGCCACCTCTACACACACAACTCACCCACCTCCAAATGGTATGACGACAACGTTGTGCTGCGAAGCCAGGGACACCAGACTGACGACGTCTTCATGGCACACTGCGATTGTAGGCACGCATCATGCAAGCAAGTAAAATACATGAATTATTTAACTTGTATTTGTACGAATAACACATGGACAAATATCGAAACTGAGAGCCAGAACACGTGGCTTGGACGTGCTCCACGGCTTCGGAAAAGCCTTAGCAAGCTGCACCACAACACAAATGTACATACATTTGTGCTGTATACCAAAATAGCATACTACACGAAAATAGGTTTGCTATATTCGAAAATTGATCAGAGCAGCCTTTCAAAGCCTTTTTAAAACACTCTTTGGGTAGCTGTTGCAAGCCCACTTGCAGGGTACCCACTAAGCCATAAATCATCATAACCTACATGAAAATAAGTTCACTATATTCGAAAATTCATTAGAGAAGTCTTTTAGAGACTTTTTTTAACACTTTGGTAACTGCTGAAGCCCACTTGCAGGGTACCCACTAAGCCATAGATCATCATAACCTTTGTGTAGTATGCTGGTATTCTTGTTCACCTTCTCTTGTGGCTCATTGTTCGTCATTCTTCGGAGAAGTGTGGTACCTGCTACACACTTGCAAGAAATTTTGTGCAATTTTCGTATGTTGTGGCTGATGAGGGTGAAGGATCATGCCTGAAGCTTTTGTAATGGATTAGAGCATTCAAAGACCCCCTCGTTATGCAATTCGCATTGTGTGATGGCTGGCTGTTCCTTTGGTGTTTTAAAATGCTTTATTACTCATATTGACTCGATTCCTTTCCCGACATCAAGCATGCCTGAGGCTAGTTTGCGATGAAGTTCCAAACAGCGGCACGGCTCAGTGGTAGAACACTGGGCTGGCATGCAGGGGACCCAGGTTCAAATCCCATACGACCATTGGTGTTATCTATTTACAAAGTTTGCACGATAGCGGCTACTGACACCGGCGGCAGTGGCTGTGGCGGACAGCTACGATGCATGCGACCCTTGTTGTGGTCTCACAACAGCTTTCACTGTAAAAAAAAGCATGTAGTATTCCCGCGACACGTGTAAATTCTTGTTGGGGAGATTCGCAAACTGGATGTGTGACATTTGCGCACTTTTTTCGCGCTTCATCAACTTCCTGCTTATTATGGCAGCTGAGATATGTGCCGTCTGCAGCGAGTTCCATCAAATTGTTACCAGCTGCAGACGCACATATGCAGAAGGCATATACCTTCAAATTGTGATGCAGCACCGGCGAAGTGCAGGGGGAGGGTCACTTACTCACCTGTTGAGGCAATGGTGCCCTCGTTTGCAGGGCCCTAAAGTCAATGAAGGCTTCAGACATGTTTTACTGACTTTCACCTAATTATTACAATTAGCTCTTGGTCATTTCTGCTAATTATATTAATTTAGATGTTATTCATTCATTTTAGCACAGTTAACTTTTTTATGCCCTGTATTGAACGCTTTAGTGCAAGTTGTGGGAATTGAGGCTAGCCCGCAGCCTTTGCGCGGGCTTTGCCGCCTTTTCTGCCGTTCTCATGTCCCGACATGTCTGCCCTCCTTTGCTGTCTGCCGTGGTGGGTGAGCGGAGGGACGTTTAACTCCCTCACCCGGTAGCAGATGTTGACTGTGGCGCCGCGCGCGGGGACTCCCGAGAGGTTCTCGCGCGCTGCGTCGAGAGCGGTCAGATACTCTCTGGGACAGCTAACGGTGAGCTACGCAATCATTTCCGTCTGTCGACTCCCGTCCCTCGGGGCTCGTCGGACTTCGCTGATGGCGCCTCGCGCCCGAGGCGAACGCTCACCTTTTGTTGCCCCGCTGCGTACGCATGGCCGAGGGCGGTACGGTGTCCTAGTGCGTGGCCTAGCTACGCCGACCCATCTCCCTCCTAAGTCAACCCGAGCGCCTTTGCCCTCGCTCGAGCAACCGGGTCTTGGTCCCGGTGTCTCCGTGGATCACCTTTACCGCGGAGACGTGCTCGTGGCACCCTGTGTAGTACTTTATGCCGTGGCGTGGATAAGCCTATTTGCTTTCCCGCCGCGCCTTTTTGCAACGGGCTGTACTGCGTTTGGCGTTGCCACAATAAAGTGTTGCGACTTTGAGCAGTATCGTGTTCTCACCACAGCGACGGTTAACGCGTGCCCTGCGGCTCGCTAAGACCGGACCCACGCTGGTGGCCGTACTTCTTCGGGATACGTGTACACCACAAAGTGTAATCACGTCACATGAAAACCATGGATGGATGAATGATAACCTGAGCTTCAAACAACACCCATGTGGCAAATATATGGGCATGCTGTTCGACAACTATTGCATAGATCTTCTTAGATCTTCTCTTGACTGACGGTGTTTGACGTACTCAACCACTCTTTATAGACGCAAATTTTTTTCTTTATCTTGAAAATATAATCTTATCTTCCTGGGCTACTGCGTGAACAACAGCGTGCACCAAAATAGTGCAGTGAAAACAAAAGCAGTTATAAAAATAATTACAATGGAAGTGAACATCAACCTTTACACATACTGAAAGAACATGAAGCAAAATGACTCAAGGTGAAAACAAGCCAATAGCCGTGGCTAGACATTTGTGCTCAGTGCAGGTATGTCACGAGGAAAAGAGCAGTATTTCTCTTGCTGTTTTATAGATAACTACAACTCAACCCCTTTATAAAAGATGCGCACTGTGAAAAAATTCTTGTCTCTTTCATGAGGCGTTTCTTATACCAATGCTGGCACACTGGTGCCTCTTACATCAGTGTCTTTCATAAAGAAGTTAGACTGTGTTAGGGGGAATTCCATAGCCACTCTAATATTCTTTAGATTCACTTACGCGGCCAGACGACCAAGTCGGGAATGCGAGCGAACGAACCTTCCCGCAGGATGAAGATCTCCCGCATGGTGTGACCTGCATGAAAGATTGGGCAATGGTAATCAGACGATTAAAAATACAGATAGACTGACAACAGCCAACGTAACATCGGGTGACTTGAGGAATTTTCTTTGACAAGTTCAACAAGAACAGAGAACTCGCTAATATTGTGTCTAAAAAAAACGCGCCCTCAAATTTTCACTTCTTTCCTTAATTTTGGCAATTTTAGAAATTCTGAATGTCCTGCTTTATCATCAACACATCATTTTAATTTTAAAAAGAAATAGGCATTTGGTGAATAAAGGGAAGTTGGCTTCCTAACTCAGGCAGACAACGGTGGCCATTTTAATTTTAATTTTTAAATTTCGATCATATTAGGCACAAGGACCTACTAAATTTATATACATTTTTCAAGTGGCTGAGTGCATCAAATCAAATGAGTGAAGTTTCTCGCATCTGACACTATATTTCTAAAATGCTGTTACCCTCAAATATCACACTGTGTACAATTGTATATTCCTTGCTTGTGCTGATGAGCAAACTCCAATAATGGCAAGCACCAAGAGTGTAGCCAAAATTTTTTTAAGGCAGGAAGGGGGGGGGGGGGGGTGTCAGTCTTCTACGCTTCATGAGCATTCATCTGTGCGTGTGTTTGTATGTGTGCACATGAATATACGTTATAAAATGTCCAAATTCGGGGAGGAGGAACTTAACCCCCAAATCTTCCCTTGACATACCACAGGGAGCGCCAATCACAGAGACAGTGCTAACAGAAACAACGCCAATGCACAATTGCATAATGAACAAATGAACGGACATAAGTGATGGTAGAGTATGTCACTTAGGATAACAAAAAGTACACTGCACACAATAATCATGACACAAGTCATTACCATGTGCCCTGAAAAGCCTGTCCTGGCCATCGGCCGAGTAGGAAATGCCGGCACGACGAACGTCCTCCAGGAATGCCTCGTTGATTATGGGGGGCGGAAGTTCCTGGTCTGAAGGTGGGGGCTGTAGTCAGCGCAAAAGACAACAGCAGGTTGGTTAGACTATAGCGAACCACATTTGTCACATTACCAAAAGGGCCACCTCAGAGAGAAGAGGAATTGTCAGTTAATCTTATTCAAAATGTGCCACATTTACATTGAAGCAAATTTCATAGCCAAAACCATTGTCAAACAGTTAGTGATGAAATGTCGATAATAAAAACAGGCACAAAACAGAAAGTAGAAACACAGCAATGAAAAATTGACATTGCAGATGTATATTATCAGTACGTTAAAGTTTAAATACTGACACATACTGACAATCGCAGCTATTCGGTCATATTTACATGTCTACTCACTCACTCGGTCTACTCACAGCTGCAACTACTCACTTGCGTACTGCCTTTATGCCACCCATGATAGAGCACGGTATCTAAAACACTGCCACTGAACCATTACATGGTTACCTTAAGCTCTGCGGTGTGAAAAAGCACTACCTTTGAGATTTGTTTCCATTCACTGGAGGGTGCGATGTTGATATGAACAGAGACACAGCTGAGTACAAAGCACTGTGAATATAAGATTTTAGGAGCAAAGTGAATTTGAATATTGAGTGCGAGTGCGAACTGACTCAAATATTTTTTGAATATTTATACAATATGTCTTCATACCTAAAAGGGAAATTGCAGAAGAAATGTTGGAGAGCATTCCTAAGCATTTCCCTATGAGGTAGCAACACAAAAGTGTTTTTTTTTGGTTAGGATGATGAAGCACTGTACAGGGCGGTGTTTCATAACTGTCGCATCAAGAATGAGGCAATTCAGAGGTAAAATAGTACTTAAGTGCATGATTTGGTGCAACCGAAGTGTTGCCTGAATTTCACATCCAAAACACCATTGATAGAGCCCTCAGATCTGCCACATCTATAATCTGCATGGTGGAACCAGCGTTTTCTTGAGTCGATGCCTTTGCGACTGTAGCAGAGCTAAAAAAGCAGCTTCGCCGACCTACACGAGAATGTGGTTGAGTGAAGCATATTGAAAATTTAACGAGGCCACTGCTAACTGGACGTTGAACTTATTTGTCTTTGGGAAGTTTGAATAGTTCAAATAGCGAAATTCCAGTGCAAGTCGAATAGAAAACACTAGCTGAAAAACATACAACATTTCAAATATTCACATACTCTTAATACAAAGTTGAAAAAAAAAAACTTATTTTTTTCTGCAAGTCAGGGAAGAAACAGCACTAAGTGTCGCACCAGAAAATACACATCATTAGGTGTGTAAAATACACACCATCACAATAATGCAAATAAAGGCAAAGCTAAGTGTGAAATGCCTATAAATCAAATATTGCAAAGAGTGGCATGCAAGGTGCAGTAGTAACTAGTAGTAAAACTGCTGGTTTTATTTAGTTACTGCACTACTAGCAGCTATAGCGACTGGTAGCGCAGTAACTAAAATAAAAAGAGCATAAGCATTCAGCTTTCAAACAGTTCGACCCCACACTACACATTAATGCTTAGCTGCGCACAAGACAGCTTGGCTGGATTTAAGATCAATACGTCACTTGTCGCTGGCAGGTACAAAGGTGCGGTCTGCTAAGATATAATGCGGTGACGGACAAAAACACTTTAACATTACTTTCAAAACAGACGCTGACACATTGCCATTGGCCACAGAGCACGTCACAAAACACTGCTTACAAGACAGTGAAGTGGCACGTTCCAGGAGAGACATGGCCCCAGTGGAACATGTTCCTGAGCTACTCAATTTATATGGTTTATGTGGAATCTACAAACGCGGGTATTATGGTCCACATGTACATTTAGTGCCAATACAAATAAAGAAAATGCCCAGATGACGAGGTGAGCAATAATAATGAATCTCGCGCACTACACAGCACACTAAGAAAAGCCTTCAAGGTATCGTCTCCTCTGTTCGCTTTTCTCTATATTGATTCTTCCATGGTGTCCACAGCATTTATACTTTGTAGTAACGACGTTCCCTGGCAATCCATGGACTTACCCGGTCACACGTGCGGATAGGGTTAACGGCCACAGAGGAAGAGCCTTGCAGGGAGGACTTGGTGCTTTTTATAGGTGCCTGAAGGATACATGCAAAACGGATGCAGGGCAGAAGCCAACGGGCACAAGCAGTGAACAGTGACAGCGAGCAGGCATGCAAGATAGCACGAGGCACCTCTGTAAGCAAGTTGAGGCTTAGCAACAATGAGATGCGACAGGCAGCAACAGGGCAAAAGAATGCTTCTGCCACCAAAACGAACACAAAGGCAGCGAAACATTAAGATTTTCATGCAAACAAAAGAAAAGCACCTACGTGAAGATGTGAAATTTAGAAAGAAAGCCCAAATTAATTTAGGACAGATTCTTGGTGTAGAAATCGATGCATTAAAAACATGGACACAGTAAGACCGTTGACACGGTAGCTTTTGAAAGTGGTGTGAAGACTGAAAGTATACTTTGAAATTACTAGTAGTTATGTTTAAGATTACAGTCATACACATAAATAAACTGTGTCTTTATGTTTGAGGTGTTGTGTATCAGCATATAACAGGCCTCTGAATCAGTTCTATACAAATTTGTGCTAACAAATAATCATGTCTAAACAATTTGTGCACACGACTGAAGGGTATGTGCAATTTTTTTTTTCATCATGACGAGATAATTTTTCTGACTTTCTAGTCCTCTCTTACAGTGACACTTTTTATGACGTAGTTAGAGTCTGTGTTAGCTCTCTTGTTCATCGTGTTTCTGTATTTTGTATGACTAGCTTTCCATAATATAAATGCATAGTCAAAAAGTGGAGCCAAGAAGATGACAAAAAATCAACAACACTTTCTATTGGTCAGTCTTAAAAACGCAGTGGTTATTGTGTGGTTCAAGTACTATGGTAGTCGTTGTTTTTGCTGTCTGCAGTACGCCTCACTTGCACCTTCCTTCCAAGGGAGCAATAAACGTTATGTGGACACTATCGCGTAACATGAGAAATTAACTAGGAAAGTAGAAATGAAAGTGAACGAAGAGACATCTTGCCATCGTTGGGAGTCAAACCCACAAGCTCCACCCTATGAGCTACCACAACTGTGTCTCAGGTCAGCAAAGCTTAGTGCTGTCAGTCATGCTGGCTATCACTACCGGTGCTATGTTAGAAATAGAATTATCCGAGGAAGTGGATGTGGGGAAGTTCGATAGATACAGAATGCCACACAACATTTTTTTTATTTATTTACACTCGTACCCACAGCGCCATTTAGGCATTACAGTGTGTGTGTGGGGGGGGGGGGGGGGGGGGGGGGGGGTGTTACACAGAGAATTTATAAATCATACATTTCAAGAATATTGGTAGTGAAAAACTTCAAAAAAAAATTTGAAGGTAGTGGGTTTCAGTTACCACCAGCAGTAAGTTGTTCTACTACTTTCTTATTGCCAATCGCTTCGTTTTTGTACACTTCAACTAACGAGAAAAGTACTACATTTACACGCAAACCTCGATATAACAAAATACCCGTTATAATGAAGTAAATGAAGAATAGTCTTCCAATAGATATAGTGTGAGCAATAAACCTTCTTAATGAAGTTTTGGATATAATGAAGTGGAAGATGGTACTTTGTTATAACGATGTTTCAGGGTGCTCTAATGTAACATGACCACATGTGCAATGCGAGGCATGACTTTTCATTGCATCCAGGAAGAAAAAATTTTTATTTTGTTTTTCGACTGTAATTCAAGGGTCGACATAAGGTAGCAAGTAATCTTGGAAAAAGCTTGCGCTAAATTCAAGTAAATACTCCAGCTGCCTTTTTGTGAGCTGCTCAGGGAAATGTTTTTCTGCGAATATGTGAGTGCAATTTGAACAATACACGATGTCAAAATTTAGTGTTTTGACTTTTCTGAAAAACGCAACTAATGCTCAGAAGAAACGTTTCCATATATTTCCAATCAAAGACGAGTTATTTAGAGCAGTAGGTAAAAAAATTGGCAAAAAGTTAGCGCCCCTCGTGCATACTCTTCATGCCTATACGTGTGCTTCATATGAATTGTTCTAGGTACTGCACTAGATGTCTTCAGACCCCATGCATTGTAGACAGAATGCGATTAAGAATGCATTGGTATTGGATTTGATACCCAGGCCATGACGAATTTTGCGTGTAGGGGAGTGGGGCAGGTGTAAGCGAACTCCTCGTGCATCGGACGCTATATGAAGCATTTCTTCAGAGGTCCCCCTGCACCCTTCTGCCCCCTGACATGCACTCATGCACACACACACACCAGAGGAAAGCATCACCGGTGCTCCTGCCTCGCTCGTGGGCATGTGCGTAGGAGGGTGAATACAGGTCTAACAGCATCATGTGCGATACCTATCAGCGGTCGCCACAAAGTACAACAGACCTCGGGGTTCTGCCTCTTCTGAAACTAAGTACAAGCACACATTTTTCTGTGACGAAAGTTAGTGCAAACGATGCACAAACGAAACAGAATATGTGACAGCACAATGCACGCAAGCAAAAGCATACACGATGGCAGACTCCTGGGGGAGAAACAAAAACGGCTGCAAGTGGGAAATTAGGGCAAAGGTGACCAGCGTGCTTGTGACCAGCGTGCCTGTGGGGTTCCACCTCCTGGCCAGACTTGAGTTACCTTTCCTTACCTGAGCCGGCATGAGGACACTAAGGTCGACGCCCAACGCCGACTCGACCCAGGCCTTGAAGTGAGGCAGCACCTTGTTCCCAATCTTGTACCTGATGAGCCGAAGTTAGCAAATGATCAGACAAGGAAATGGGTAATTGAATCGTAAACAGATGCCTAAGCAATGTTATAAGAATCTAATGCACACTAGCTTGACATAATCAGCACAAGTTATCCTGTAATAGAATAGAACTTGTTTTTTTTTTTTACAGTATCAGCATGTAATGAATGCTCAGCATTGAATGGTACAAAACCTAATGAAGGTATTTTTATGTTTAACATGAATTCGTAGCAAGAAGCCTTGAGGGTGCTCGTAGTAAGCAATTAAGCTTTAATGTACACTCAAACCTCGGTATAACCAATTCAGATATAAACAATCATTGGTTATAACAAACTAAGAGATCAATAGCTTTACCATGAATACAGTGGTACAAATAATTGTTATATTATGTTTTCAGCTATAACGAAGTATTTTCGAGGCAGATGCAACTGTCATAATGAGGTTTGAGTGTAGTTTTAATACTGTTTCAGCAGCCGAGTATATATTATGTAAGGTGGGCAAATAAATGCTCGTCATGGCAAGCACAGATTCTGCAGCCACGTTTAGTTTTTCGTTTTAGCCTATAGCAACGCATGCATTTGCTCTCCTTATGCAAGCAGAAATAAGGCCATAAGTGTGTTTTAATACCATCACTACAATTACACTAGCAAACTTAGGAACTTTGTTCTGATCAGACTCACACTTTTTATTATTACTACTGGATCTATAAGCAATAAAAAAGTCAGTAGACAACTCAGTCATGAGACTGATAGAAAATATTGTGGCATATTTTTAAGTCTTCTCAAAATACTGGCGTCACCCAACGCCAATTTAAAAAGGGTGCTCATGTTCCTACACAATTAAAGTGAGTATACTGCACTATCGTAAAATTGTCACGCAAAACTTGATGCAATACTCATGTGAAACATGCCAAATATTGTCAAGGCCACACGTAATGGCTGCTTTTTAGACTGCGTATGTAGTACATAGGTCGCCGAATTCACTCGTAAGTCAACTCGCACAGACTCGGATCGAGCCGCAAGTACGAGTGGGTCTAGATGAGTGATATTTTGGTGAAATTGAGTCTGAGCGAGTCCGGTCGAAAAAAAATTCATGAGTGTGAGTTCGAGTGAGTTTGGCTCGGGAAAATTTTCGTGAGTCTGAGTGAGTCCAGAGTGCAAGGTATATTTCTTGAATGAGTCTTGAGTGAGTTCCACTTTTTTATGCCTACCTATGGTCTTATCTACTCATCTTCACCGTCACAGTGAGCCTTACATGAACTCACCTTTATACTCGCACATACTCCAAAGCAGTATCGTTCATGCACCATTTCAATATTTATTGATCAGAGGCTCGAAGCACATGGAGGGGTGCCTTGACCTGATTGCCACCAACTCTTATGGGGAAGTTCTCAATATAGTAAATATATCTTAAGTTCTCATTTACTTCAAGAAAAATTTCCTCACTGGTTTGCAACCACTCGCAACGTGTACTATGAGGTACTACTATATCAAAAAGCACCTGGTAGAGCACCTTTATGTGAGATATTGGGGTTAAGGAAGATTGGCACCATGGTTGGAAAAGCTAATTCTAGGCTAATGGACTCATTTGTCGACTCACTCAAACTCGGATCGAATCGCGAGTCTGAGGGAAACCGGTGGAGTAACATTTTAGTGAGTTTCAGTCCCAGTGAGTCTGGCACTGAAAAACCTTGACGAGTCTGACTCCGAGCGAGCCCTAAGCGCAATATAAACCTCGATATAAACAACCCAGATATACAGAACATTGGTTATAAACAAATAAATGAAAATATTCTTGCAATAGACACAACATAGAGTTAGGAGTATGTATACCTTTATAACAAATTTTCAGAATCAACAAACTTATTTTCATGCGAGATGACACTTGGTTATAATGAGGTTTGATTGTACATATCGGAAGAGAGCCTGAATGATCTCCATAATGTTTACCAACCTATGGTGTAGTATGCGCTAAAAACTATCCAAATAATAAAGCATCTGGTCAAGGGAGTTAACAGACTTTCACTGCTATCATGCTACGGCTAAGCACCCCTACCTATTCAAATACACTTCTATAAACTTCCACACAGCTGGAGTGAAGTCCCTGTCCAGCTACGGCGCTATCAGGACCTCTCTGCTAATCATGATTATTAAAACACCACATGAAATAAAGTTTTTTTAAATGATGATCACAGAGTGGCCCACATATTGGCAATTCAAATGCTTCACGTTCTGACAAAAATGGGATTACATAGTGGATATCGGAAAAACCAGAAATCAGCCATACACACTCATAACAAAAGGCTTTCTCAGCTCACCTGTCACCTGTGAACGAAATATGATGTGTGGTGCCATCAACCACAAACTTGGAGTCTTTGTATCCCCAGCCATTCCACTTCAGCAAGTCTTGCCTGCAGAGCAGAGAATCACAATAAGTATGCAAAAAGCTCGCCTGTGCATGCTACAGCAAGGAAGCATTTACATGGCACTTGGCAGAGTTACATGGCACTTGGCAGAGGCACGTTAGACTGCACACATGAGACTGAATGTTTCTTCATGCTTCGCGATACCTAGAAAATACTTTAAAAAACTTATGGCTGAATGCAATTAAACCAAGCACGCTGAGTAATACAATAAATCACCGCAGAGAGCAGCCGTGTCCCATGCATTAAATAGTATGCTGCCCAAATTTCTCTTTGTATTGCTGGTGGAGTGGTAACGCACAGGAGCTCGAATTTCAAGGCACAAGTGCCATCTGCCCCGCTTTCACGAACTGACGATGAGTAATGTGCAGGAGAAGAGAACAAGGTGACACTGCGCATGTCTGTTGCTATGACAATGCGACAAGGAAGAGGAGCAAGTTGGCCTTGGCTTTGACTTAAGGTCAAACGCACATGCAAACTCTTTCTCTGGGAATAGCAGAGATCTATCGCTTTGAAAAGTGAAAACGGGCTACCTCATGTGTAGATACGGAGGTCACATTCCCCGTATTTCCCACAGGATGAAAAACAAAATATGGCTACGGGAAACTATTGCCTGTTAACTGGTCAACAAAGTAAGTTCTAAGCTGAGCTAAGGTGCTGTGGTACTGTTATCACAGTGAAGTTTGTAGAGGCGACTTTTCTATTTGTACAGTTCATTTTGTTGTGACAACAATTATATGAACATTCCGAGCGAATCATCATCGTTGTTGTAATGTTCTGACAAAGCCCATGCACGCAACAAGATTCCACCAAGTGTAGTATGTGTTGTGTGTGAAACAAAGCGCACGAAGGTAAGCTGAGAAGCATGGTGCTTTAAAAGAACCCTGAAACGGTTTCGAAGATTCTTTACAAACATTGGGCCGGTAGACCAAGCCCCACGGGTAATTTAGAGACTGATTTGAGCTCTCTGCCTAAACTGTGTAATTTATTACAACCCTTTAAAGCTGCGAATTGCTCCAGACCGGTGCGACTCGGCCAAACGCATTTTCAACCCCCCATATACCAAGCGACCCACTCTTCACCACTGACGTCATCGTTCTCAGTTTATCTACTGTGGAATGCGCAGCACAGGCTGCCGGTATCAAATTGACAGTGGGATTTACGAATATGCAGTCTCACGCCACATCATCGTGACGCAGGCGCCGTCAAGGCGGCGCTTAGCCCCGAGCACTAGAAGAAAGAGTCGAGGGCAGTTCAGGGTAAAAGGCGGAGCGGAAGAGGAGGGTATTTTTTTGTACTCGTAGCTCCGTTAATAATGGGTGCTTCGATTAAACTCTGGTGCTTCAGTAGTGGTCTAATCAAAAACGGAATGTGAAAAAACCATTTCAGGGACCCATTCATGCACAATGCCTTCCGGCAAGTCTAATGTTCAAAGTCACGTAATCATTTTACATAATTACAAGTCGCGCTAGCGCGGCCCATACAGCACACTTTGCTCGAGAACTCTATGTTGATCGGTCGTCGACTGCAACTCGCCAATGACATAGTCTCTGATGCACTCTTTCGTTTGTGATGACGGCGTGGTCACAAAGACAGGCTACGCGTAACCCTAGACGCAGTGGAGAAAGCTGATGAGGTTGAGCAAGAAACCGTAACCAGCTGAAATCTTGTGTAAGTTCATTAGTGCACCACTAATAATTCATAAATTGATGCGGATGCATGTTCACATAGTACATATGCCTAGTAGTTATCTCTTCATCACGAATTTTAGAACACGGTGTTGTTGAAGATAGAAATCACAGGACAAAGTGCACTACTAACAAGTGAAAACTTAAAGCACCCATCTCAGTGGTCTTGTGGTATAGGGTGCACTCAACTTCCGGCCAGAAGATGGCAGGATAGAATCCCGGCCATGGCAGCCATGTTTTTGATGTATGCAGAAATGCCAGAGGTCAGTGTGCTTTGATAAGTACGTTAAAGAGCCCCTGGGGGTCGAAACTTCCTAAACCCTCTACTACGACGTCTCTCATGATAATATCGTGATTTTAGGACATAAAACCCCAACAAACATTATTACTAACCAGCAGCACTGCTTTCCTAACACTGCAACTAAACCTTTACCTTGTGAGCTATGCAATGACAATGGTACAGAGGCTAGCGCATGACTGCGAACCCTGGTTAATTACTCTGTTTATGAAAGAGCTAAGTTCACTTTAATGATACACAGAAAAACACACTTTTTTGCTATTGACAATACGGTTAGACCTGCTCAAACAATATTTAAACACGAAAGTACTTTATGCCATGGTCCGCCACGACTTCGCTCGTGTATTTTTGTGACGGATATGGTGTAGTAAAATATATAGTAAGAGATTGCGAAGAGAAAAACTAGAAGGAAGACTTTCGTAGCCGAATGTTGAATGTGAGAGTTCTAGGGACCTGCCACATTGCAGCGTACGACACAAACCACTAAGCGACGGAGTGTATGCTGTCAAGCTTGCTAACGACAAGCTATTTATATACACCATATACCGTTGGCGGTCCTCAGAGTTCCTCAACTTTACCTCATTTTCGTCATCAGTAGCGAGCTGGCGCAACGGCCTCTCACGTTTTCTTAGAATGCGTGCCTCCGCTAGGTGGGTCTTATCAGATCAGACTCGTGATTCAGGAGAGCACGGAGGTCACTTTGCGGCTGCCGCGTTTACGAAAGGAACACTTAGGCTCACGTATGATGAAGTAGGAATCTTACAGTTCTTCGCGCTCGTTCTGTGCATACTTGTACATTCGTTTCATGCGTATTCCCTTGTTTGAGCAGCGTGCTTTTAGTGTTGAGCTGAGGCAGTTGTTTGTTTGCGCTCGTGCTGTGTACGCTCATTTCGTGTGTGCTTTCTGCATGAGGTGTGCACTAAAAGCTTCAAGCTGCTTGCCGTTGTTCGCATGAAATTGCAGCTTGTTGCTGCAGCCTTCATCCATTCACCCTTGTCACGAAACAAAGCATAATAAATGCTCAACTGCCTCAGTGAAGGCATCTTTCACACTCGTGTTATGTAGGTTCCTAAAAAAAAGGTTCAGCCATGTTTTTTTCTGCAAGTGTACTCATGCTCCAAAAATATCTGAAATCTATATTGCAGCTAAGATCTACATAGCCCGCTATGTAGATCTACATTGACCACTATGTAATTGGTATTCAGGAGTAAAATTTGGATTTAGCTCTCATAAAATACAACATTTCGTTTATATTTCGAGTTTATATTCATTATTATAAAAGGCTATTCCATGTTTTCCCGTTTCCACTCCTTCCCCGATTCTCGCATCCCTCCTCCTTACTTACGTTTCCCTTTTCCACCCCTCGTTGTACTATACTATATATGGCTACTCCACGTTTTATCCTTCCCACTCCTTTTTCTCCCATTCACCCATCTCTCTTCCTTACCCCCACTTCCCTTTCCCATTCCTTGACGTACTACGCTATACGTGATTATGCTATTCTGCGTTGCTTTCTCGCTATCTCTACGCCTTTCTCTCTACCTTTTCTGTGATAACTTTCTTTCTCTGTACTGTTTTAGTCCCTGCATTCCGCGCCCGACAAATTAGCGCCTCCTCACCCTCATTATCCAATCCAGCCCGCCTCCCCCCTCTCGCTGTGGGAATCGAGGCTAGCCCGTCGCCCAATGCGCGAGCTTTGCCGCGTATATCTGCCGTTCTCATGTCCTAACATGACTCTCCCCTCCTCCGCGGCCCATCAGCTCTGGAGGAGCGGAAGTGACGTTGACAACTCTCGCACGGATGTCGACTGTGGCACCATGCGCGTAGTCTCTCGGGACGTTTCGCGCGCGCGCGGCGGGAGTGAGTCAGAACTTCTCTGGGGGCGACGAAGGGTCAGCAGGCATTTTCTTTCTTGGCCGTTGGCTCCTTTTGTTTGGGGCTCGCTCGGACTTCGCCAACGGCGCCTTGCCTCCGCGGCGAACACGCTAGGCCGAAGAGCGTAGCGGTGTCTTAGAGCGTGGTCCTACTACGCCGACTCGTACCTCGAGATCTCTCTCGAAGCCAACGCGAGCGGATTTTGCCCTCGCTCGAGCGATCGGGCCCTATTGTCTCGGTGTCACCTTGAATCTCTGCTGCCCACGGAGACCTGCTCGCGGCACACTGTGTTGTACTTCTCGCCCGTGGCATGGATAAGCAGCATTTGCTTCCCGCCGCACCTTTTAACGCGACAGCATTAAAGAGCTCGTGTCGCAGAAAACCCGCCGCCGGCGTCGGCCCCGTTGATTGTGAGCGAAAAATCGTCTGTGTGACCGAACACGGCCGGACTCGACGCTCCTTCCGCACCCGCCGGAGAAGGAGTCGAGTCCGGCCGTGGACCGAAACATCAAGTTACCGAGATAGCCACGGGAGGCCGCTATTTGTCCACGCGTGCGCGCGCGATCACTCTGAAAAAGTCACGCATTCGAAGAAAAAAATTGCTCAAGGTATAGAGGCGCGGTCGTTTCTTTGCCCTGCCACCCCTCCGTGCTTAGCTTCCAGCGCTTTCGTCGGGACGACAGGATTAGGGATAATGCAATTGCAGCATGCGACAAACCTTTGTAACTCCACTCGCACTGGACGGGTTCTTAAAATTTTTGTGGCGTTGAATTCATGAGGCAATAAGCTCTCCTAGTGAATTCATTCCATGGTCAATTGAAAAAGTGTTTAAGGCCTCTTTAACGTATTTTGTTACAGAGAGGTGTCACGACGAAAACGAGCCAATTCGGCTATAATAGCGTGCGCTGGTCCAATTTACTGTGTGCGTGTTTGTGTACGTGCGTGTGTATGTAACAAAACATAAGAATAAATATGCACCTAGCGGTTGAAGGGTGCACTAGGGGCCGGATTTCGCTATCGCATTCAACTCAAAGGCAAACCTTCAGCCCCCCCCCCCCCCCCCTTTTTTTTTTGCAACGGGCTCTGTACTGCGTTTTGGTGTTTATGCAGGCAATAAAGTGTTGCGA